TGCTTCTTGCCCTTCTTTCTGATAATCTTCTTTTTAGTAGTTTTCTTAGGTTTGCCTTCATGAGTGATCTCTTCGGTTACTGTTACCTGTTCCCGGACTTCTTCAGTCTCGGTTGGTGTCTCGAATTGCGTTACTGGAAGTGGTTCAGTTGACTCATCAGGGATGATTTCTTCAACTGGTTTCTCAGTAATGGTGGTTACCGGAGCTTTGCCCTCTTCTTCGACAGTGACCTCTTCAGTCACTTGATGTTTCTTTCCCAGCTTTTTTAGAATCTTCTTTTTAGTAGTCTTCTTAGCTTTTCCCTCTGGAGTGACCTCTTTAGTAATGCTGACTTGTTCACGAATTTCCTCATTCTCGATAGGCGTTTCTTCCGCAAATTCGGACATATCCTCTACGGTTTCATCATCGAGAATATCTTCAATAGGTTTCGTAACTACTGTTGTAATCGGTTCTTTGCCCTCTTCCTCAACCGTAGTTTCTTCAGTAACCTGTCGTTTCTTTCCACGCTTCTTAATAATCTTCTTCTTCACGATCTTTTTATTCTTTCCATCTTGCTGTATATCGATAACTTTTACTTCAATTTTAGTTTCTTCTGGTTTTGGAACCTCTTCCGCCTCTTCAATTCTTGATGGCTTAATTTCTTCTACATCATAAGTGTCGGTTACTTCTTCAATCGGCATAAACTGTTTCTTCGGTATGGTTGGCAGCGCCGATTTTATATCTTCGAGTTCTTCTTCAATCACTACCACGTTATCTTCATTCGGCGACGACGACTTCTTTTTACGAATAATAGTGGTTTTTGTCTTTACAGCCGATGTATCCTCGTCCTTACTTCCACGTCTGAACTTCGTCGTGTACTCTTCGGTGACTTCGGTGTCAGATTCAATAGTCGGTTGCTGTGTTGTATCGGGGTATTCGTGTTTAGTAGTGTGTTGTGTTAATGTTGTGGTGTGTTGTTGCGCTCGTGCTTCTGTTGTTTCTGAAATGTTAGAGAACAGGTGTCGCGTGATTATTGTGTTTTAGTGTTGCGTTGTTTGCTGCTTGCTTGCTTAGTTTGGCTTGGTTTGACTTCTCGATCGAATGTATCTTTACAATTGCCTTGGTAGATCATTGCGACTAGTGCGACTAGAATGAATACACGAACCCCTCATATCTCAATTGTGACATGGCGTAATTGTGATTCGCGTATACCATTCTGTCTCTGGTCTACAAAAATTCTCTACCAAGTCAAAATGGACCGTTATCAGGTGTGGTGTAATGTTGTGTTGTGCGATGTGTTCTGTGTGTTTTGTGATCTGTTGGTGCTGTTGTCTGATAAATGTGATGTTCATATTTCGTGGGTTCTAGACTTACCTTCCAGCTTACCCACTGATCCATTTTGGAATTTACATTTTTTCAGAGAATTCCTAATGGTTACGAAGAAACGATGATTCTATTTTCTATACCAAAGGTCTGCTGCGATTGAATCTTTGACTTGTTTCCTAAATTATAACAGTTGATATACCTGAATTCCAGTCCAAAACTGGAACCTATCCGAAACGTAACCATCTCGTACAGGAATCGCGTAGTTCGTTAGTCGACTGTCATCTAGTCTTTCGTAACGTCACGTCGCGTTCGCACAATACCAGTAGCATCTACCTCTATATAAATACTCACCAACTATTTGTTCCAGGTGGTCAGCCTCGAACGAGACATTGACTAACTTTGAGAAAGGCTTAACAGACTCGGGCATTTCTGACTCTAGTTCACCCGCTGTTTGAAGTTCGGTTACTATCAAGCTATGTTTTATTTCCTCGACTTCCTTGGCCACTTTGGCGCTCGGTTTCTCTACATTAAATTCGGATACTACACCCTCGGGAAGGACTTCGGACTTTACGGCTACTTCACGTCTTACAACATCAGGTTGAGCGCTGACCTCTGTCGGCACGCCCTTTATGACCTCCTTCGATTCCTTCTCATTTGGTGTTACCTGAGTTATCACAAGACTCTCAGTCACTTGGAAGCTCACATCCGCTTGCACGCTGGATATGGCTTTTTCGAGAATCAGATTCGTTTCACTTTCTTGTGTTATTGGCTGAGTCTGCTCGAGACTCTCGAATGGTATCTGCTCTGGAATGATTTTCTTAGATTCCGGTTCTTTCTGTTTTGGAATTTCTTCCGTTATGTTTGAGGTTAGTACCTGAGATGTCTCTGCCGCTTGTCTACCTGATAGATTTGGCTCTGCTATTTGTTTAGTTGGTACCTCTGGACTTGGTAATAAATTCTCCATCTCACTGGAGGTTATTTCGGATACCGAGAGAGATAATAACTCTTCCAAATTTGGTCTTCCTTTCTGGCTTTCCGGTGCCTTTTCTTTTGGTAGTTCTTCCACGTTAGTCACTGTCTCTACCTCGATAGTTTGGGCCACTTTCCTGCTTGACAGGTTCGGCATTGCTCTTTGTCCTTTTGGAACTTCTGCACTTTCTAAAATATTTTCAGTTTCACTCGAAACTACTTCGGATATCGTTACAGAACTCATTTCCTCTAGCTCTGGTATTCCCTTTTGTTCCTCAGGCACTTTGCTCTTTACCAGTTCTTCGACATTGGACACTGTTAGTACTTGAGTGGTCTGTGCTATTTCTCTACCAAAGAGATTAGGCTGTGCCATCTGCTCAGTGGGAACTTCCGGACTTGGCAGTAGTTGTTCAGCTTCATTGGAAACGACCTGAGAAATAGTTAGGGACGTCAGTTCATCCAAACGTGGTTTGATCTTTTGTCCGTCAGGCGCCTTAGGCTTCTCAAGCTCTTCAACATTCGATACTGTCAAGACTTGAGTTGTCTCAGCTATTTCTCTACCAAATAGATTTGGTAGTGCTGTCTTTTCCGTAGGAACTTCAGGAGAAGGAAGCAATTCTTCAGCTTCGTTGGACACTACTTGAGAAACAGTGAGTGACGATAGCTCCTCCAGTCGTGGTTTGCCTTTTTGTTCTTCTGGAAGTTTTGCTTTCTCTAGCTCTTCAACATTCGAGATTGTCAACACTTCAGTGGTCTCTGCTATTTCTCTTCCAAACAGATTTGGCAGTGCTGTCTTTTCGGTAGGAACTTCAGGACTGGGTAATAGCTGTTCAGCTTCGTTAGAAACGACTTGAGAAACTGTAAGCGACTTCAGCTCATCGAGACGTGGTTTGATCTTTTGCTCTTCTGGAGCTTTAGGCTTTTCAAGTTCTTCAACATTCGATACTGTCAAGACTTGAGTTGTCTCAGCTATTTCCCTACCGAATAGATTAGGCTGAGCTGTTTTCTCGGTTGGTACTTCTGGACTGGGAAGCAATTGTTCAGCTTCGTTAGAAACAACCTGAGAAACCGTGAGTGATGTCAGCTCATCTAGACGTGGTCTGATTTTCTGTTCATCAGGAGCTTTAGACTTTTCAAGTTCCTCAACATTTGTTACTGTCAACACCTGGGTAGTCTCAGCTATTTCCCTACCGAACAGATTAGGCTGAGCTGTTTTCTCTGTAGGTACTTCAGGACTGGGTAACAGCTGTTCAGTTTCGCTAGAAACAACCTGAGAAATTGTGAGCGACGTAAGCTCATCGAGACGTGGTTTGATCTTTTGCTCTTCTGGAGCTTTAAGCTTTTCAAGTTCTTCAACATTCGATACTGTCAATATCTGCGTCGTTTCAGCTATTTCTCTACCGAAGAGGTTAGGCTGAGCTGTTTTCTCTGTAGGTACTTCAGGACTGGGTAACAGCTGTTCAGTTTCGCTAGAAACAACCTGAGAAATTGTGAGCGACGTAAGCTCATCGAGACGTGGTTTGATCTTTTGCTCTTCTGGAGCTTTAAGCTTTTCAAGTTCTTCAACATTCGATACTGTCAATATCTGCGTCGTTTCAGCTATTTCTCTACCGAAGAGGTTAGGCTGAGCTGTTTTCTCTGTAGGTACTTCAGGACTGGGTAACAGCTGTTCAGTTTCGCTGGAAACAACCTGAGAAATTGTGAGCGACGTAAGCTCGTCGAGACGTGGTCTGATCTTTTGCTCTTCTGGAGCTTTTGGCTTTTCAAGTTCTTCAACATTCGATACTGTCAATATCTGCGTCGTCTCAGCTATTTCTCTACCGAAGAGATTAGGTTGAGCTGTTTTCTCATTAGGCACTTCGGGACTAGGAAGGAGTTCTTCAGCTTCGTTCGAAATTATTTGAGAAATAGTAAGTGACGCTAATTCATCTACCTTTGGTTTTCCCTTTTGTTCTTCAGGAACTGTAGGTTTTGCAAGTTCTTCGACATTCGCCACGGTGAGTACCTGACTTGTTTCCGCGATTTCTCTGCCGGAAATATTTGGCAGGGCCTTTTGATCTTTTGGTATTTCAAGTTTCGCAAGCACATCTTCAGTCTCGTTAGACACAACTTCAGTTATGGTAACTGAACTCAAACCGTCCCATTGAGGTCGACCTTTCTGTTCTTCGGGTCTAAATTTACCCTCAAAGATTTCTTCACGTTCTCCGACGGTCGTTTCGATATTCGTCACACTTTCTAACGTCGTTTGCGTCAACGTGGCCTGTGATGAAATAAGTTTTTTATCTTCAACATGCCCAATTGTTTGAATCGTCTCTACCTCCGATTTCTCCACACTTTCGAAGACGCTGAATTCAGGTTTGGCTTGCGCTTCCACATGCTTTTGCATTGGAGCAAAAGTATCTTCCTTGTCTTCCGTCACAGTTTCAGATATTTGAAGGGACTTCACTTCCTGAATATCAACACTAGCTGTCTGTGTTGCTGGTTTGAATCTACCTTCGAATGGCTTCTCAGATTCTTCAACCAGACTTTCTGTAACTGTTATACTTTCATAAGGTTCTTGACCTCGAACAGCCTGTTGGGGTGTGAACTTCTCCTCCAACTCTTTTCCAGATGGTATATTAACCTGGGATTCAACCATTGTTGTCTCGATAGAACCATGTTCCATAATGACAGTACTGATAGCTGTTCTCGATTCCATCAACTTCTTATCTTCCAGACTAATTTCAACTTCACCAGACGTAACCTCCGTCACAGAGATACTGTGCCCTTCCTCGAAGGTAGGCACAGCGGAAGTCGCAATTGATTTTGGAAAATCTTGAAAATCTTTTTCTGTTTCCCCCACAGGAACTTCCTCAATAATAACAGGCTCGAATACATCCTGCTTGGGATGAGCTGTGCGCTTGTCACTTTCGAACGGTTCGACGCTTCCTACATTTTGTCCTAAAATTACTTCTTCCTGTTGAGCCACGTCTCTACCAACGTGAGTCAGCTTGACCTGAGCTGTACTTTCCAGATACTTCGTGATGCTAACCTCAACTTCTTTGTCTTCTGCAACCACCTGACTTACCGAAATACTCTTTCCTTCCACGAAGCTGATGTTAACTTGTTTCTCATCGGGTTTGAATTTCCCTTCGAAATCTTTACTGAGCTCTTCAGCAACAGCTTCACTGATGCTCAGACTTTCCAAGGTCGATTGGGTCTCATGAGCTGAAGCTGTGATCGGCTTTGGAATTGACATTTCCTCAACACCTTCTCTCGGGGTGACTTCACTCTGCTCAGCAACTTCTTTGCCTTCGATCGAAGTTTTCGCTGTGCCTTGTTGAGGTCTCTTTGGCTCTGTGAATTCAGATTCGACATCCTGCGTCGTAGTCTCCGTCACTGTTATTGACTTCTCTTCGTCCAAAGTAATTCTCGCTTTGCTCGTTATTGGTTTTACTTCCAATCTATCAATTTCCTTCTCACCAAGTATTTCTTCAGACATTTCAACAGTTTCGAACGGCTTCTGTCCCACGTGAGCTGTGGCTGTTATGGGCTTTATTACTTCAATTTCACCAGTGCCCATACTAGGTATTACTTCGGATTTCTCTGCCACTTCGTGACCAGATACAATCGCAGGTTTTGCAGACTGATCTTTTGGTTTCTTCAGATCATCCAGCGAACCTTCTTTGTTCTCTGTTATTACCTCGGTGACAGTAGTCACGCGCTTCCCTTCTTCAACCGACACAGTAATATCTTTCGTTTCCGGTTTAAATTTACCTTCGAAAGGTTGCTCTTGGTCCTGTGAAATATCCTGAGATACTATCACGCTCTGATACACTTCCTGTGTAGATAACGCCACTTTGGTATCCGGTTTCTGATATTCAACATCTTTGAAGGTGTCTTCGACAACAATGGATGAAGTTTCGGCTATTTCGTGGGTCTGGTTGATGTTTAAAGACGCAACACGTTCTGAAGGTTGTTGTTCCGGGGTATACGTTAATTCTTTATCACCAAGAGTGACCTCAGAGACAGTGACAGTTCTGTCCAATTCGAAATCAACATTTGCGGTCCTGTCTTCCGGTTTTCTATCAGGTACAAAGTTGTCCTCTTTCTCCTGGACAATTGGTTGCGTTTGGACAACTGGAGTGAATGGTATCTGTTCCCTTTTAGCAATGGAAGAAATTGGTTTCTCTTCGGTAAGATTTTCTGTGCTGAAGTCAACGACGTGCTCAGTAGTCTGTGCTACCACGTGGCCACCAGCTAAGGTCTTGTCAGCTGTACGTATTTCCGGAAGTTCTCTGGGTTTGTATAGTTCTTCTTTATCTTCCAATGTGACCGAAGATACTACTATTCCTTGTTCTTCGACCACTGAGAAATCAGCTATGGCTTGCAAAGGCAGTTTGTCCTTTGACAATGGACCTTCAGCTTCCGCAACTTCCGTTACAGATTGAACGATACTTTCCAGTGGCATTTGAGATGGGATAGCTGACGCTGATACTGGTTTCGTTTCTTCTAATTTTTCGGTACTGAAGTCCGGTGTTACTTCAGACTTCTCAGCTATCACGTGTCCCGTGACGTCAACTAACGCGACTCGCTCGGCTGGTTTTTCGGGAACTTCGAAAGTGCTCTCTCTGTCTTCAGTAGTGACTTCCGTTATCGTCACGTTAATATTCTCGCCAATAGTGACATTTGCAGTGTTCGTAGCCAGTGCAGGCTTCTCATGGAATTCTTTTTCTGTTTCAGATACAATAGCTTCCGTCTGGACGATACTTTCGAAAGGCAAACGCTCCTCCTTTGCGACGGCGGATTCTGGCTTCTTAGTGTCCAAATCACCAGGGTGAGTCGCTAGTGTTACTTCAGTCAATTCGGCTACTTTGTGTGCGTCGTAACTCGTTGTGGCTTTTTTACCTTCTACTTCCGGTTTGCCTTCGTACTCCTGCTCCTTGTCCTCTGCTATTGTTTGAGTAACAGTCATGCCAACAACTTCCTCGAATGCCACGCTGACCTTCTTCTCTTCCGGTTTGACAAAGTCTGTTAGAGGCTGTTCAAGGTCTCCAGTCGACGTTTCCGAAGTGATCACGCTATGGAATGTCACGTGGTCAGCACTTGCTGTGGCAGTTTCAGTCGCTTTTGGACTGAACTTAGCAGTATTGTCCTCGGTAACTGTTTCAGTCACTTGGGCGACCCCGTGAGTGGGAACATCAAACGTTGCTAATTTACTTTGAGGCTTTTCAGCTTCTGGTAACTGACTCTCTTTGTCCTCTACGGTGACGGCGGAAACGATCAAACCCTCACCGACCTGGAACTCGAGGTGAGCTCTCTTGTCAGTTGGAAGAATCTCGGAAAACGGCGCTTCGGTTTCTCTGGTGAGCACCTCCTCGGCTATGACACTTTCGAAAGGCAGAAGAGTGGTCTTCGGTTTGACATCTTTGGGAATTTCGGTAGTCAATTCGGAAATTCCGGTATCGGTTAGAATTTCAAATTTAGACGCCACACCTTGAACCTCAAAATCTACAGTGGCTTCGACTGTTTTTGGTTTTACTTGATCTTCCAATTGACCTTCCTTATCTTCAGGCTGCGTCGTTGTGATCTTGATACCTTCGCCCTCTTCGAACGTTACGTCCACTGTTTTACTTTCCGGTTTAATGTCCATCTCCAATGGAGCTTCTTTCTCCGAAACGGATGTTTCCGAATGTTGAACGATTTCCAGGCCTTCTTGTTTTTGAGTTGCACTCGCGGATTTTGGTTTTACTTCCGCTAGCTCGTCTACGTTGTTGGCTATGATGGTTTCTTGGGTTTGGGCCACTTCGTGACCAGAAATTAAATCTACGACGACTGTACGTTCTTTTGGTTTTTCTTCGACAGTGAGAACGTTTTCCTTGAGTTCGCTGACAACTTCAGTCACTGTCAAATTTTCAGTGGTAGTCATATTGACGTCAGCATTTTGACTCAAAGGCTTCACGTCGTCTTCTCTAGGCTTCTCCACTTCACCAATGTGCGTTTCAGTAATTATCAATTCCTCAAATGCCTCTTGCTTCTCAAAAGCTTTCGTGCTCCTTGGCTGTTCGATACTCATCTTTCCAGTACTGTCTTCGATTACTGTTTCTGATTTGACAGCTATAGGGTGTCCTGTGAATGACGTTTGGGCCGTGAAGTCCTGAGGCTTCGTTTCAGGCGTGTAGATGTTCTCAGCATCGTGAGTCAGTACTTCTAGGACTGTTGCACCTGGTTTCGCTTCGGAATATTCGACGTTAGCGGTTTTCTGATCAGGTTTGACATCAGCTTGGTAGATATCTTCCTTTTCGGCAATTTCCTGAAGGTTCACAGTTATGCTCTCCAGTGGAAGTTGCGTCTGTATCGCTGTTCCCCTGGTAGGCTTCTCTTCAGGAACTTCACCAGTTGGTGACTCAGTTCTGACCTCCTCGTGGGTTGCGGCGACCTGCGTCGCGAATTCCGTAGTTGCAAAAACCTCTTTGGCTTGGGTAACCTCCGCGTATTCTGTTTCTTTCTCAGTAACCACGACCTCGGTTGTGTGCACACCTTCTATCTCATTCAGGGCAACTTCAGCTACCTTGAAGTCCGGTACCTTGTCTTTTTCTACAGGCGCAAGACCTTCCGCAGGAACAGTCTCGTCCACTACGGTTTCCTGAAGATTTGTTTGCTTTACTTTGGCCTTCGCCATGGATGGCAGATCCTTGGTGATGTCGCTAAGGTTATCATCGGGTTGAGTTTCTTCTACCTGAAGAGACTGTACCGGTTGTGTTGGTACTGCCTTTCCTTTGTGACTCTCTGGTAAATCATACACCTGTAATTCGCCCTCCTTTTCTACCGAAGTAGTTTGGAAAACTTCAACTCCCTTGATCGCTTTGTAGGAAGTCTCGATAGTTTGTTCATCCGGTCTAACGGCGTCCTTCATTTCGTCTTCGCGATCATGAATGAGAGTTTCCTCTATAATTTTGGCCTCGCTCAACTGAACCGACACGGTACTGCTTTCAGTGACGAACTTCAGACTGTCCTTGAATTCCGCTGGATAGTCAGCTGTTTGAACCTCTGAAACTTCAAAGTATTCTTCCGGTCTGACTGAAGTCTCTGCAAGCGCAGCGAGTGGTTTCTTATCAGGACTGTATTCGCCTTCGGACTCCTGTATGATCAAAGCCGACACGGAACCAACTTCCAATGGGAAAATTGAAGTGTCAGCCATCTTCGTAGTGGGCTTCTCATCTGGTTTGTACTCACGTTCTTTTTCCGAAGTGACAGTCTCAAGAGTAACGACTGAGGTTTGCTCAACGATATTAAGGTCAGCCGTGACCTTCTTACTCTCCTCAACAGTGAGTGCCGATTCGTGATGTTGAGAATCAACAGTCGACACAGTGATACTTTCAAGCAAGTTGACATTACTTTCAGCAGTGAACGAATCAACTTTACGATCAGGCGCGAACACACCTTCGCTCTCTTGCACAGGTTGTTCGCGAACAATGGCGGCTTCTCCGGTTGAAATACCAACCTGTGCCTGTTGACTAGGTGGCATCCGTCCCGGTACGTATTCACCTTCTTTCTCCGGCGCCTGCATCACTTCAGTGATTGTTTGCTGTTGCGATATCACCGATTGCGTAGCCACTTCAGTGGGTACAATCAGTTCCGGATAATACTTACCAGGCTTGTCCTCCGCAAGGACTTCCTCGACTATCAAAGATTCCTTCGAGGTTATGTTCACTCTTGGTTTCGTTGCTATAGTCTTTAGAGGTTCAAGCTTCTCTTCAACCAGACCTTCCTGGACCTCGTACACCGATAATCCTACCTGAGGCAGGACCGTGTCCTCAGCCTTGGCTGTTCGCGGAGTGACAAAGTCTTCCGTCGGAACTTCATTCTGATTTACATTTGTCTCGTACACTGTTGTTGCTTCCTGAAGAGTTACAGAGACCTCAGCCTTCTTCGAGGTATCAGACTTAACAGTTAGACTAGACGTGGAAGAATCTACAAGGGTCTCGCTGACAATGAGACTCTCTGACGGTACGAAGGCGGGTCTCGCCTCGTAGGACGTCGGCTTAAACGTATCGGAAAATTCGCCAGTAACACTTTGCGCTGTGGTTTCCGTGGTGGAATAGGGTTCTACAGGGGAAATGGTTACGGAAGCCCGATGGGAATCTGGTTTCAGTTCCGAAATATCATCGATCTCCTTTTCCTGAACCGGTACTATTTGTTCCGTAAGAGCGTTCACGGTATCGACCGTGACTCTAGCCGTTTCCGCATCCGGTTTACCCGGTGCCGTCTCGGCTGCCTGACCCAGCGGGATGACCTCATGCAACTGACTGGAGACATTTAGAGCGACCGAAGGTACCGATCTATCCTGAACAGTAACGAACTCCTCGATTTCCTCAAATTCTAAATCGTCCTCCCCGATATCCGATTTTCTCGGTTTCATTATTTTCCTAATCCTACGCTGCTTCTCTAACGTTACTTCCTGCTCGATATCCTTCTCTAATTCTCTACGTTTCTTTTGGCTACGAGTCAGTCTGCCCTTCGAGTCTTTCTCAACGACAATGATCTCTTCCTCTTGTACCAGGGTGTCCTGGGGCTGCTGGGGTTGTTCGTCATCCTTGATCAACTCTACAACCTGAACCCCCTCGACCCTATCCTCCGTGGTATCCTCAATACGAGGCTGATCCTTTGGTTTCCTATCTTTGCGTTTGATTTGCAGTGTTGTGTGTGCCTGCCGTATGTCCTCGTATTCTGTGGAAAGTATGTGAGAATTCTCGTGTCAGAGATTATTGTGCTACGTGTACTTAGAATATAATCGTGAAGGTGGTATAGGCACTCTTAATGACAATGCGGTGCAGTGCGATATGCGATACGAATACCAGATCAGAATTTTTATCGCTCGCTTTCGCACTATTAATTTAACAATCAATCGTGCTCATTCACTCTCTCTCTCTCTCTCTCTCTCTTCCGACCGTTCTCTCTCATTCTTTTTTTCTCTTCAGACTCAATTTCATCTTAGCGCATGCGACGAGTGCGCGCAACGCAGATGTTTTTGCTAAGGAACATCGTGCTAACATGAAAGGGAAATAAATAAATAAACGAATGATAGTGGTAAAGTAAAGTAAAGAAACAGGACGTAAAAAAAATAAAACCTACAAAATTGGACAAATACAAAACAGTTACTGTACGTGTACGTGTATGCGTCACGGGCGGACTGGTGTAACATTGGTTTGTGTTTTTTCTTAACGCTGGACAAGTTTTTAAGTGTCACAGGTATATTACGAATCCGAGAGTACCGTGTCATCGTTATCAATTATTTTGAAAGAATCAGATATTTTTTCGTAATTTATTATGATTTATTATAACAACGAAGAACGAACATATTTTGTGCTTGTTAATTTATACTTTGGATGAAAATTTTTTCTTTCTCACGTCATGACGTTTACTTTGACACTGTACTTTCTTTGACAAAGTGTTTCAGAATGTTGTGTAGTAGTGTCAGTCGCATGCAATGGCATCCGATAAGTGTGAATAACGTGAGTGTTGATAAGTGTGGAACAAGTGTGTGCGGTCAAAATAATGAACACTTATAAGAAGTCAAACCAACATGGACAACAAAAATAAAAGTAAATAATCTATACGGAATAACGTGAGGTATTGAGGTATCAAGAATGTTGTGTTACTGCACTTTGTCATTTACGTGGTAGGGGACTGGCAATCAGGTAAGTGACACGACACGTGGATAATCGTGTAAATTCAGGGGTTACGCTCGTTGAGGGTTCTACACGTGTATAAAGCAAGTGCAAACACTTTGTTCATTAATGATAAAGTTTTATACAAATAATTGAATAATTTATAAAGGTCGATGGTAAAGATGATATTTAAGTTTGTTACCAATATTATTATTGGCTATGTTTTTTCATCGTTTACCATGGCTCTGCTTTGTTTTAGTAATTTCACATGTGCAATAATTATTGACAGTCACGAAAAATATATTTTGTTGGCAGGCGTGCCGGGGTAAAGCTTAAGCGTAGCTTATACTTACATACCTAAACAAATCTGCAATGCGAAGCTCAAAGGTAATCATACTCCTTCAAAAGCTGGAGTAGAAAGTGCTTACAGAGACAAAAAAAAAATTAGAAAAATTTGCGAAATTTTAACTGGCGAATTTTCAGATATTCGCGCATTGAAAGCATAGCGGCTTAAGCGGTAAAAAAATTCTCACACTGTCAGTCTCATTTGATCAAGAAAGCTTCATGCATCTGAAAGAATATAAAAAATACAACCACATAGAATTCGTTAAAGCTATAGCAGTGCCATAGAAGTTTTCAATGTGGCTTTCTGAAATGCGAAGAATGAAATTGCAAGAGAATCATTTTTTTTTTTTGAAAATATATTATCGCCACGGTTACGTCCAGGCGACGTATAAATATATTGCATGCTGGTTAGAGCCAATTTGTTTCCTGGAATTTTGATCCTTTGATTAAATTTTTCTAGAGCCTTTGATCGTACGAAATTTAATTTATCAAATTGATCCATGCATCGTAACGTGATGTCTCAAACCTTTTATTTCTTGAACATCCTGTACTCGAACAGCCTTCGTTTCTTCTTGTCTTTCTGTAAAAATAAAAGAACAGCGTATCTTCTCGTTCGCGAAAGCTTTTCAAAGGGTTACGTAAAACACAATACACAAGCAATCGCACATATCGTAAAATATTATTTTATTTTCACACACAATATTACATTGCACAAAGAGACAGAACAAAAAAATAATAACGACAGATTCTTTCTATTATACATACAACAAGGCCATGCTCATTTGCAGTAGAGGTAGAAAATAATGGTATCGATATATTTACAAAGAAACAAAAAAATTTACAAAAATCTCAGCCACGCAAGCGCACTCGACAAAGCTTTTTTTTTTCAAAATTTTATTTCATTCATCGTCTTGAAGATGCTCTTTGGGCTTGCAATGCCACCTCACACGTTACAAACTTACCCAACACGTGGACTTCTCTCTTCTGGGTAATCTCTACGTTCTCAGTAAATCGTTGTTCGGTATCGACCTATGAAAAGGAAAGAAAGTCTCTAATGAAAAAATGTCAAAAAAAGAAACGGATTTCTGAAATGAACTTCAAAATTCGATATCTCTACCTCAGTGGGTTCTGCGACCTCCCAAGCATGTGGCCGGAAGTCTTCCGGAGCGAAGTGGGTGATGACCTCTTCAACAGTGGCATGTTCGAGTTCCACCATCCTCATGAAGGCCCTGAAGCCAACAGTAGCAGCAACGACACTTTCATCCGTAGTTGTTTCCTCAGTGAGTACTTGAGAAATAAGAGGACCATGACCTTCCCTCTCAACCAGCTGAACAAGAGCATTCTGAGCATCCGGTGTCCTCAGAGCCGGGAACTTATCAGTCTTATAGAGGCTCTCGTTGATCTCGTTAACGGAAACGCCTTGGCGCACCAGGTAGCCAATAGTCGCCAGTTCTTGCAAAGGCAACTCGCCAGGACCGAATTCCTTCGCGTTCAGGACGTCCAGGATCTCTTCGACCTCCCTCGCTATGTTCTCCTTCTGTTCCTCGATTATTTGTTCAACCGTCACTTCCGTGACCGTCGCCCTCTCTTCGACCGGTGCCTTCTTCTCCGGCTTCGCGCGCTTCCGCTTCGGCTTCTCCTCTAGTGGCGCCACTGTCTCGCTTGGTAATTCGCTAATTTCCAGAATCTCCTCTGCTCTTTGTTCCTTAACGATTTCTTGACTCTCGCGCTGTACTTGGGTCACGGATTCGCGAAGCGTAGCGGTTTTCTTCGATTTCTTCTTCTTTATCTCCTGAACGCCACGTTCCGAACGCACTTCGGAAACTGAGACGGTTTCCAAGGTCTCCGAAGTCATCTGGGCCTGATCTATTCTTGATTCTACCAGGAATTCTCCGGTGGTATCTTCTGTCGTTACTTGCGAAATCACCACACTTTCCTGTTCTTCGACTACCGGTTTTGCCCGCTTTTCCTTCTTCGGTACGATTTCCTTTGGTTTGTCGTCGATCTTCTTCAAAGAAGCTGTGGTTTCCGTTAGGACTGGTTCCTGGATGGGAATTACTCTTGTTGCCTGCGACGGCTGTAATTTTGGAAAAAAAATTATTCAATACTTGATTCTCGAATTTCTATCAGTCAATAAGATTTTCATGTTTCATGAGGTATACAAACCTCTTCCGGTTTCTCTTCGATGGCTTCGATCGTCTCGAGCACTTGAGTTTCTTCAACGTCCACAATTTTTCTGAAACGAAAAATCGAAATTATGTTGACAATTGTTTCGGGGTGCTTAGAATTATTGTGTTTGGATATTGTTTAAAGAAAATCTATTAACTTTTCTTCTGGTTCTTCTTTCGGAATACCCTTCTCCTCGTGGATTTCGGTTTTCTCCACCTTGACGCGCTCTCCCTTTATCTTTTCTTTGGTTTCCTTAGCTTTCTTCACATCTGCCTTCTTCTTCTTCTCTGGCTTTTTAACTTCTAATTTTTCTTCAACCTTCTCCGTCGGCTTTTCTTTCTTTCGCGGTTTCTTCGAATCGCCCGCAGTATCTGCAATGTTTAATTGGTATTTTTTAATATGAAATTAAAATCAAAATATTTTGATACTCACCGCTCACGTGCAATTTTGCCTTAGTGATGGCTAAGCCAATGTCACTGGTAGCTTTGCATACGTAGGTCGCGTCATCTTCTTCAGTAACATGTTTGATCGTCAATGTCGTCTTCTTCTCGGCATCGAAAATCCGTACTTTTGTGTTTTCCGTGTTGCTGATGAGTTTATCATTTTTGTACCAAACAACATCTGAAATAGATTCGTCAGAATAATTCGAATGACGTAATTCCATTACCATTAAATCAATGATTAACAATTTACAATACCTGGCGCAGGATTTCCGGAGTATGTACATTCAAATACTGCGGGTTCTCCCTCCTTTACATAAATCGCTGTAATTTCTTGAATGAATCGTGGTACGGATTGCGTGGCTAAAATTAATAAATAAAATTCATAAAACTCTCGTATCAAAAAATATTTTTCCAAACAGATCACTCGATCTTAAATCTACCAGCTTACCTGATCTTCGTGTTGGTCGTTGCGTGGCTCATGCGACCCGGTTGTCAGTAATCTGATTAGACGAATAGCACACATAACACCGTGCAAGATTATTATTAATAAATCAAAAATAAACGTAAATCAAAAATATTTATATCGTTACTATAATTTGTTAGTTCAAAAAAAATACCTGACATGGTGCCCCTCTCATCGTCGCTTTGGTGTTCTCCATAAGAAATCTCAGACTGGGAAATATTTCCGGCCAGCCCAAGATTTCCGCTGCATTGACTTTCCAGAAGGAGAAATTCTTGCAATTCCTCCTGACTGTCCGCCGTGTGCAATTGCTGAAATGCCTCGAGCTCGATTTCGCGTGGCTCCAGTGGATACATTTTTGGATCCATAAGATTTTTGTATCGATCGTTCGCTCTTTTGAGGACCGGTATCCGCGATTTTGGATACGTGTGATATTTTCTACTGGGATCGTAATCTCTCTCCTCTATATCCGAATATTCTCTTCTCTGTGTAGAAAACTTCATCTTTGGTTTGTAGTACTTCGAATCCGATCGACTCTGGCTGCTGCTGCTGGTTGAAGCTTCGCTGTTCTCTTCGATTGGCGAGAGGTAAAAACCAGTTTCCGAAGTATCCGTCAGACCTTGATAATTTCTGTGGTCCAATTCCGAACTGCAAGAATCTGCCTGGATCTCATGTTTTTCAGTTTTCCTTTCAGACTTCGGTGGTGGAAATTCACTGAAGTCTAAGACAATTTTTTGCTTTGTCTTGTCTGTTGTGGATCCTTTGGATTTTCTAGACACTTCCGGTTTTGATCTTGTAGGCGAATACGTTTGGACCTTAACTCGCGAATCTTTCGAAATTCCTTGAGGTCTTCTGGGTGGACTTGGAGACTGTGACTTTGACCTTGATTCTTTAGACAGTCTCTCTCTGTCTCTGGTAGGCGAAGGCGATTCCGATTTGACCTCTGTAACTTTTTCTCTGACTCTCTGGTGCGTCCTAGTCGGCGATGAAGATGCTGGCTTCTCAGTGACACCTCTCGACGTGACTTTTCCTATCTTACCGGTTTCTTTTATTTTTCCAGAAATCGACCATTTTTCAGAAACATCCTTTTTGCTCAAATTGCCCTTTTCCCTTTTTTGCACAGTCGACGCGACATTGCGCAATCTTTTTTCAGGACTAGGGGAACGCGACACTTGTCGCTGAACGATCGACGATCTCTCTGGGGATGAAGATTTTTCTAATGATTTTTTACAAATTTTCATTTTTTCAGAAACCCCCTTTCGTCTCTCCTGCGAGTATCCCAAGGTAGATTTTCTTTCTACGGTTTTTGTTCTAGCTACCGATTTTTTTTCAGAACTCTTCACAGAACCTTCTCTCTTCGGTACGACCTGTTTTCCGGTTTCTAGCAAATCCACTGGGCAGACTTCATCATGGTGAGAGTCATCGGTATCAAATCTATCACGTGTCAAATAGAATTCAGTAGGAACGTTGAACTCGGTGACCTCTTCGTGAACTCGCCTCTCCTCATCGATGTTCATCAGAGTCTTAGTCGACGAGAATTCGCTAACCATCGTCGAACTGTCTTTCTGCGATGGCGACTCTTCGTCTCTGATCGCTCGCTCGTCCAGACTGTCAGTTGAAAAGCTGCACGTTCGCACACTCAGCATGCTACACCGAGATGCCAGAATCTCATCGTTCTTACCTCGCAGAGCCTCCTGCATCTCCTCCATCTGCGTGACCCATTCTGGCTTTCTGTAGTCCTTCGTTCCGAGGATACCTGAGAAGCAGGCGATCATTTTTAAGGACACGTATAAACGATTTCTTTAATCTAAACAAAACTTTTCTAAGAGTCATCAGTATTCGAGTTAGTTGATATGTGATCTTAACCTAGAAACATGTCGTGTTTAGTGTGAAGCGAATGAAGGATGGAAAAAAGGGTTCTTTTTTTATTGGAATATTGACGAAGTGCCCTGTCGACGCTGCCTGAAAAGAACTCGATCAATTTATTAGAGATATTTTTAAAAAAATAATTGTCTATCTCAATATCACTTGTTTCGCATCGTTTACCTTCTACCGATAGGTAGGTAGTCGTCGTGGATACTCCCAGGGGATTGTGTGCCTCGAAGACAATCTCCCCTGTGTCGTCGGGATAAGTTTCGGCAATTGTCAGCACCGAGGTGCCATCATCGAATTCCTCGATTTGGAATTCCTGGGATGGAATTATCTCCACTCCCTGTTTTATCCACTTTCCTTGTGGCTTGGGTTTACCCTTGACCTTTACCTCCAGTCTGAATTACCATTGAAGCATTGTGTTAATTTTTTTTCAACATTTTTTTTTTTTCAATTCAATCGAATTTTCTTACCTGGTTAATTCGCCATCTTTAGTAGGAACTAACTGAGGAAGCTTTCTGACAATTTCCGGCGCAGATTCCTCTGTGTCGGTGTCGGACAAGGGTGTCTCCTAAATACGAAGTACGGTTTAAGGGAAAATTCATATCTTTTATATAACGTAGCTCTGGAAGTAGGGAACGGTGTACCAACCTTTGGAGACAAAAGATCCTCTTCCGAGCCACTTTGTCCTGTGATCAAGGACGTAGCAACGATCGACGATGCGATTTCTGAGTCCGGTACGTACTCGTATGCTGGGTTTTAAAACAATCATCATTAATTGACAACTTCAAATTGGAATGTCTGATGGAAACATTCTGAATTTTGAATACCTTCTACAACGAGCGAAGTTGTGCATACTGCTTCTCCAACAGGATTGACTGCCTGGCAAGTATACTCTCCAGCATCTTCTGGGAATACTTCACTGATAGCTAAACTGCAGACACCTTCGGAGTCCTGGAGGATCGTGATCTCCTTTCCTTCCTTTATCGGTTTTTTATCGTGGAACCATTCAACCCTGGGAATTGGTTTTCCTTGGACGACGCAAGTCAGGTTGACACTTTCACCATCCATCACTCGGACTGGTGACATCTTCTTTATGAAAGTGGGTGATACCAGTTCTACAGTCTCTTCCCAAGGTACATCAAGAAGATTAACTGTTGCCGTACAGGTGACCGAACCTGCGACGTTTTCAGCGCGGCAGGTATAGGTTCCAGCGAATTCAGGAACGATTTCTTTCACCAAAAGAACCGATCGGTTTTCTTTGGTTACTATTCTGAGCTCGGGCGATGACTGAAATTAATGATGAAACTTTTTTATTGGGATTTTTCTAAATTTAATGAGATACAGTTTTTTTTATTGAAAATATGCGATACCTTGAGTGGGTGGTTTTCATGGAACCACTGGAATGATGCTGTGGGGTAAGAATCTACCGTTGCCTCCATAATCACAACTTCACCTTCAGCTACCACTTGGGGCTGAAGTGGTTCGATGAACCTGGGGGCCTTAACCTCGTCGGTAGTTTCTTCAGGTCCCTTCACGGCGACGGAACCTGAACTTCTGGCTTCACCTGCAGGATTCTGCACCCTGATCTCGTACTTGCCGCTATCCTTCTTAGTAGCATCCGGAATGATCAGTTCGGTAGTATTCTCAAAGACCTTAATGATCTTTTTGTCGGATGGTTTTATTTCGGTTCCATTTCTGTACCACTTGACATCAGGCGCTGGTTTTCCTTCGAATTCAGCAGTGAGAACCAAAGGCTTTCCTTTTTCTGCTACTAAGGCAGGAAGTGGTTTTGTGATTTTCGGTGCACGCAGTACTTCCGGTTTGGAAACCACAACTGCGTTGCTGATCAGAAGATTCGCTCTACACTCGGCGCGTCCGAATTTGTTAAGAGCGCGAACCCGATAAATTGTTTCGTCTTCAGGAGTTGGTTCCAGGATCGTCAGTTTGGATTCTCCTGTTTCAGGGTTGAATGTAATCTCAGTACCCTTCTTTGGCTTCACTTCCTTATCTCCTCGGTACCACTTCACTTCCGGTGCAGGTATACCAGTTACAATGCATTCCAAAGTAGCTGGTTTGTGTTCTTCGACCATTAACGGTTTAATTGGTGTGATGAAGTGCGGAGCGACTCCTTCCTCTTCTTTTTCTGCGATTAGCAAATCATTATTAACGTATGAACCATCAACAACTTTCTAATGACACGACCATCTACAATGATCCACTAATTCATACAAGCAATCACGTTGCTGAAAGCGTATTAAAAATTTCCTTGCAACCTAAATAAAAAAAAATAGTGTAAAAAGCCTCTCGACGATCCTTAAAAATAAAGTGTAGGACTATTTGTGTGAAAACAGTACCTAGTTGGCACTGGGACATTTTTAATTAAAACAGCATTATCAAACCCATTATCAAGATCGCTAATTAAAAAAAAAAGAAAAATGAAGACACGACGAATAGCACACACAGCAGGCAGGACGCAGCGTCCATTGGTCCTACCGAAAATGACGAGGTTCACAGTGGAGGTGGCGACTCCTGCAGGATTGGACGCTCTACAGGAATACATGCCGACATCCTCCTCCTTGACGTTCGTCACTTCCAGGGTGGCTGTGGTCTCCACGACTGTCATGATGTATTTCTCGCTGGCGTGAAGCTCCTGTTCGTTTCTGTACCAAGAGACTTCGGGGAAAGGATTACCGATCACCGTGCAGGTAAATTTAGCTGGCTTATCAGGCTCGGCGATGACTGGTTGTAACTTTTGGATAAAACGTGGCGCGACTTTCTTATCCTTATCAATAATTGATATCTCCACTTGGGCGCGCTGCCTACGTTTTCGCTTGTCTTTCCGATCTTCCACTTGCTTCACTTCCTCCTGGACGACCTCCTCTACGTCCTGGCGTTTCTTTGAAATTATGCTTATGTCCGATTGGCGAACATCTTCGACTTCTTCGATCACCTTGTCATCAATTATTTCAATCGCTTTCGTGTCTATCTTTACGCTCTTCTTCTTTCCAATCTTTACCTCCTGGACGGATTTTGTTGTCTCTTCGACAATATCTTCAGTCACTTCCGCTACGACAGGTTGAAGCTGTTCTTCTTCTGGTTTTATTTCAGATACTTGTAACTCTTCCGGTTTACCGGGCTTTGGCTTTTTCTCTTTTCGTTTTGGTTTTAGCGTGACCTCTTCACGCTCTTCAGGCTTTTCAGGTTGTTCAGGCTGTTCTTCTAACTTTATTGGTTCAGGTTGAATCTCTTCTAGTACTTCTTCTTGGACGGATTTCTTTGGAATTGGCTTCAAGTGGACCTCTTCCTTTGTTTCAGGTTCAGGCGCTTTGCCTCTCTTTATTGGTTTCAGTTTTATCTGTTCAGGCTTCTCTTCTTCCGGCTGGATTTTCTTTCCTGGTTTAAGAGGCAACTCTTCTTCTACCTTCTCTTCTGGAGTCGGTTTCTCCACAGGTTTCAGGACAATCTCTTCCTTTTCTTCTTCCGGCTTCTTTGGTTTCCTTTTGCCCTTTCTCCATGATATTTCCTGTGTTTCAGTTATTTCTTCTTCTACCGGTTTTTCTGGTTGTGGAACTACTTCTTCTTCTGGTTTTTCTTTTTCTTCTGGCACTTTCTTTGGAATAGGTTTCAGGTGAACCTCTTCCTTTTCCTCTTCCGGTTTCTTTGGCTTCCTCTTGCCCTTTCTCCACGATATTTCCTCTGTTTCGGTTATTTCTTTTTCTACAAGTTTCTCTGGTTGTAAAACTTGTTCTTCCTGTGGCTTTTCTTTCTCTTCCGGTGTTTTCTTTGGAATAGGTTTCAGATGCACCTCTTCCTTTTCCTCTTCCGGTTTCTTTGGCTTCCTCTTGCCCTTTCTCCACGATATTTCCTCTGTTTCGGTTATTTCTTTTTCTACAAGTTTCTCTGGTTGTAAAACTTGTTCTTCCTGTGGCTTTTCTTTCTCTTCCGGTGTTTTCTTTGGAATAGGTTTCAGATGTACCTCTTCCTTTTCATCTTCCGGCTTCTTTGGTTTCCTTTTGCCCTTTCTCCATGATATTTCCTCTGTTTCAGTTATTTCTTCTTCTACGGGTTTTTCTGGTTGTGGAACTACTTCTTCTTCTGGTTTTTCTTCTCCTTCTGGCACTTTCTTTGGAACAGGTTTCAGGTGAACCTCTTCCTTTTCTTCTTCTGGTTTCTTTGGCTTTCTCTTGCCCTTTCTCCAAGATACTTCAGGTGTTTCAGTTGTCTCTTCCGTAATTTTGTCATCAGTAACTTTCTCTGGTTGGACAACTTTTTCTTCTTGTGGCTTTTCTTTCTCTTCCGGTATCTTCTTTGGAATAGGTTTCAGGTGTACCTCTTCCTTTTCCTCTTCCGGTTTCTTTGGCTTCCTCTTGCCCTTTCTCCATGATATTTCCTCCGTTTCGGTTATTTCTTTTTCCACAGGTTTCTCTGGTTGTAAAACTTGTTCTTCCTGTGGCTTCTCTTTCTCTTCCGGTACCTTCTTTGGAACAGGTTTCAGATGTACCTCTTCCTTTTCTTCTTCTGGTTTCTTTGGCTTCCTCTTGCCCTTCCTCAATGAAACTTCCTCCGTTTCCGTTACTTCCTCCTCAGGACGTTTCTCTGGTCGTAGAATTTCCTCTACCTTTGGTTTCTCCTTTTCTTCGGGTGTTTTCTTTGGAATAGGTTTCAGATGTACCTCTTCCTTTTCATCTTCCGGCTTCTTTGGTTTCCTTTTGCCCTTTCTCCATGATATTTCCTCTGTTTCAGTTATTTCTTCTTCTACGGGTTTTTCTGGTTGTGGAACTACTTCTTCTTCTGGTTTTTCTTCTCCTTCTGGCACTTTCTTTGGAACAGGTTTCAGGTGAACCTCTTCCTTTTCTTCTTCTGGTTTCTTTGGCTTTCTCTTGCCCTTTCTCCAAGATACTTCAGGTGTTTCAGTTGTCTCTTCCGTAATTTTGTCATCAGTAACTTTCTCTGGTTGGACAACTTTTTCTTCTTGTGGCTTTTCTTTCTCTTCCGGTATCTTCTTTGGAATAGGTTTCAGGTGTACCTCTTCCTTTTCCTCTTCCGGTTTCTTTGGCTTCCTCTTGCCCTTTCTCCATGATATTTCCTCCGTTTCGGTTATTTCTTTTTCCACAGGTTTCTCTGGTTGTAAAACTTGTTCTTCCTGTGGCTTCTCTTTCTCTTCCGGTACCTTCTTTGGAATAGGTTTCAGATGCACCTCTTCCTTTTCCTCTTCCGGTTTCTTTGGCTTCCTCTTGCCCTTTCTCCACGATATTTCCTCTGTTTCGGTTATTTCTTCCTCTACAGGTTTTTCAGGTTGTAAAACTTGTTCTTCCTGTGGCTTCTCTTTCTCTTCCGGTACCTTCTTTGGAACAGGTTTCAGATGTACCTCTTCCTTTTCTTCTTCCGGCTTCTTTGGTTTCCTTTTGCCCTTTCTCCATGATATTTCCTGTGTTTCAGTTATTTCTTCTTCTACCGGTTTTTCTGGTTGTGGAACTACTTCTTCTTCTGGTTTTTCTTCTCCTTCTGGCACTTTCTTTGGAACAGGTTTCAGGTTATTTCTTCCTCTACAGGTTTTTCAGGTTTCTTTGGCTTTCTCTTGCCCTTTCTCCAAGATACTTCAGGTGTTTCAGTTGTCTCTTCCGTAATTTTGTCATCAGTAACTTTCTCTGGTTGGACAACTTTTTCTTCTTGTGGCTTTTCTTTCTCTTCCGGTATCTTCTTTGGAATAGGTTTCAGGTGTACCTCTTCCTTTTCCTCTTCCGGTTTCTTTGGCTTCCTCTTGCCCTTTCTCCACGATATTTCCTCTGTTTCGGTTATTTCTTCCTCTACAGGTTTTTCAGGTTGTAAAACTTGTTCTTCCTGTGGCTTCTCTTTCTCTTCCGGTACCTTCTTTGGAACAGGTTTCAGATGTACCTCTTCCTTTTCTTCTTCTGGTTTCTTTGGCTTCCTCTTGCCCTTCCTCAATGAAACTTCCTCCGTTTCCGTTACTTCCTCCTCAGGACGTTTCTCTGGTCGTAGAATTTCCTCTACCTTTGGTTTCTCCTTTTCTTCGGGTGTTTTCTTTGGAATAGGTTTCAGATGTACCTCTTCCTTTTCCTCTTCTAGTTTCTTAGGTATTCTCTTACCCTTTCTCCACGTTACTTCACTGACCTCTTCGACCTCATCCGTGGGTATTTCTTCAGGGACTTGTTCCTCCTCCACTTCAGGTTGTTCCTCTTCAGGCTTTTCAACCCTACCCTTCTTTTTTCCACGGCGCCAAGGAAGTTCAGTTTTTTCTTCAGGTTGTTCTGCTTCTGGTGCAATTTTTTCTTTGCGGCTTGGTTTGAGTTCGACTTCTTCAATGTCTTTTTCCTCCGGAGCTTTTTTAGGGACAGGTTTCAAATGCACTTCTTCCTTCTCATCAACTTCAGGTTTCTTACCTCGTTTCACTGGCTTTAATTTGATTTCCTCCTTCTCATCTTCTGGTCTTTCTGTTTTGATAGGTTTCAATTTTTTCTGCTCCTGAGTTTCCTCTTCGGGTGTTTTCTTTGGAATAGGTTTGAGTTGTACCTCTTCTTGCTCTTCTTCCTGTTCTTTCGATTTCCTTTTGCCTTTTTTAATTTTGATTTCCTCGATCTCTTTTTCTACCTTCTCCACGGGTATTTTCTCCTTGGTTTCAGGTTGTTCTTCAGGTGCTTTGGTCACTTTCTTTTTCTTCCCTCGCACCCAAGGCAAACCAGTTGTTTCCTCAGGCTTTTCTTCTTCCGGTACCTCCGTTTTATCTTTTTCGATGGGCTGTAAAGTGACTTCCTCAGAAACCTTTTCTGGCTTCTCTTTTTGGACAGATTTTAATTTTATTTCGTCTGTAACTTCTTCGTCGATTGTTTTCTTGGGAATTGGCTTGAGATGAACTTCCTCAACTTCTTCTGATTTCTCTTCAGGTTTCCTACCTCGCTTGATTGGTTTGAGCTTCACTTCTTCTGGCTTGGTTGCCTCAGGTTTATCTTTTGGCTTTGGTTTAGGTTTGATTTCTTCAGAAATCTCGGACTTCACTTCTTTTTCTATGGTGACAATTTTCTGGTCTTCAATTACTTCCTCCTGATCGATAGGGACGATCGTGACTTCTTCTTTAAATTCAACGACCTTCTTTTCTTTCTTTTCCGACTTCTTCTTATCTTTACGCCAAGAAACCTCAAGAGTTTCTGTCTGTTTTTCATCTTCAGGCTTTTCCTCAAGGGTCACTTCTTCCGGCTTAATTTCTTCTGGTTTTACCTCTTCAGGCTTTCCAACAACCTTCTTAGGCTTTTTACCACGTTTCCATGGAACTTCAGTAATTTCAGTAGGCCTTTCCTCTTCTGGTTTCTCTTCTACCTTTTTAGGAACTACTTCTTTCTCAGCGGATTTAAGTTTGATTTCTTCTTCTGTGTCTTCCTCTTGAGGTTGACGTCTCACAGGTTTGAGAACTACCTCCTCTTTGTCCTCACGCTCTTCGGGCTTCCTATCTCGCTTCGTTTTCTTCAAAGTGATCGAACGAATGTCTTCCACTTCAGCTTCTTTCTGTACTTCAACAACCTTCTTTTCTTTCTTTTCCTTGCGCCAAGAGACTTCGGTCGCTTCTTTCTTCTCTTCGGTATCAACGACTTCAGTGACTTGCTCTGTTACGTCTTGTTCTTCCTTCGTAACTTCTGGAATGATTTTCTTAGCCGGCTTCTTTTCTCGTCTCCAGGGCATTTCAGTCTTTTCTTGGGGCTTGTCTTCCTCCGGAACTTCAAGACCTTTTTCAAGTTTCGGTATATCCCTCTCAACAGGTTTCAGCTTAATTTCTTCGGCAGTCTCCTCTTCTTTAGGAACACGCTTCACAGGTTTCAGAACAACCTCTTCCTTGTCTTCCCTTTCCTCTGGCTTCTTTCCACGTTTCACAGGTTTAAGGGACACAGATTTTATATCTTCTATCTGTTCCTCTTGTTTGATAACCACTTTTTTCTCAACTTTCTCGCGCCGCCATGGTGCCTTCTCTTCAGGTTTAGCTTCCTCAGGTTGTTCTTCGACCTGTTCAGGGACCAAATCTTCTGGTTTTTGTACAGGCTTCAGTTTAATTTCCTCAGTGGTCTCTTCCTCTTTAGGCAAGCGTTTAGTAGGCTTCAAAACAACTTCATCTCTGTCTTCTCGTTCTTCCGGCTTCTTATCTTTTCTAGTCTTCCTCAATGTTACAGATTTTATGTCTTCTACATCGGTCTCTTTTTGAATTTCCAATACCTTCGTATCTTTTTGAGTCTTTCTCCACGAGACCTCTGAAACCTGTTTATCCTCTTCTGTCACTTGCTGGTCTACTTGCTTATCGATTTTCTCTTCTCTTACTACTTTTTCAATGCGTTTCTTTCCGCGTACCCAAGGTAGGCCGGATTTTTCTTCTGGTTTCTCATCTTCTACTAGTTCACTAACCAGTTCAGGTTGAAGGGCTTCCTTAGGCTTCTGTTCCTCAGGAGCTTCTTCTTCTGTTTCCTGAAGTTTACCTTTCTTTGGTTTAACCTTAGCAGGCGTGGGTTTTTCCTCTTCCGGTTTCTCCTTCTCTACAGGTTTTAATTTAATGTCCATTGAAGTCTCTTCTTCCTTTGGAAGCTTCTTCACTGGTTTCAGGACAACTTCTTCTTTATCCTCGCGTTCTTCTGGTTTTTTACCGCGCTTTACAGGCTTTAAAGAAACCGACCTGATATCTTCAACAACTTGTTCTTCTTGTTGAATCACCGTCTTCTTATCGATCTTTTCTCGTCGCCATGGTGTCTTTTCCACAGGTTTCTGTTCTTCCGGAATTTCCTCTTCCGGTTTCTCCTCCTCTGGAACAGGTTGTTTTGTTATACTTGGTTTTGGACCGCGACGCCATGGAGTTTCGGTAACTTCAGTTGGCTGCTCTTCTTCTGGTTTATCTTCAACCTTTTCTGGAGCTAGCAATTCAGTCTTTTTAGGAATGGGTTTAAGCTGAACCTCTTTCGGTTCCTGAACATCCGGTTTCTTACCAGGCTTAACCGGTTTCAGAGTACTTTCTTCAATTGTCTTTTCTGGTTTATCCTTCGTTACAGGTTTTAGTTTAACATCCTCGCGGTCTTTCTGTTCTGGTTGAGGTTTCTCTACCGGTTTCAGTTTCACCTCTTCACTCGTCTCCTCTTCTTTAGGCAGACGCTTAACCGGTTTCAAGACAATCTCTTCCTTGTCCTCGCGTTCTTCAGGCTTTTGTCCTCTCTTCACAGGTTTCAGAGTTACCGATCTAATATCCTCTATTTGCTCTTCCTGTTTTTCGATCACTTTCTTTTGAACCTTCTTTCCACGAAGCCATGGAAGTTGTGTAGTTTCTGTAGGTTTTTCTGATTCCTCCTCAGGAGCTTCCCCTGGTTGTGGCTTTATCTCTTCCTCCTGAAGTTTCTCAGGTTGCTTGTCTTTGGGCTTGATTTCTTTACCAGGTTTCTTGCCTCTCCTCCAAGTTGCTGTAGTCTCCTCAGTTGGTTTTTCTTCTTCGGGCTGAAGCTCTTCAAGAACTTGTTCAGCAATTGGTTTCTCCTCTTGCTTAGGCTTCTTTCCTCTCCGCCAAGAAACACCAACTTCTTCCGTAACACGTTTTTCCTTTTCTTCCGTTTTCTTTTCCGTAACCTTTAATATTTCAGTATCTTCCTGTTCCTCATATGGCGCCTTTTCTTTGGGTTTCTTCTTGCCCTTACGCCAGCTGACACCAGTTTCCTGTGTCTCCTCCTCTTCTACGACTTCTTCGTCCTTCACCACCTTCAAAACCTTTGTATCAACTTCTTCGACATATTGACTCGTAATGTCTTTGGAAACAGTCTTGAGATCCACTTGTTCGACAGTCGATTTTTTAACATCCTTCTTTTCAGTTCTAGATGGTTTAAGTTCAACTTCCTCAATGGTTTCCTTTGGTACTTCTTTCTTTTGAGGAGTCACCTTCTTGAGAGTAACCTTCTCCTCCGTCCATGGTTTGGGTTCTTCAGGTTTCTTTTGAAGAATTTCCTCCGACGTGGTTTTCTTAGGAACACGGCGGATACCTTCCGTATCAGATTCAATTTTAAGAATAGTGGTCTCATCCTGTTCAACGAATTCACTGACCTCGGTAACATCTTTCTCTATCTTACTTACTTCAGTACTCTTCTTAGTGACGGGCTTAAGGCCTACTTGTTCAATGCTAGGCTTGGGAACTTCCTTTTTCTCAGGTCTACTCGGTTTCAACGTGACCTCTTCAACAGTTTCTTTAGGAATTTCTTTCTTCTCTTTTTTGGCTGTCTTTAACGTGATCTTCTCTTCGGTCCACGGCTTAGCTTGCTCAGGTTTCTTCTGAGCATCTTCCTCCACGGGTTTCTTTGGGGCAAGAGTAATATCTTTTTTGGAAGTAACCTTCAAGAGTGTCGTATCTTCTTCTTCAATAAATTCAGCAGTCTTCTTCTGAACAGTTCTCTCATCGACAGTTACTTGTTTAGCCACAGGCTTGAGTTCAACATGTTCCAGGCTGGGTCTGCGTACCTCCTTCTTCTCAGGCCTCGCAGGTTTCAGCTCAACCTCTTCGATAGTTTCTTTAGGAATTTCTTTCTTCTCTTTTTTGGCTGTCTTTAACGTGATCTTCTCTTCGGTCCAGGGCTTAGCTTGCTCAGGTTTCTTCTGAGCATCTTCCTCCACGGGTTTCTTTGGGGCAAGAGTAATATCTTTTTTGGAAGTAACCTTCAAGAGTGTCGTATCTTCTTCTTCAATAAATTCAGCAGTCTCCTTCTGAACAGTTCTCTCATCGACAGTTACTTGTTTAGCCACAGGCTTGAGTTCAACATGTTCCAGGCTGGGTCTGCGTACCTCCTTCTTCTCAGGTCTCGCAGGTTTCAGCTCAACCTCTTCGATAGTTTCTTTAGGAATTTCCTTCCTCTCAGGTTTCGCCTTTTTCAGCGCAATCTTCTCCTCGGTCCAGGGTTTGGGTTGTTCCACTTTACCTGGAAGAACTTCATCCTTAGTGATTTTTCTCGTCGTATGCACCGTGGAATCACTTTCTGAGGTAACACTAAGAAGAGTGCTACTTTCCTCTTCCACGTATTCACCCTTTTCGATTGTCCCTCTTCGCGTCGTGACTCTCTCCTCAACCACATCCTTCGGAACAGGCTTAAGATCGACACGTTCCAAACTGGGTTTCCTAACGTCCTTCTTTTCGGGCTGTGTCGGTTTTAGCTCAACCTCTTCAATGCTCTCTTTAGGAATTTCTTTCTTTTCCGGTTTAGCTTTCTTTAAGGTTATCTTCTCTTCGGTCCATGGTCTAGGCTGATCACCTCTCCTTTGAGATATCTCTTCCTCGATCAATCTCTTCGACACTGAATCAGACTGACTTTCAGAAGTGACACTCCTTATACTAATATCCTCCTCTTCCGTATATTCAGTAACTCTTTCAGCCAGAAGCCTCTCGAGGGTCGTTTCATCAAAGGTCCTCAAATCTTTAGGTACCGGTCTGAGTTCCACATGTTCCAAACTAGGCCTCCTGACCTCACGCTTTTCGGTCTTAGCAGGTTTAAGTTCAACCTCTTCCAATTTCTCTTTCGTAATTTCCTTGATAACCTGTGGAGCTTTCTTCAGCACCACATCTTCCTCCGTCCAGGGTTTGACCTCAGGCTGGAGTAGTCTAGCCTGTTGAATTTTGTCCAGGGACGTGTCCCTGGAACGCGGCTTAACTTTCCTCCAGGGTGTCACGTTCGTAGGTCGAGCTCTATGATAGACACGACCTCTGCGCCAGGGTAAAGATTCATCGCCAGGCTGTAATGGAGCACCGATCGGATATCCTTCCTCGTCTAGAATTACTACCTCGTCCTTCAATCTTTTTAATTCTTTCGTATCTTTCGGTAACAAGCGAATCACGTTACCCACGGATTGACCATCCGTAGGTTGTTTACCAGTCTTATCGCCGGGTGTTGATTCGTCTGGTACCGTTGTCTGATAATAGACTCCTTTTCTCTCTGTAATTGTCATTTTAATCGTATCGGGTTACAGTGTGTTTCAGATATTGCTATCGAGCCATATCAGATTTGACACACACTCTCAATACAAGGCATCGTATGTGGAAAACTTCAATTCGAAGCCGTGCTGCACACTAGGAGGATGCATCGTCTACGAAAGGTTAGTCTAAAAACATTCTTATCCAAAGACTAATGTTAATAACAAAACACAAAGTTAAATAATATTTCAATCTAATCTCTATATATTAATATATATATATATATAATATTACAATAAATGGTTATGGCTATGAAATTCACGTAACAGGGCGCTGACCCCGAAAATTTCGACCTTCGACCTTATTATATTTAATTGCTAGAAGCTGGATGATTCAACGAGCCTAAAGTCACGAGTCAGCTCCTAAAAATACAACGTTATCTAAACAGTCAACAAACTGGTTCTGATGTCTCCCTCTCATTAACACGGTCCTTACTTCTTAACTCACGAGGCCACCGGGAAGTACATAAGTAGCTCAAGTATCGTCATAAGCAGCAAATGACTATGATGATTTTACGAGCTCGAAGTTCGTACCGTGTGTAATTTGTGCACCCGATGAAACGAAAATAATGCGTAACAAGACGGATTGTATGTTTTTTTGGCTTAGCATAACGATAACATTGCAAAATATTCAGTAGCACAGAAATTTCGCAGCCGACCTCGCCCACGTCCAAGTTGGATAAGAAATCTCACGTATATTTTTAGTCGCCATTATATTCCCGCGTCACAACATTTATATCATTTTTTATTTGCACTCTTGCCTAATCCGTATTCTACCTTTTTGGCTGTCTTGATCTAATTAAGCACAGCCTCGCTACGCAGGCACGACCTTGTGCCTCTTTTTAGGTTCGCTTTCAGCTCCGGAGGCCCATTGCGAATTCTGCTTCGATCAAATATAGAACGAGGAATGGCCGTGCTTTGATACGCACGAATATTGATAAATCGTTTTTAACGTGATTTTCATGTTTCTCCTATCCGACCTATTAATCTACGGTCTCGAAGATCTAAGAGCTTTTTATTGACAAATCGATTGACGAATAAAAATTTGTTTTTCGCCTCAGGACAAAAATATTTTGTGTAATTGCCCATTTTTTTTCTTTTCTTTTTACTCCTATTTTTTCTAACCGTCCTGCTAGCGAATAGAGCAACGTAATTGCATACGAGATTTACGCCTCATAAATCGGACCCAGCAGGATGGCCAAGAGCCAAACCAGCAAAACCAGAGAGACCGAGCAACCGTTACTCGCAAGATGTCCCATCAGCTTCCCCAAGTGCGGCAAATCGCCAATCGTTCTTCACCTTCGCGAACGGAAGCTCCCGTATGAATCGTTTTAAAATCCATCAACCGAGAGCACGGATCCACCTGTCTGTGATCGAGGAGGCATTATTTTTCTTCGTTTCACATCCAAAGACGAATATCAACTGTCTGGCCAAGTCACGTCTTATCTATTCGGAACGTAAAAGCTCCGAAGCCTTTGAATTTGGCAGGCGATCAGCGGGAGTCAATCGCGTAAATCTTGGACGTCACATAAATCTCAGACGACTTCAGGGCGTCTACGCAACGTGCGAAATCTTTGAGAGTCAGAGGCTCCGACTATTTTTAAACAGTTCACTCTCTGACTCCCTTGCTCTCTAGTTTTTAGCTATTTACCTCTCTCTCTCTCCCCCCCAGTCCTTCCCTACGACTTCTAGACTCCTGCGGCTTCCTGACGGCCAAGCAAACGACTTCGCGACCCATGCTGAGAATATATTAACGGAAATAACCGTCCAGTAGAAAATGGTAGGCGGCAGAGTATTTCCAAAATAGACATTTTTACTCCTGCGAATATAAATATCTACTGGACGCGTCTCTCGTCGAGGACCTCAGTCACGAGGTTGTTTTCGAACCACCCTATATAGTCAAGAATTTAGCCCGTTCACTTGGCCACGTGTTCCAGCGGTAATACGTGAACCGGCTGAAGCACGGTAAACGAAGTGGAGGTCGAGACGAGGAGTCAAGAGCAAGAGTGAAGAGTCCTTGATGAATGAAGAGGGGAGCAGAGTTGGGTCTATTGGTGGTGCATGTAGCTATCGGAATAGTGAATGCTGGTGGACCTTACAGATGGTGGGGATCACGTGTGTGACGTCAGTACACACACCTCCACTTATTTTAGTCTAGCCTCACGTTAATAGTCATCCACTGGAACTCGAGAGAGAACGACTCATTCTCTCACCTCAATTTTTCTTACTCCTCTTCATCTTTCATCTTTCCTCTTTCCCTTCCATCTTCTCTCATTCTATCTCGCTCCCCCTCTTTGACTCTTCGTCCTCTTCACTCCTCTCCATTTACCTTGTCTTCGTCTCTTCTTCTTCATTTCACATTGTCCGCGTGGTGCTTTCCGCCAGTGAGTTTCAATCTGTTAGTGTCGCGTGCGAAACGTGTTAAGATCTTCGGGGTTTGGCAGTTTAGCCGCCGTTTGGCTGTTTGTTGTTCGCGCCAAAAACAAGTGTCGCGACCGAGTGCGTTTGACAGTTCATTCGACGGGCCGCCTTCGATCGAACGTTCGTTAAAATTTTTTGACGTTCGATGGAAGCGCGGCCTTTTTCGAACAGGATACATATGGCGCCGATCTGGTACACAGTGTCGTGAAGGTGGCTTCAAAGTTTTTTTTTTTTTTTTTTTTCAAAAATCTACTTCATTGAGTTCGGTGCGAACGTGATTTTTTATCGTTTGGAAAATTATTTCTTATCAGTGAGGAAATTGTGAGATATGCTTGCGAAGAGGTCCTTGAGGATTTCTTATTTTATCTTGACTTATCAGACTTTCAAGTACACTTGGCATACGTCATCTATATTACATAGGACTGATGGAGCGTTTGCGATCGATATCTATCGATATGATTAATCGAAATTTGTGTCGATTAAAAAGATTATATTAAAGACTTAGTATCAATAAATGTTGATAGAGCGTTAAGAAAACTACTACCAACCAATCGGCGATAAAAATTACTAAGAATTGACTCGAAAGCAGAAATACGAGGTAGTCTCAAAGAGAGTCAGTGATCTAGCGCTAATAGTTGGTCAGGAGTTTTCTTTTTTTTTTTTTTTCGAGTGAGTCATAGGATTCTGTGTTTTGACAATTTATTGATTCGATCGGGACCAACGCGTCTCTTTCCTTGTAAAAATATAATTGTGACAGACCGTCAACGTGGTCTGGTGTCCCGTCTGGCGATTCTGACTCATCCCGAAACTGTCCTAGACATTTGTTTATTCGGATTCCTGGTCAGGGACTGATCTTCATCCCTTCTTCGCTCTTCGCGCTTCACTGCTGACTCCTCGGCCCTCATTTAGTCTTGACTCATCCATCCATTCGCCTCGCGGTATCCTCGTGTAATCTCATTCCTGAAATTCACCAAGAATATGCCTGGTCCCACCTTCGTACCTTCCCACCTTTCCAGAGTACGCTGACACACGTGGACTATTTTCGGTAGGGTGAATCATTTGTAGCTGGGTTGGCTGAAATAGCGTTTGCAAACGGCCCCCATCGTCATCCCCTCTTGACTGGGTCGCCCACGAAATATATGAAGCACGCGAGGATTGCGACCTCCTTCGTGTACTAAGGTGAAGACAAGTCGACCTGGATGAGTCAGTCTTGTTCTTCTACGACAATCGAAGATCAACATGGTTCCTCTTGCTCTTCTTTAAATTCTTCAAATTTCTTCCCCTTCCCTCTTCTTCTCTTTTTCCCAGCAGTTTAGCCCAGCGCAGACTCTTCACGCAGCCTGACGAATTCTTCGAAGGTCAACTGGACGATTCACTTGAGGGTCTTCGATTCATCGATCCTTGCCGATCGATCGATCGACCTTGTAGCTTCTTTACGAAGAGATCTTCGGTGATTGGGATGACCTCGTTTATCATCTTGAACCTGGTACTTAAGAACTATCACGCTAGAGTGTTGCATCGGACATTTTGTAAAAAATAAAAATAAATCTCAACAATTCGGTCTTCTGTCAAAATTTTATTTTCGTTCAATCACTCATCTTGACGATGAGTAACGATGCGGCGCTAACGAGACAATGGGCTTTTTTGAAAAAGATCCCAAAATTAACGTCGCTCACGAACTTCGGCCGCCACCAACGAATCCCGAGAATAGTGCAGCGCACAGACTTAGGTGGACCTCCCAGAAGTCTGTGCTTCTGGCTACTGGACGGAGTAACAAATATTTTTCTACATTTCCGGCATAATCAAAGTTATCTCACAGGCTCTGGATCGGAGGAATTTAAAAATTGCCCGGAAGCTCGGAAGATGCTTTTACAAAGAAAAACAATTTTAGTCCATATCTTTTTTTTTATATATTCAAAATCAATTTCTCCTATATTCATGAAAAATCGTCAGCAGATATCGACTGTTTATTATATTACGAGAAAAGAGTAAAATTAAAGTGGACTGTCAGTACGTATGAAGATTTGAAGGGACTCAAAGGCGAGGATCTTCAGGGTGTTCCCAGCACGCCAAATATAGCCGCGTAATGTAATACACGTCAACGTGCGCAGAAATAGCCTAACGCAAGAGAAGAGCTGAGCTTGCTCTCTCTGCACACGGCACCAGACCGACCAGAGCCGCTCACTTCATCCGAGACTCATTCTCTCTCTCTCTCTCTCTCTCTCTCTCTCTCTCTCTCTCTCTCTCTCTCTCTCGCGCTCTCTGGTAGAGCAGCAGTGCCACTGCGACCCACCGGGAAATGTATTATTTTATTTGCGTTTCCTCGAGTTCTCGTGAACGGCATGTGACCGGGTACTGGAAGGCAACACCCGAGGGACCGTGGAATATTGTCGTTTCGAAAAAGATATTTTGGGACTAGGACAAGACACGTGAACTCGTTGATAGGGCCACGAATGTTTCTCAGGAATGGGCCATAGGAGTTTCCGAAGCTTTTGAATCTTCAAAAGCTCATGAAGAGGTGAACGACCTCTGAGCTATCTGTCGCTCAATGCTAGTTAACTATTTCAAAGATATTAGTCGAAAGCTACGTTTTTTTGTACGTATAATCACTTTGTTGAGATAGTGACGGTGCCTAGAGAAATTTGAATTTTGAATTCTCGACGGAAGGTTCCAGAATTTTTCAAAAAACCTCATTTATCCTTTTTGTTTTTCATTCGCTTTTCTAAACCTTAAGAAATTTTCTATTGTATTTCTGTCCGATGCAAACTCTCATGTTTTTTTTTTTTGGAATATTTTTTTTTTAGTTGCTCGCGTAATCATTTGACAAGATAATCCTGTATATGAATATCTGATAAAATAAAATTAATTTGACAGCTTAATCGATAATTTCACGTTTATCGGTGCGCAGGTTCCTGATAAATCGCGAGTGCAATCGAACGCTTATTTTAAATGATATATGTACGTTAACTAAATGTGATCGTTGAATCAGCAACAAATGAGAATTGTTCATATTCGAAGCATTTTTTATTAGACTTTCCATTGTACAATAATAAATAATTAGTAGAATGTTAGGAGTATATGCATATATGTGATGTGTTTTATGTTTTTGCGTTTTGTGTTTTTTTTTGTTCTTCGTTTACGTGACTATATAACATGACAGGATAGAGACACAATGCGAATGACTAAAATGAATGATAAATATATGTAAATATATATATATATATATATAATATGTATAATATATGTATAGTGAAATTCGGATGAATTCTTTTTTTCTCCTCTAATCCCGTAGCTTTTCGTAGCTTCAGGGTCGTAATAAAAAATTCGAATTTGACTTCGATTGAATTTTTCGAAAATTGTCGTTATTTTTCACGCTTAGTTTTTCAGTTCCGCATTCATTTCGTTATTTTTTTTGTTTTTTCGTCTCTCACTTTCGTGATTGCCTCGGAATTCTAGTTCGATAAGAAACTCGTGGTCTTTTGCAGAAGAAAGACAGAAATACGTGTTCCGTTTCTATTTGGATCTGCCAAAAGGAAGAAAGGGCGACAAAGTATACAGGGCTATTCATAAGACGCGTCTCACTCATTTTTAATCGATGGATAATTATTTCTTTTGCACCATTTTTCATATGTCACATGGTTCGTACGTACTTAGGAACTCGCGAAATATACTTTGCCCCAAAATTCTCGCAGGACTCTTATCGATCAACGCTTCTCACAATTTCACGTTTTTCTTAGTGTTTCTATTTTTTTCCAAACCGTCGCTCCTCTCTTTGTTATCTCGAGAGCGTCTTTCCTTTCAGACCCAAGAATCTTTTAGCACCACCTTCACGTTTCGTCAGGTACCATTTTTGTCCCGTGAGGACATATTTTTTTTTGTTCTACTTGAATAATTAATAATAAAAGAAAGCCCTTGTTAATATCTACAGGAGAGACTTCACTAGGTGACCTCCATATTTCCTTAACTCTCCGTCTACACTTTCCTTCTACTTGGCACCGTTCATCTTGTTTTCCCTCAAATTTTCACCAGTAAACCGATACACTTAGACTAACGATGTGTTAGTAGAAAAAAAACTGCCCGACTTGCGAGTGATTAGGGTGAAAGAAGAAAAAAATAAGTTACGTTAAAAAAGCCAAAAGAAATACAGTGAAAAGGATAGAATAATAATAATAAATACGAGATGGAAAAAGAGAGTGTGTAAAGGTTTCGTTGCCTCGCGTCAATCGTTTTTTGCGCGTGCGCGCTCAAAATTGTTTTTTTTTTTTTGGTCATTTCGAAAAATCGACCAACCCCGTTTGTCCTGATTTACAAGCTCAACGTAGCAGGAATTTTTGAAAATTATTTTTTCAATACACGGGGCCGACTAGTTTGGATGTCAAACGCGGCAACTCGTAGGCACTTTTTTAATTGACTTTGGATTAAGAATTAATTTGGATTCAATTCTTACTTTTGACGATGAGTTTGGCGGATGTTTCGACGGTGCCGGCGGAAGTCGTGGCTCTGCAGGTGAAAGTGCCAGTATCCTCTTCATAGGTTGTCGCGATCAACAACACCGCGTTGTTGCCTTCGTGAATCATCTGCAATCAGATTTAAAAATTTTATCAATTTTCTTTCCTATTTTGATAGCATTCCTGTTTCTCCCAAAAAATATTTAAAAATTGCGTAACAATACCTATAGTTGGAAATTTTATAATTTACCTGGAAGTCGGGCGATTGAGGAATCAGCGCACCCTCTCGGTACCATTGAATAGTTGGTTTCGGTTTAGACGGGGTGACTTGTGTCTTGAATTGGGCCGGTTGTCCTTCCAGGACAATTTGATCCTTCAATGGCGTCAATTTCGGAAGGACGTCTGTGCTATCGGGAGCTGCAACAATAATAATAGTAACGTTATTAAAAAAAAGAAATTCATAAATTTTTCCCCACTATTTAATGTATACTTCAAATTCCATAAAGGTCAACTTACCAAGAACCTTAAGGTTGGCAGAGCTGATGACCTCGCCTGCAGGATTCTTGGCGATGCACTTGTAAACTCCTTCGTCCTCAGGGAACGCTTCGGAGATTCTTAGAGTGCACGAATCGCCTTCCTTTTGCATTTGGAAATACTTGGAAGGTTTGATTACCTGTTTCAAAAATAAATCCTCAATAGCGAGATATTCTGAATTTTGAAAAAATTTTTGTTTTTAAATTTCATTACTCCAGTTACCTTCTCTCCCTTTTTCCATTGAATGTTAGGCACAGGCTTGCCGGTAATCTTACACCTGAAGGCTACGGACGTTCCTTCCTTGATGGTCTGATCCTTCAGTGGTTCCAAAATGGTCGGTGCCTTCTCTACGCCTGGAGTCGAAGGTTTCGTCGTCTTGGTAGGTGACTGAGGTCCTTGGACGGTACAGTCGGCATCGCAACGTGCTTCACCAGCATTGTTGATAGCCACGCATTCATATTTCCCGGTGTCTTCAGGTACGGTTTCAAGGATCAGAAGAGTGTAGGTGTTGTCCTCTTCAAGTGTCTTGTAGCGAATATCAGCCGTGACTTTCTTTCCATTCTGTAAAAAATTTTATAGATGCCAAAATATATAAGGCTGAACTCTTCATCAACGTCCACGGATGCAGAACAATTTTTTTCCAAAAAAATACTTTACCTTGAGCCAGTAAACGTCGAGTGGTTTGGTTCCGGAAATCTTGGCATCGAATCTAGCGAGCTGTCCGGTAGGAACAGTCGTGTTCTGAATAGTCGTCAGGAAGCTGGGCGGAATGACCCCGCCGCGTCCAGGTTGTCTTCTTCGCTCTTCAACAACCAAGTTGGCACTGCACTTGGCTTTGCCTCCACGATTTTCAGCGATAACGGAGAAGACTCCAGAATCTTCCATGAAGACTTGTCGTATGATCAGCACCGATTTCGTGCTGAACGTATAAATCTGAAGATCGGATGAGTTCTGGATGGGGAAGTCCTCACGGTACCACTTGACAGTGGGTAATGGATCTCCGTCAAATTCAACTTCGAATCTAGCTTGCTCCTGTTCGAAGGCTCTGCAAGGTTGAATCTTCTTCGTGAAGACCGGCGGCTTCGACGGCTTCACTTGACCCTGAACAACTCGTTCCTGAGTCTTCGCCTTGTGCTCCACTTCAGTAGTCTCCGTCGCCGTGATCTTCCTCGTGATCTCCAGGTCGCCCTTGACCTCCTTCTGCGTCTGCTTCTGCTTGGCTACGTGAACTTCACGTCCGTGAACTGTTGACTCCGATGGTTCAGGTGGGTACTTCCCATCAACGTGTTCACTGTCGATTTCAACTTCACTCGTGTATGGCTTCCTCAAGACTCTCTGTGTTGGTGGCTGACCCGGTTCTTGGGGTTGAGTTTCCCTGGAGAAACAATCTCTGTATAAGTAACGACCTTGAACAAACAAAAATGCCGATGAAGACACTGAAGTCGACTCACAGGTTCTCCTGGTACTTCTGCGCCATTCCCTTCGCCAGGGAATTGTTCACCAACTTGTCACCAGGAATGGCGAACTGATGAGTCGTTTCACGGAGTCTGGTTTCCTTAAGGACCTGCTCCTCCTCCAGACTCATCAGCTTGTTATAGTAGTCCTCGTTCTTCTTGGTCTTCACGGACTTCTGCCACTCGGTTTCCGGTTCTCTAAAGACCTTCTGTCCGAGATGCTCCGTGGCAATATCTACACCCTGGGATACGGTCTGGTGACGTTCGTCGAAGACACGCTCCAGTTCTGTATTCTGACGCTCCGACTGGTACTGAGTCAGCCCGTAATCGTACCACGCTAGGAAAAACTCACGTTAGAGATCCTCGTCTGTTCTGATTCGGCCTTTTTCGCAAATTACCTTCTGGCTTCCTTTCGGTCTTTTATTCTTTTTTTTTCGATCACCTCTAGATCAATGCATGCCCAACAACATTCGTAGTATTCATAAATAAACGATCGATTAATATCATCAGGGAATACGACACAATACTTCATTCGCGATGCAACAAACAATTACTTATCCGACCCTTCGTGGACCAGAAGGTTTCAAAGGGGAACAATAGAATTTTTTTTTATCTTTTAGATTTTTTAACAATTTAATTCTCTAAATGTCCTCGAAGGAAGAAATTAAATAAACAGACAGAGAAAGGGTGGGTCTCAAAGATTTGAAAAATATATCCATTTATAAAAAAAAATTAATAGGCTCAATATTTTTTTATGAATAGCACAGTATATCTACTGGCAGCAAAAATAGTATATTTTTGAAAATAAAAAATATAAATAGCTCACATTCGTTGAACAGTATGAAGAATAGAAATGTCAAAAAAATATATTAAAGCCGTTTTAAACAAAAAGAGGCCAGGATGGATCGTGGACATATACAGAGAGGTCAATAAAAAAGAAAACAGAGATATATGAATAAAGTAAATAACAGTAAACAGTAAATTATTCAATGAAATAAGAGGAATAAAAATATAGAACATGGCAACAGTTACTACGAGAGAGAGGAAGGATCGAAAATGAAGAAGAATAACGTGGGTTACACGATAAACAAATAAATACTACTATTACCGGACGATGTCTTCCATACACATATGCATACCTGAAGTGGCACTATCCTCGCGGAATGCGTTAAATGAAGATTCGTAGCTGATTATCATCATCGTAATCATTGATTATCATTAAAATGCCTTGCTTGAATAATTCGCAATCACCGATCACAGCGGCTTGGGGCACAACAGAGCAGTAGAAGAAATAGAAGAAGAAGAAGAAGTAGAAGAAGCAGAGGCGGTACCAAAAATTCTTAAAGAAAGTTTGGTCACTTCCCAAGGATAAAGGACCAGTAAGGATCATGGGTCATCGGTTGGACCATGTGATCAAGTGATCAAGATCAGGATGGCAAAGTGGCTGTGCTGGTCTCAAGTATTTCTGTCCTCGAATGTAGTGTATGTGTCGTACCAAAATGTACTGAGAATGTTTTGCTTGTTCAATGTTGGCTGCATGTATGTTCTAATGTTTTCAGCAATTTCTATTTGTACGTGAAGTTCGATGAATTTTTTGTACAAAAAGATCTGTGTTAAAATCCGTTAATCAAGACCAAGGATTCCTTTTTCCATATTGTCGAAAATGCAAAAATATTTTTTTTTTCAAAAAATTCATCGAATCATCTCTCCGGTCCAGAGTACCATCTCATAGTGTACTTACGTCGCGGTGAGTTCTTCAGGACTCCGCGATAATCGTCGCTACGTGGTTTCACCGTGAGGAAGGTCTCAGTGCGCGCCTCGCCGACTGAGCTTCTGGCGATGACCTCGACCTTACCATGATCGTATTGTCTGGTCTTCGGGATGTCAAGATGATACATGCCATCGTAGGTCAGCTTGTAACGCGCACCCTGTTGATGTTGAATTCGAGGGAAAATTATATATTTGTCTAAATAAATGAATTAATAATTAAAATTGACCTAGTACTTACGTTTACGACAGTGTGTCCGTTGATCAGCCACATCACTCGAGGTCGTGGGTGACCTGTCACGCGACAGCAGAACCTGGACCAGTCACTTTCTTCAACCGTGACTGGTTCAGGTTTGCTGACAAAGGTTGGTGGCGCACGAACCTTCTCCTCTTCACCTTCCTCTTCCGGAGCGCTATCGGAGCAAAAATATATGAAGAACCGATACGATTTGCCGAACGATAGGTTCTAGAGTTTAGGATTACTTACACCTGCCAAGCAGCCTCCATCTCTCTGATCATCTCGATACTCTTCATGCCCTTGGGAAGTTGGGACTCGTAAATGATGCCCGGTTTGCCAGCTGTTCTGATGACTGCCCTTGTTTCGTCCATGCCGTAAAGATTGGTAGCTCTACATAGATATTCTCCACTGTCTTCGGGGTAGACCCAGCCGAAGTTCATGGCCACGTAGCCGAAGTCGTAGATCGGCGAGAATCGGTTCTTGTGTGGCAATGGTTTTCCGTTGAAGAACCATTCGACCTTCATGTTGGGATCGCCAACTGGTGCCAACTGACATTCGAACTTCGTGCTGTTCATTTCTACGAGTTCAGTCTGATCCGTGATCTGGGTCACGAATCTGGGTGGTTGCTTTTTGTCAGCGTCGTAAAGGTCGTCCTCGGTAAGGTGAACTTCGGAGGTATACTTCTTGATGGTAGCTTCCATCTGCATCAACGCTTCGGATTTCTTCATGCCCTTTGGTACTTGGTTCTGAAGAATGATGCTTGGCAGTTCTAGAAATTTAAAATTTGTCAGCTCACCAAATATTTGGAAGAGGTGCCCTGTGTCATTCGTGGTTTGAAAAAGGAATTTAGATATTACAAAGTGGAACTTACTCTTGCAAGAAACTGATGCCCTGGTGGTGTCTTCTCCAAGGTCGTTGATAGCCTTGCAAACATATTCCCCAGAATCTTCAGGATATACGTATAGAATGTCCATAGACACGAATCCCATGTCGTAAACAGTCCTGTATCTGTGTCCCGCAGGAATAACTTTTCCATTCCTGTACCATTCAATGCGAAGGTTAGGATCATCCTTGGGTTCAACTCTGCACTCGAACCTGACTGGTTCTGATTCATCAACAGTTGCGGATTGGATTTGTGTTATGAATTTCGGTGGTTGACCAGGTGCTTCCTGAGCTGGTGCTTCGCTCACTGGGCCACGTTCCAGTTCTTTAAGCTTTTCTCCGCTCATTCCAGACGGCAGCTGAGAATCGAAGTCAATGGTCTTCTTAGCTGTAATTAGAAAATACGTTATCAAAAATTTCTGTTAAAAATGTGACACAATTGAAAGTTTTCCAAGGTCAATGCACTTACACTTGCAAGTAATAGTAGCCTTGGTGGTTGCTGATCCCCACTTGTTCGTAGCTCTGCACACGTATTCACCACTGTCTCTGGCGTAAGTGTAAGAAAGATCCAGAGAGATGAATCCAAAATCGTTTATTTGGTGAACGCGTGAACCGGTTGCAAATGGTCGGCCATTGTGGAACCAGTCTACACGCATCGTGGGGTCACCCACGGGTTCCACTCGGCAATCAAAGTGACTGGGACCAGCTTCTTCGACCTCGATGTCCTTCAGTTCGACTGTGAACCTTGGCGGATTAGGTGTCTCTTCCTCGGATAGGATCTCGTCTCTCTTGTAGAGCGACTCTTCAAGTTTCTGGATGCTTTCAGTTCCGGTTTTGAAGTTGCTTGGAAGTTGTGGCTCGAGGATGATTCCTTGGCGCCCACGCACTTGCAATTTGCAGGAGACAGTAGCCTCGCCGTGACGGTTGGTAGCCTTGCAGGTGTAGAGGCCAGAATCGCGTTGGTAGCAGTTAGCGACCTCCAGGATGACGAATCCAAAATCGTGGATCGTCTTGACCCTGGATCCAGCAAGAAGTGCTTTACCGTTATGGAACCACTCGACTCTCATGCTAGAATCATTGACAGGTTGAAGTCTGCATTCGAAGTGGGCCAAGGAATTCTCTCCCAAAGTCAAATCAGATGGTGTCGTGATGAACTCTGGTGGTTTTCCGGTGTCGTCGTCGGGGCTGGGTTGTCCTGGTTCGTTTCCAAGACCCTCGAGTTCGGCAATCTTATCGATTGTGCCCTCCATACCCTTTGGCAGCTGCGATTCGAGAATGATGCTGCGCTTGCCAGTACACTTCAGCGAGCACGTGGTGACTGCTTCACCATAATCGTTGGATGCTCGGCAGCTGTACTCTCCAGTGTCTTCGGGATAGATTGGAGATATCTCCAGGATGACGAATCCGAAGTCGCAGAATGTGCGGAATCGCGAACCGGTTCGTAGGGGCTTTCCATTCCAGAACCATTCGACCTGTAATGGCAAATTCGTAATCATGTGCACCTGCCTTTACGAGACACAATCTGGAATCTGTAAGAGAAACGATATTAGAAAATATGTAAACTACCTTAAGTTTGGGATCGTCAGTAGGTGTAAGTCGTGCTTCGAAGTGGGCACTTTCGCCTTCTCGAAGACCATCAATGTTGCTCAAAGGAACCGTGAATACTGGAGCCTTTCCGCGCTCTTCAACAGTTCTTTCGTCCTTGGTGCGAACCAACGAATCCTCGAGGGTCTGGATCTTCTCCAGACCTCCTTCCATACCCTTGGGCAGCTGGGATTCCAAGATGAGGTTGGTCTTCGACAGACACCTCAGAGTTGCTTTGGTGGTATCCTCGCCATACTTGTTAACGGCTCTGCACTCATAAACACCAGAGTTCTCCTCGTAGCAGTAAAGGATGTCCAGGATGACGATACCGAAATCGTGGAAGGTCCTGTAGCGATGACCATGTGGCAATTTCTTGCCATTGTAGTACCACTCGACCTTGAGGTCAGGATCAGTGATTGGGGTGAGTCTAGCTTCGAAGTGGGCCGACTGGCCCTCTACTAGCTTAGTAATGTCAGATATTTGTGTGATGAACTTCGGTGGTTCAGCTACCGGGGTGGTTGGCGCTGCTTGTTGATCGGCACCAAAGCTTTCAAGCTCGCGAATGCGCGCGAGGGAATCGGGCTGAAGTGAGTCCAGGTAGACTCCACTCTTGCCGAAACACTTGATCGTTGCCTTGGTGTAGTCTTCGCCATACTTGTTGCTGGCCTTGCAGACGTATTCGCCAGTATCGTGGGACATCACTCCAGCAATGTCCATGACTACGAAACCGAAATCGGAAACCATCTTGAAACGGGACGAGTGGCGAAGTGGTTGACCATTGTGGAACCATTCCACCTTCATGGTGGGATCTCCTACTGGGATCAGGGTACACTCAAAGTGGGCGGATTGGCCATCCTTGAGACCTATCAAAGATTGAATCTGTGTGGTGAACTTTGGCTTCTGACCCTTAGACTTGTCAACGCATTCGAGATTCACGCTGATCTCAGCCTTGCCCCATTTGTTGGTAGCCCGACAAGTGTATATTCCAGAATCCTCGATCTTCGTTCCAAGAACTTCCAGAACGACCATGCCAAAGGCATATACGGTCCTCGTGCGATGACTAGCTTCGAGAGGTTTTCCATTGTAGAACCATTCGACAACCATAGTTTGATCTCCAGTGGGAGTCAGGGAAGCCTCAAAGTGTGCAATTTCTCCTTCAGATAGATTAGTCAAGTTCTCGAATTGGGAAGTGAAGACTGGCGGATGTCCATCTTCACCTTCAGGTGCGGCACCCTCCTGCCTCTTCAATGATTCTTCCAGATCTTGAATGGCTTCCAAGCCTTCCTTTCCTTTGGGATGCTGGGACCTCTCGATTACGTTCTCCTTGGTCGAGCAGTAGATGGTGGTTGATGTAAATGCTTCACCAGCCTTGTTGTAGGCCTTGGCGGTATAGATACCAGAGTCGCGGTCGTAGGCATCGGTCAGGTCGAGCGTAACGAATCCAAAGTCACTTGTCATCTTGAAACGAGCACCATGCTCCAGAATCTTTCCATTGAAATACCATTCGATCTTCAGATTAGGATCATCTTTGGGTTCCACCTGTCCTTCCAAATGAAGAGGCTCGGATTCACCCAACTTGAACTCTGGTAGCAGAGGCACGGTCCAAATTGGTTTAGGATATTCGAGTTCAGGACCGGAGTCGCGTCTTTGAAGCTTCGAAAGATAAGCTTCTTCAACTTCTTTGACTTTATCGAAACCAGCTTCACCCTGAGGATGTTGAGTTTGAAGATAGATATTCTGTTTACTGGTACACTTGAGAGTACCAGTAGTCTGTGCTGATCCCTTGGAATTCGTAGCCTTAACAGTGATCACGCCAGAGTCTTCTTCATAGGCATGAGTGATATCCAAAGCCACATAACCAAAGTCGTAGGTCGACTTGAACCTTGCCCCAGTTGGTAATGGTTTACCGTTGATGAACCATTCGATCTTCATCGTAGGATCTTTGGAAGGTTCGACATTGCACTCGAAGTGAACATTATCGCCTTCGGTACACTCGACGTTGTTAAGATGAGTGATGAAGACTGGTTCTTCGTAGGTGGGTTCAGGCTGTTCAGTGGATGAGACATGGGGTTGTTCGAGAGCATCGATCTTGGGAAGAGCATCGGGATGAAGAGTATCACCGAGGAGCCAATGGCGGTCGACGATCTTCAGGCTGCAGGTTGATACAGCTTCACCAAGTAGATTCGTGGCTTTGCAGGTATAAATTGCAGAGTCATCGTCCCTGAGTCCATTGATGGAAAGAGTCACGAGACCAAAGTCGAAGGTGCTGCGCAGCCGGGTACCAGTTTGCAGTGGTACACCATTCTTGAACCATTCAACGCGCAGATTTGGATCAGCTCTAGGTTCAACTTGAGCTTCAAGGTAGACATGTTGACCTTCGACCAGTTTGTCGTAGCTCTGCAGGTGAGTTGTGAAAACTGGTGCCTGCTGGGGCGTCGTGTCGATGAACATTTCAGGAACCTTGTTCATCTCGGCTTCCTTCAGTTGGATCTTTTGCCAGGCGTCAGGCTGAAGTGTATCGCCAACGATGGCTGATCTAGCTTTGACCTTGAGAGAAATTGATGATACTGCCTCTCCAGCCTTGTTGATGGCCTTACAGGAGTAGACGCCAGAATCCTCGGAGATGACCTTGAGGATATCCAAGGTAACGAAGCCGAAGTCATGGCTGACATGGAAGCGAGATCCTGCGGAATTCGAAATCACCATTAATTTTCTCTCTCCACTGGAATACACAATTTACTAAATATTAAGAAAAAAAAAATAATAAAAAGAACATTTGCGTGCTGTACTAAAAGTGCTTTATTCAGCCCCTTTTCTAAAAATATCTACTGAAGCCTAGTGATAAGGATTAGATTCTGGAAAATAAAAAGCTTCCCACCACCATCGATACACCTATCGATAATATTTTTGTACCTGGTGGTTGCGTATTAACAAAATAGCCGTACTCATCTGAAAGTAAGCAACACGAAACACATTGGTTAGAGCACACCTCACAGACACATTATTCACACCTTTACAAAGAACCCATTTATTATTTGTTCTAGAAATTCTAGCGATAACAACTTCATTTTTCAATCTTACCCATTTTCAGTTCGACGCCGTTGACGTACCACTCGAATCTCAAACTAGAGTCCCCAACGGGTACGACTCTGCATTCATAATGTGCTACTTGTCCTTCCCAGAGTTCGGTAGGACCAGTAAGAAGCTGTGTGAAGATTGGTTTATCGAAGACCTTTTCGGGTTCTTCTGCACGGCTTGGTCCTTTGTCAGCTTCCAACTGAGCAATTCTACGTTGAGCTTCAGGATGCTGAGTGTCCAATTGAATATTGGCTTTAGCTGCGAAATGAAGAAAAGTTGGGTTGAATATTCCTGTTGAGAGGAAACTAGATTCAAGTTGGCTGCTGACAGTAAGATATTTACTTCTGATCTTCATGGAAGCCGTGGTAACAGCTTCACCCAGTGGATTGGAAGCACGGCACATGTAGACGCCTTCATCTTCATCGCGTACATGATTGATGTCCAGGGACACGTATCCAAAGTCGTGAACTTTGGTAATTCTTGAACCTGAAATCATAGAAGTATTTAAAAATGTAAAAATCATTCGCTAAGTTCATACAATTCTGAAAATTTTTCAAAATTTCTGAAGATCCATACTTGTCTCAAGTGGCTTCTCGTTCCTGAACCACTCAACCTTGAGAGTAGGATCTCCCACAGGGATGAGTCTGCACTCAAAGTGGGCAGTTTGTCCCTCAGGTATAGCATCGATGTTCTGAAGAGGCTGAGTGAAGACTGGTCGTTGTCTAGTTTGCGGTTCAGGAACATCGGGTCTCTTCCAGGGCTGCTGAGCTTCCAGCTCACGAATCTTGTCCATTCCCTCGGGACGCTGGGAATCCAAAATGATGTTCTCACGAGGGATGACCTTAAGGTTGATCGAGGAGACACATTGGCCAAGGGCATTGATAGCGCGGACGGAGTACTCTCCAGCGTCTTCAGGGACGGCATGACTGATGTCCAGGGCGACGTAACCAAAGTCAAAGGTTACGTGGAATCGGGATGCAGATGGTAATGGCTTTCCGTTATGGAAGAATTCAATACGAAGATTGGGGTCGTGCAGAGGTTCGACCTGGCACTCAAAGTGGGCAGTTTGTCCTTCGTAGATCTCGGTGGTTCCCTAGAATGAAGATTTATAATAGTAATTTCTAGTTTCTTAAAAACCTTACTTTTTTATTTATATACTGGATTTCACTTACCCTGAGTTCAGTGACGAATCTTGGTGGGCTCACTGGGGGTTCTTCTACTTCCAAACGAGCAGGGCGACCTTGGGCTTCCAATTCTCGAATCTTTTCAAGACCATCTGGATGTTGAGTATCGAGAAGGATGCTACGGCGAGCTAAAAAGATTAACGTAGGTGTCAGATTTTTTGAACGTCAAAAATAAGGTTAGCGATGAAATAATTATTTCCCCTTGTATACTTACAGCCAACCTTGATGGTGCAAGTGTTGACAGCTTCACCAGCCAGGTTGGTAGCTTTACACATGTATGTACCAGAATCTTCAGAGTAAGTGTAAAGAATGTCAAGCGCCACATAACCGAAGTCATGGGTCGTGCGGAAACGATGACCAGTTTTAATCGCGACACCATTAACGAACCTTCATTCAAAATCCTCATAAGTTTCATTCCATTCATTTCATGACGTAAAAAGATTTATGAAATTATATTAGCTAAAAAATCGTACCATTCAATCTTCAAGTTGGGATCGTTGATTGGCTCCACACGGCATTCAAGATGAGCATGTTCACCTTCCTTAAGGTGATCCAGGTTGTTCAGTGGCGTCAGGAAGACAGGTTTCTGGTGAACAATTTCTTTTTCTACTTCCTGTTTGATTTCCACGGTTTCAAGTTCGCGGATCTTCTGCAAACGCTGAGCATCCAAGGTGTCGAGGCAGAGACCTTGTTTAGCTACGGAAACGAAGAAACATGATTAACCTCAAAATTCATTTACTTATGAACTCTATGACCTGTGCATATGAACTTACAGTCGACGGAAATGACACAAGTAGTAACAGCTTCTCCAACTGCATTTCTAGCCTTGCACATGTAGGTACCCGAATCTTCAGGGTAAGCGTAAAGAATATCAAGGGCGACGTAACCAAAGTCGTAGGTGGTCTTGAACTTGTGTCCTTGCGGGATGGGTCTACCATCTCTGAACCATTCAACAACCATTGTGGGATCATTGACTGGGGTCAGGGTAGCTTCCAAATGAGCATTCTTGCCTTCAGGCAGATGCTCAATGTTCTTCAAAGGACGACCAAACTTCGGTTTCTCAGCGATAACCGTGTCTTCATGGGGAACGCGTTTGTAACGGGAGTCATCCTCCAGGTACTGGATCTTCTGAAGAGCGCCTTCGTGCTGAGTATCACGAATGATGGAAGCGCGAGCTGTGAATTGGTAATTTAATTATCATCATCATCATCACCGAAATCATCAAGTTTACACCATGGCCAATTTCTAAGCTGAACATTGTGCACTTGACTAAGGATCTTGGCTCTAAGAAGCAAAGCTGTGCACCTAACATCAGATGAACTCTTCGAAAATTGGGATATTTACTTTCCAAAAATAAGGTAAATATGGAAAATAGAACCAGGAACAGGAACGCGTTCCTCTGTAATGTCTTACTCACATTTGACATCAAGATTGATCGAGCTCTGGGCCGATCCGAGTTTATTGGTGGCCTTGCAAGTATAGGTGCCAGAGTCTTCAGCATGGACAGACAGTACGTCCAAGGAGGCGAAACCAAAGTCACAAGTGGTTCTGTATCTGTGACCAGTAGATAATGGCTTCCCGTTATGGAACCATTCGACTTTCATGTTCGGGTCAGGATAAGGCTCGATGCGGCACTCATAGTGTGCGCTTTGACCTTCGACCAAATTGGTGGGTCCGTTCAATTGGACCGTGAAGGAAGGCTTGTCCTTAACGACAATCTCCTCCTCGTCACGTCGCTGATACTTGCTAGTGTCTTCCAAAGCTTGAAGCTTCGACAAAGCGCTTTCATGCTGCGATTCGAACTGCAGGGCTGCCTTCGCTGTATACGAGAAATCTTATATCAAAATTCCAAGTTCTTCCTACGACTAACACCAGAATTAACATTTTCATTTTCTAATAAGCTGGCATCTCCCAAATTCCCATTTGGATTTTACCTAATGTCAATTGGATCTACTTGATTGGTACGTTATTTATTATTCTTTTCTAAAGGATGATAACTATTGCCAAATACTAACTACTGGGTGCTACCGATACTGTGCAACTTTTCATACTAATTTTCTAGATTGGACGACTTGATGACGTCGAGTACTCACACTGAACGAAGAGAGTGGCTGATGTTACAGCCTCGCCAAGATCATTGACAGCGCGGCAAGTGTAGGTTCCGGAGTCCTCGGGGTTGACATATTTCATGTTCAATGCCACGTAACCAAAGTCGTGCATTGTGGTTACGCGATTAGCTGTTAACAATATACAGTTATTGGATGTCTTTTTTTTAATGACAAGTTTTGCAGAATTCATTGTCAGAGTTTCTGTGTGACTTACAGGCTGCAATTGGTACTCCGTTACGCAGCCATTCCACTTTGAGTCTGGAATCACCTACAGGAATGACACGAGCTTCGAAATGGGCTGCTTGATTTTCAGCAACTCTCAGGTCCTTGATGGGCATCGTGAAGACAGGAGCCTGACTGACTGTCTCTTCCTGCACGGCCTTGCGTTGGTAGCGAGATGAATCTTCCAGATGCTGAAGTCGTTCGAGGACTTCCTCGCGCTGGGATTCCATGTAGATTGATTTTTTGGCTGTTGAAAAATATTTCGTAGCATATTAATCTAATGCTGAAAAGATTTTATGTTGATGAAGAATGATGCTTACAATGTACCACTGCCGTAGCGGAAGTGATGGCTTCTCCGATGGCATTTTTAGCACGGCAGGTGTAGGTTCCGGAATCCTCAGGGTAGGCGTACATGACGTCCAGGGCGACGAAACCAAAGCTGTTGGTTTCTACGAATCTTGAACCAGCCTTTACTGGCTTGTTGTTATGGAACCATTCAACCTTCATTGTTGTATCTGAAACCGGAATGAGTCTGCACTCGAAGTGAGCTCTTTGTCCTTCCTTGATCTCGACGTTCTTCAGGGACGTGGTGAAGATTGGTGCCTGGGTAGTGGTCTCTTCAGTGACCTCACGCCTCTGGTACTTGGACCTATCTTCGAGATAATGGATTTGCTCGAGGCCTACTTCGTTCTGGGTGTCAGTAAGGATCTGAGCAGTTGATCGGCAGCTCAGGTTACACTTGACCTCATCACTGCCAACGAGATTGACAGCACGGCAGGTGTAGGTACCAGAATCCTCGGCGATTAGGTCAATCACATCGAGAGCAACGTAGCCAAAGTCGTGAATGGGACGGAATCGGTGTCCTAAAGGAACAAAAATTTAATAAATTCCAAAAAATAATTTTTTTTTTTATTATATCATCTTGATCTCTGAGATACTTGCCTACAGTTACTGGACGACCGTTCTTGAACCACTCTACTTTAAGATTAGAGTCGGTAACAGGCTCAAGTTTGCATTCAAAGTGGGCATGCTGTCCCTCCCTAAGGTTCTCCTGATTTTTTGGGGTAGTTACGAACTTTGGCTTAACATTAACAACCTCGTCCACTAGCTCGTTCCTCTTGTACCTGGACGAATCCTCCAGGTACTGAATCCTCTCCAATCCTTCAGGATGCTGGGATTCGAGAATCAGATCCTTCTTAGCATGGACGCGTACGGAGCACGAAGTTACCGCTTCGCCGAGTTGGTTACGAGCTTGGCAGGTGTAGACTCCAGAGTCTTCGGGATAAACACCCAAGATGTCCAAGGCAACGTAGTCGAATTCATAAGAAGGCCTGAATCTGTGTCCAGTTTTCACAGCTCTTCCATTAACGAACCAGTCGACCCTCATGGTGGAATCGCCAACTGGTTGAAGACGACACTCCAGGTGAACGTTGGTCAGTTCGACGGTTTCGATATTATGAAGTGGACGAGTGAACTGAGGTGCCTGCTGGACGGTCACTTCTTCTTGCTGAGTTCTACGATATTTCGAAGAGTCTTCCAGCATCTGGATCTGTTCGAGGGACTGTTCGTTTTGAGAATCGGTAACGATGTCTGATCTTCCAATCACGCGAACGCAAGCTGACGTATGAGCGGTACCAAGATGATTGGTGGCCCTGACGGTGTACTCTCCAGAATCCAGAGCAGTGGCGTGAACGATGTCCAAAGCCACAAATCCAAAGTCGTAGTAAGTCCTGAATCTGGAGCCTACGGTTACTGGTCGGCCATTTTGGAACCATTCCACTCTCATGGTAGGATCACCCATTGGTTCTAGGCGACATTCCAGATGGATATTCTTGCCCTCGCTTATCGGTTTAGGGTCATTCAATGGTTGCACGAAGATGGGTTTTGATTTTGAGATTTCTTCGATGTGGTACTGAGGTTCCACAAATTTTGATTCTTCAAGTCTTTGGGTTTTCTCGTAGGTCCCACGATGCATGCTACTGGTGTCAATGCCAGAACGAGCTACAAAGGATGAATTCGAATTACACACATGGAATAGACAAATTCTAAATCTGACCAAAGAATGTCGTTCCTCTAAAAGTTTTACTCACTTTCAACAATCATGGTGGCAGACAGCTGTGCTTCGCCAAGAGCATTTCTAGCAACAACCGTATAAGTTCCTGCGTCTTCTGAACGAACTTGAAGGATATCAATGGCGACGTATCCAAAATCATGATAGGTCTGAATCCTGTTGGCTGCTGTAATAGCCTTTCCATTGTGGTACCATTCGATCTTCATGGTGAGGTCACTTTGGGGTTCAACGCGAGCTTCGAAATGAGCGCGTTGACCTTCTACTATCTTGTTGGTACCCTTGAGAGGTCCCAGGAAACGTGGTGCCTGGGTGACCTGAGTCTCTTCCTGTACCTGACGAGAATAACGGCTCGAGTCCTCGAGATTTTGAATCTTCTGCAATCCAGTTGGATGCTGACTATCGAATATAACGTCATTCTTGCTGATAACGCTCAATTGAGCCGTGGTGTGTGCCTCGCCGGCCCTGTTGTAGGCGCGGCAGGTGTACACACCCACATCGTGGATCGTCACGTATTTAATGGTCAGTGCTACATAGCCAAAATTGAAAAAGGTAGTGGTTCTTGAACCTGAAGACAAAACAAGACAGTGGGGTATTAGTAACCCGATTAAAAAAATCAAAATTTGTTGTTTTATCCTTATTTGATACGTCAACTCACTAGCTTCTACAGGACGTCCGTCCTTGAGCCATTCGACACGGAGATTCGAATCTCCGACTGGCTCAAGGCGGGCCTCGAAGTGAGCGAACCCGCCCTCTCGAATGCTATTCTGATCCTTGATAGGCGTTTTGAATTCCGGTGGGCTCGAGTGTTCAGGCTGCTCCTGAACATATTTCTGTTGCATGGCCTGTTGATAGGCTTCCAACTCCTCGGCAGCTTCAATGTACCTCTGCTGCTCGGGTATGCCCAAGTCAGCGGTAACGCTGGTGCGTGCTGAAAAATTATTCAAAAAAGTTCAATGAAGCTGCGAATTTTTTTTTAAATCGATCACGATCCTTAACTTTTATTCATTTTTATAAAATTACCATAGACACGAAGACTGGCAGAGCTGACGGCCTCTCCCAAGCGATTCACAGCCCTTACTGTATAAGAACCCGCATCTTCAGCTCGTAGGTGCAATATATTGAGTGAGACGTAACCGAAGTTGAAGATGGTTGTGATTCTTGAACCTGGATGATACGTCTTATTAGTGGCAAATCCGTGATAAAAAAGAGTCTATATAAATTGAGCAGCTCAGAATGATTTTTAGGTACTAACTGGCTGTGATAGCTCTTCCATCCTTGTACCACTCCACTTTCATGGTGGGGTCACTAACAGGGGTCAGTTGTGCCTCAAAGTGGGCATTACGACCTTCCTGTAGTTCCCCGAGCTCCTGGAGCGGACGGATGAAAACTGGTCGCTGGGAAGAGGTCTCTTCAACGCTCTCCTGTCTTTGATACTTGCTGTAGTCTTCCAGTTGTTGAATGTACTGGAGGCTGTCGGGGTGTTGGCTGGTTTGCTCGATAGTAGCTCGAGCTGAAATATCAAGGAAAAATTTATTTACAATATTTTTTTTAAGCAGTCAAATGAGTCTTCGACCAAATAATGTAAAAGAAAATGTATAATTACGCGTAACGCTGAGGGTGGCACGAGATTCAGCAACTCCTGTCGAACTGATGACGCGACAGACGTATTCTCCACTGTCCTGCATGACGATGCTGATCAGGTCCAGGGCAATGAAGCCAAATCGGAAGATAGAAGTTGCTCGAGAGCCTAGAGTGTAAAATAATTAACGAAATGACAAAATTGAACCAAATGGCCATAGCAGTTGATCAATCGGCCGTTGATCTTGATCAAACTCACTTGCGTCTAAAGCTCTTCCATTGATATACCATTCCACCCTCATGGTGGGATCGCCCACCGGTTCGATTCTGGCCTCGAAGTGAACGCGACCACCTTCGATTTGGTGTACGTCGCGCAGAGGGATGATGAATTGAGGTGGTGGATAAATCCTGTCCTCCTCCTGCGGAGCCAGGTATGGCTTAGCCCGCTCTACGTGTCTCAGGTAAATCACTTCGGGGCCAGGTGCGGGTCTGCGGAAATACGGATCATCATTGGATCATTGGTCTTTCGATTCGTATCATTAACATTCCTATCAGTGGGACGACGCTTACTCTGGTTCGATGACTTTCGTCGGTCGGGGTAAGTTCAGGCGTCTTGGTTCGGGGGTGGCTCCTTTTGGTGTTTCGACGAAGAGCCTGGCCCGGGTGGCGGTGGAGCCAGCTACGTTCTGAGCGGTACACTGGTACCAGGCTGCATCCGTTGCTCTTGCTTGCGGTATGTCCAAGGTGGAGGCTCCACTGCCGTCCGTCGATATGCGCACGTCGGGGCCGGGCGCTATCGGCACGCCATCCTGGGTGGAAAATATTTATAAAAGTCTGCTCACGCATGATCGGAATCATTATTAATGATAAAGGGATGATTTAGGCTGATGAAGACCTTCTGCCAAGTGATTCGTGGAATCGGGGTGCCGACTGCTCTGGCTGTGAAGACAACTGGTTCTCCTTCCTTTACGTTTGTCGTGGTGAAACGCTCAACGAATTTCGGTGCTATCACTTGCTCCTTTTCAAGAACAGTCAGGTTGCACTGGAACGAGGTCTCACCGGCTTTGTTCTTGGCGACGCAAGTCACGACGCCGGCGTCGTTACGGTTTACGTTCGTAATCATTAGTGAGTTGTTGCCAGACTCGTTCACCAGGATCTTGTGGGTTGCGTCGTTGGCTACCTGGTAGCCATTTATGTACCAGGTCACCTCAGGGTAGGGACGACCAGTTACGCGACAGTCAAACCTATGGAGATCGGTGATAAGTAGTGAGTTAATGATTCTCGTGGTTTTGTTAAGTGAACTCTGGGTCTGAAGGTTGGTCCTACCTTGTCATTTTGCCTTCGGTAGCTTCACGATCGGTACAGGTGCGAACAAAGTTTGGTGGCAGGACCTTTCCGGCTTCGGTTGTTTCTGAGCTCTCCACCTGACTAGTCTTCAAAGTGTCTCTTTGCTGTGACTGACTCTGCACCTGATCGACCTGATCGGATGATTCGATAGCCAAGTAGGCGGAGCTCACGGTGCATCCTTGAGGATTTTCAGCCAGGAGAGTGTAATGACCACCGTCTTCCGGCAGGGCCGTTCTTATCTTGAGAGTAGCATGCTGATTGGACTGAGTGATCTCAACGCGATGAGACTCCTGAATTCTTTGGCCATTCTTGAACCAAGTTAACTGAAAGAGAATTTTCATTATTGCAGCTGCCACCTATTTTCGACTTTATATTTTGACTGGTTCATTTGGATGATGTGATGAAACCTACTCTCGGTTTGGGATTGGCAGAGATCTTGGCAGTGAACACTGCATCGGAGCCTTCGATCAGCTTTGAGTTTCTTGGCTTCTGTGTGATTTGAGGTGGCGAAACCGGTCCTAAAGTGCGATCGACCACGGTCGATATTTGCGAATCAGATTCACCGACGAATCGGCGAGTTATCGATTCGCGAAATTCGGTTTCGCGTAGCAGCCTGTACTCGAAGGTGTCGACCTTGAAATCTTCTATGCTGCTACCATTTACGTAGCTCTGCTTCTCGATGGTCTGCTGGTAGCTGTGCTGCTGAAAACTTTGACTTCCGGTTTTCTGTTCAGTCGATTGGAAAGTTTTAGCATATTCCTTCTTGAAGCCACCCACTTGTTGTTGGGGCGGGGGACCGAATCCTTCCGGTTGGATGTAGACGGAGCAGATTGCTTCACCTGAACGGAAGACGAAATTATTTTTAATAATTTTAAAAAATTACGTTAACTTGATTTTATCCTATAAGCGATAACTGACCATATTGATTTTTTGCATTGCAGGTGTACTCTCCCTCGTCTCCTGGACCAATCTGGTTGATCTGAAGAGTTACAGTGCCGGTCTTGTCGTCGTAGGACATCCGGATCTTTTGGGACTCCAGGAGAGGTGCACCCTTATGGGTCCAGCTAACGAAGGGTTTCGGATTTCCTCGAACGCGCCCTTCGAAAATTGCATTGCCACCCTGTGCGAATCTCGCATTTTTGAAGATTTGCTCAAAAACAGGTGGCGACGGATCTCCAGGTCTACCCGTGAAGCTGAGAAGACCAAAAAATTGTAGCGAGTCTTACTTTTACATAAAAAACGTAATCTTAATACAGCAGACTATATTTTCAAAAAACTTACGCAGGCACAGCAGGAGTGGACTGCATCACAATCTCTCCATGTACTATAAAAATAAAAAAAATTATTATTACAAAATGACACGTTTTTTCATATTTTCAAAAAACGTAACTAAAATTCTCAAAGTAATGTTTCCTAATGTGGAATTACCAGAAATGGCAATTCGCCAATAAGCTATGAGATTTCACCTGACACGTCACCCAAATTTCGATGTTGACAAGACAACCTTGTTTGTCTCTTTTCAAATTTTTTTTGTTCTCATTTTTTCTCGTGCATCAGGCACTCGAGATATCATACAAGATGCCGGGGGATGACAAAGATGTGGAGCAGAGATCTAAGTACGAAATCGGAACGTCGAGTTGACGCAATTTCTTTTCTCTAACCAAGAGGCGTCGCCGTCGTTACGTCGCGATGCCGAGTAGACGCTTTTTCGTAGGCCTCTTGTTTACGTGGGAGCATGGTAATTAAACCAATTTACTCATTAAAATTGGGTCGCTTCCATAAAATAAATTGGCTCGGGTACAGTCCGGCTAAGATTCTGAAAAAACTTTTGATTTTTTCTTTTTTGAAAATTTTAATTAAATTTCATCGTCATCGACCTCACCCACTTCCACAGTACACCCCAGCATTACTTAAGATCATTCGGACCTCGCTCTTGGGCCTAATAAAAATAAAAAATTTCCTAAATAAACCAGAGCCCATGTAATCAGACCATCAATCATAGTAGCAAAAAGTTCGCAGGTCGTTTGCCAGTGAAATATCTGCGCTCCCATAAATGCATCATATTTCCCCGAGGACCCTACTAGCACAGAGAACAGCGCTGATGCTGATGCTGATGATGATGGTGCCTACGAAGCGAGAGAGAACAAGGGATAATACGAGGGAGTGCGAGAGAGACGGCGAGCGGCCTATTTTTGTACAGCTTGGGGATCACGTTACCCGGACCCATTTTAGGAGCAACTATCTTTACACGACGCCCAGCGCCGCGATGCTCGACATCCACCAATCGCGCCGTGCGCGAAGTTACGCAAATCCAGTCACTGACCAAAATAACAGCTACGGACTGTAGCGAACTCAAACTAAGTGGCAACGTCGAAATCCGCCATCCACCTTGCAAATCGTAAATATCGGCCATCTTCTTTTTAATTTTATTACACGCTCACGCAATCTCATTGATATCGACGGTCATCCATCATTGTTTACTGATCTGACAGGTTGTTCGGTCAGCTGTTCAAAATCATTCAGCAGCCACTGACCGACCTTCTTATGTCTCTCATCTCAGAGCTTCCAATAGCACTGCACCTTTGGTCCACGTCACGCTAAACGAGACGTTAACCATACGCCGATACGTCATCGTAAATTCACGTCAGATCGGAATTAAACCGTATAGATAAATTATATACGAAGAAATGTCAAATTTTTTTCCCTGCCAAAATTTTGGCAGCTGTCGATCAGTTGCTTCAGATTGGTTGACAAGATCAGCAACGTGTTGAAAATAGAAAATCTTATTGAAATACATTTTTTTATTTCACTCAATGAAATTTCAATTTTCACCCCAGAATCGACAGACGCAATTTCCTGTCTACGACCAAACGAATGCCAAATTCTGGATGAAGCTGCAACTTCGGAGTTGCACTCTTTAGGGCAGATCTTCCGGAGGTGCAGTGGGCGCAGCAGGCGCATCGACCTTCCTCCTGGTATCCTAACCTGTTGCGGCGAATGACGCTGCAGTCGCAACTTTCCCGTCTGGAGGAATGAATTTCGGCCGAGAGCACCGAGATCGACGCAGCAGAATGCAACGCGCTGCATCCCGACGGGATGCAGTTCGGAGTAGCCTGAATTGGTCGTTCGATGTGGACAAACCTTATTCGTCATATTATTTGGCAAAGACTTGAAAATTCGCACGAGCAATAAAATATATGATATACAATTTGGCTCATGCGATTTTTATATTGAAAAGTCTAATACTCTAGTGAACATGACAGGGACAAATGACAGGGATGACACTTTAATTTAGCATTTTATCTGCTATGCAATTTTCACTGGAGTGCATCCAATAGTGAAATTCCCAGGAAATGCAGTTGCAAAATCATTTTGTGAAGCATGAAAATTACCTAGCAAAGCTGTCCTGGCCGGATGTGGAAGAGAGCGCAGGATTTTGACAGCTGTTCGTTCATTGCGGAAGTTCCAATGGGGAGGGGGTCACAACCCCCCGGATTTCACCCCCCGAAGAAATATCTTTCATACGTCTGACGACACTTGGAAAATATTGTGGGGGGAAGCAAGTACGCGTGCGTGTGTGTGTACGAAAGAGCGAAAAGAAAAGGACGTCAGAGAGACGAAGAGAGAGAGGAGAGAAAGAGAGAGAGAGAGGAGAGAGAGAGAGAATCGATGGAATTTTGAAACGCTGCGAGAGATTCTATCTTTAGCATGGATCACGGCATACGAGAGCTCGCTCGAAAATAGAATCCCCAGTGAGGAATTCTCGTTGAAAACTTCAAATCGGCCAACATACTTTTGACTTTCGTAAGATTTACGATAACGATTACGGAAGTTGTAACCGATGAAAAAGAGGAATCGTGGCTGAAAAAAAAATATAAAAAAACCTCTTCAAAAATACCGAACGAGATGCTTGGACTGTTGTGAGAAGAACGAAATAAAAAATTAGGGCAAATTCGTTTGACCTGGTTTCCATAAAAAGGACGCAACTTCATCGTAAATTTCCCCTGGCTCTTCGTAAGGACGAAGTAAAAGTGATCCTTGTGACTTTTTCATTTTTTTCGTTCCTCCTACGTGAAACTGACCTCTCTGCTGACTGGTGACTTGTTGCCGAGTGATCTGTTGCTCGGTCCTTTGCTGAGAGTATTGCTGCTGTTGCTGAACAGTGCTCGAAGTGGTCGAGTGCTGCTGTTGCTGCTGTCGCTTCATTTTGGATTCTCAGGATGAATCCAAGTCGTGTGAGGGTTGTCGTATCTTTTTCGAGATCACGAAGCGATATTACGTAAATCTATTTCACAGTGAATTAAAAAATGGTCGATGTCTCGCGCAGCAATAACACACACGGAAGCACAAATCACACAAGATATCGGAGGGTCGCTCGATCGGTCGTTCGATTTTCCAATCAGGATTTCACTCCCGGATCCTGGATGCTGGATGCTGTAAATCTCTATTTCCAGTCCTCCGAAGAGATTCGCACGATTTCTTCTTTCACGGAGAGGACTTAACGTTGGCTATCGATAAGTTCGTTTTTTTTTTTTTTTAAATTAAATATTTCAACTATTAAGAGAGCGTGAACAAATAGAGCTAAGTTTCGTTTTAATGTAAATTCGCTGTTTGCCTGGCACGGCTTTCAGTCGGCAGAAGTCAAGTCATTATCAAAATTTCCCCGAGACTCTTAACCAAGACGTCGGTCGAATGCGAATTGCGAGTGAGCCCGAAGCCAGTCGGATCTTTTCCTCGAGGGGAGCCAGAGGCCCGCGGGTGGCTCCTCCTTGCGTCGAGTGATCAGGGACGGGTTACCACCACCTACGGGAGGGGCGACGCTCGACGTCGCGACGCTCGTGCACTCCGCCGCCCACCCTTGGGGAACATCTACGAACCTTCGCGAGCCTCCACAAACCGCGGCAAACGGGCCAAGGGAGGATGCTGAGTGGCGGGACAGAAATATCCAAGATCCTCTTCTTCTTCTTCTTCCTATTCTTCTTCTTCTTCGCTTTGAATCACCTTCCTTCTTCCTCTCTTTGCTCTCCCACTTCCTCCTATGTTATTCTAACTTGTGTCCCCTGCGGTTAAAACTCTTCGTCGCTTGTCCTCGCGTACCCGTTCTGCCCCAATGATTGTTATTATTATTCGTATTCAATTTCAAATAGGCTCTTCGCGATCCCAGGGAGCCCAAAGAAATTCGACTTCCCGTACGAAGCACTATGATTTCACGTGTCCGCGATGATCGGGGATTTAACACTAGTAAAAGCCATTTAATCTTATTTAATTGTTTTCGCTGTTTCCTTTGCTAAAATCCAACGCGAACGTCTCAGGAATCGGCAAACTCGATTCGAGAGGACAACTGGATCGCTCGGGCCCACGCGCCCCACGCAATATTCTCGCGCTCACTGACAGCCGCCCACGCACTTACTTTCCCTCTCGACGCCTCTTTCTATCGTTCCCTATTGCCGTCTTTCTTTATCCCTCTCTCGTTCTCCTACATCCACATTTATTCTCTCCGTCTCTCACTCTGTCCCGCTACTTGCAGGCCTGTCCCTACGAGAAGCGTGCCGCTTCAGCTTGCTCACAATTTTACCACGGCCAACAGACGGCTTCGTGTCAATAACAAACAGTAATGCTGTTTCAACCATTTTTTCATAGTGCAACTTTGACAATTTTTTTTATTTAAGAAAACTTTTTTATGCAACCATATTGCATTAAATTAGTACATTGCTTTCAAGGTCGAAAAGATTCCACGACCATTGACAAAGATCGAATACGAAAACCCATGTTATCCTATGATCCATGTGTTATGGTTTGATTAGTAGTCAAATAACACGTTGCGTGGATCCTGGACCAGGATTCGAGTTTTTGAAATATATTAGAAGCGATTCCTCGTTTAAATTACGATTCCTCGTAATAAATAGCCGTATAGGTTGTGATTGCGGAATGCTCGTTGTTGCTCTGGGGAAGTGTGTTTCACAATGTGACGTATGCAATAACACAGGAATGAAACATAAGACAGGAATTGAAATTTGTCAAAATTATATATTAAAAAATTTAGTTACGCACGTGAAAATTCTTGACCACCCTCAAAAAGAAAAAAGAGTCGAAGCACGCGTCTGACGCTTTTTACACGTCTGGAACACGTGTTAAGAGTTTTGGTAGTCAACAAAGGGAGGGAAGTCAAGCTGTCAAAAGTCAACTGTCAATAAATTCCTTCTACCAAAATCAGAACGCCCTGTCAATGCTCAAGAACCTTTGACAACCTCGCGCTTGACTTGTCGAGTGGCAATTTTTAGTTTTTCAATTATCACTTTAATTTTGAAAAACTGCTTCCCTCCCTTCCGTTTGTCCCCCATTATTACTTTGGTTTACGACACGCTGCCCTCCCCTCGACACGTGTTAGCAGACTTCCTAAACATCCCCAGCGCACTTCAACCCTTAAGGCCCTGGCAGCCACTTCCTTCGAGCAACATCTTGACACTGAACATGCATGTTTGGAAAAACCGTCAGCGAACAGTGGTACCACCAGAACAATAAATCCAAATGAACTTTACTTACGCGGATTGTACGTCGATTCGAGTAATTAGGTAAAATTTTGTAATCGAGGGAAAAATGGAAGTTGGGTGGAGGGGCACGTTGACTTATCAATGATCAAACTTAACAATCTATTCAAAAAAAAAGGACTGACTTGTCAATATAAAAAATAAAGAAATTTGTCTCAGTGTCAGTGAAGAAATTCTAAACACTGAAGACACAAGACAGTATTTGCTCTCGTTTAAAGTTTCCTTATCGATTTATATGTCATATAAAGAGATAAGAAACAAGCGCAAAAGTCACACTGGTTGTTCTTTGGATATCCAGCAGATCAGTTAATTATCAGACTGGAATAGCGATGTGATAGATATACCATCCAATCCGTACCAGATAACTCACATACGTCGTCCAACGTGCATCGTAGAAATTAACGCGTTTTTATAAGTAAATAAACAAAATAAACTGAAAATCGAGAAACCCCATAGACGTAACCGTGAAACAGAGCGCGACTCTTAAAACCAACTGGAAGTACTGACTTACGTACGTATCAAGAGAAGCACGTACGTGAGAGTTATATATATATATATAATTAAATAAAGTACACACGTAAATACTCAAGAATACGGAGTTTCGTATTACGACAAGGTTTACCATACGAACCTCTGGAAATTTCGCAATCGGCCTCGTGCATCCTGCATTAGTAATAACGCGACTACTAGAAGTGACTGTACTACCGAAGGTTGAGCGAATTGCAAAAATAATAAATTTTTTAAAATTCCAACACTTAAAATTCACGCTTCGTTCTTCGCACCGAATAGTACGCGAAGAAGATTTTTCGAATATTTTTAATAATAGTTCGACATAAAATTCCTCTATAATGAAGTGAACTCTTCGGAAAGGTGAGTCGGGTGAGTCAGGATTTGCAGGGCGGCATAGCGACGCTTCTATTTTGAGTTCAAGGGATCCTCTCAAGCTATCTATATCTGACACTTCTCAGTTCGACTATGATTCAACCCAGAATTACGGAACCAGGTTGTCGTATAGTAGCCACAGTGCTCCAGTCTATAGACCGTTGGATCCTCGAGTCAAATCATCCCTAAGCAGTGACGTGGGTGTTGGGAGTGGAACGAAGACGCGTAAGCTGCTTCGAAAATTCTCGCGTGCAACTATCTATTTTCGAACGATGGATAATTGCACGACGGACCCTGAATGTCTTTTGGCATTCGGACTCGGCCTGCTTCTTGCGGAACGACGTTTGAGAATCTTGAGTATCGTTGGAATCACTCGGTCATTCGCTGACGCTCGTCATCAGCTGAGGATGAGTCGCGGATGCTTCAATTTTTGAGGGTTGCGATCGTGAATTTTTATAAAAAATATTTATGTTGGAATTTTTTTTAAATTAAAATTTTTTTTTCCACTCACCGTTTGTCTCCACTTCGATTTCCGGATACTCCAATCTTCGTATCACCGTGTACTTCCGCTTTGTTAAATTCTCAGCGTCCGACGACTTTGGGAATACTTCAGCCGGGACCCGAAAGACGCCGTTGGGTCTTGACTTCCGGTCGGAATAGTCCATCTTGGATACTTTGTAGGAAATCGGTTCCGTCTCTTTGGGTACGAAACCCATGTCGTAGAAAGTTCCGTATTGTCTGTAATTACGGAAAATTGTGTTACGTCTTAATTTTATATGAGATCGAGAAAAATGTCTCCGACGTATCAACCTGCTGTCTTCTTCCTGTGACTGTATTTCTAGATCCGATGAGATTCTGTGATTTTGTTCATCGAGATGAATTATTGTCGGACTTTCCCCGGGCAGGAAAAGATCCTTCAGCGTCACGTACTTCGATGGACTCTCCAGAGATTCACTTCCGGTCTGCCGATCACGATAGGTCCCGTAAAAGGGCGACGGGACTCCTGAAACGGTCGTGGAATTTGCTGTTCATGGATTTTAAAAAAATATTTTTAAAAATACGACGGGCATATAAGACTGTTCCCGAAACAGGACGACGATCCCTAAAGTTTTGTGAATTTTCGTGAAGTTTCGTAACCTCGCCGATGCACCTACACTCCTCCAGCTCGCAAATAGTACGAATAACGATATTTGTGGCCGGTCGGTTATTGTTAAGACTGGCCGGGAGCCAAGGCCGCTCGACAGACAACCTGGAGAAATGGCTTATCGTTGGCTACGCAACATGTGGTTACGGCAGTATTAAGGTCGCCGATTCAAAGAATAGCTCATTTTTTAAAAATATAAAATCTTCCATCTTCCTTTATCAATAGTTCTTATCCGTGTGACGATAAGCACGGAGATTGGATATTTCAAAATTTTTCACCGTGTTTACTCATAAAATATCATAATAACGCAGCAGGAATTCATCCTCCGAGGAATGTTTATTTCTCAATTTGTCAGGATGAAGTTACGGGATTCACAATTGGCCGATGGGGAGGAAGTATCCAGGTCTTACCACCCACTTGGTTCTCCTTTTGACGAATCTTGCAAATTTCCAGAATCCATTCCTATTTCTGTCTCGTCCCCCACAGCCGGACCTCCCGGAGATTCCTAATCGTTTGTTTTAACGTGCGTATCGTCTCGGTGTATATGGCCAGAATCTACATTCCCCAAGCAGATGCCACACGAGATCTTCGATCTGTCTCGGACTCTGAACTCTGTTGATTCCAGTTTAGAGAATTATGCCAGTGCATAAATATTTTACTTAGACTCCTTCAGTATCAAGGTCAATGGCTGATTATCCTTCTGCTACCTTCTTATCAATGAAATTTTTTCACCCAGGATATTTATTTATATACCAATCGAAGTTCTATTTGCTTTTACATCACTTTCCTCAATCTCATACTTCGGAATGACGAATCCAACGTACAACGGGAACACTAATGATCAATATCAAAATTTGAAAAAAAAAAACAGAAAAATGTGCAAAAGGGTGATACTGTGACAGAAACGTATATTGAATTTTTCGAGGAGCCACGATAATCTCAAGTTTCTCAAGCATGCGTTGCCGCAACCAAAAATAAATGTCTTCTTGACATTTGTTAATCCCGGCAAGAAAGCACCTCGTTACGTTTTCCGAAAATTTTCTAAGGAATTTCGATCGAAAACAACAGGAAATTGCAATCCCTCCCCTGTTATCTCGTGTCGCGAGACTAAATCTTTTCTCAGACAGCACAATTTACGTAATCCTTACAAACTCATCTAAAATTCCCAGGTATCATCTGTTTGAATAAAATTTATTCCGTCAACCCAAAATCCCACCAGCTGATCAACCCCTAGTTCAAAATATCCCAGGACGATTCCAAAAATGATTCTCGAGGTAACTCCAAGGGGATTCAAATTGAAATAAGATTGTACGGCGGGGGCGTTTTGCGCTCACCTGGTTTTACAATCCAAAAAGCCAAAGGCTCGGCTAAATTGAGCAGCATAGCTCATACTCGGCCTATGAGTCATTCCCTTCTCGCCCGAGTCTCAAAAGACTCAAGTGCCTACCTATCCACTGGCAATTCGGAATTCGGTCATCCGGCTGAGAATTTTCTCATTCTCTTGATACCCTGAACTGGTTCATACTATTATGTAGTGCATTTGAAAAATTGATACGGAACAATCAATAGGCAATTTGATATTGACATTTGAACGACAGAAAATTAAATTTCGAAATGCGAACTGGAGATTATTTAAACGTCGAAGCAATTGCGTTTGATGTCGCGCAACTTAACGCTTTTGGCACGTTCCTCTGGAATGACGCGAAACCCATTCTAGCCCAGAGAGAAAACAATAGCAATGGGAATTCACGAGGATTTTATAAATAAACCTCAAAGAAAACTAAAACTACCAGGTATAATTCTGCTCGTGTTTGCGAATTTAATCGGTCAAGTGCGCGAAGCCGTCGTTTCCGTCGGATCCTCCCTTATCCTTGAGAATGGCGAATCATCGCGCGAAACTTATATTGACATCTAAAAAGGTTTGTTATTCTTTACTTTATTTTTGGAGCGTCGAGTCAGATTTTCTTCTCGCGCTCGAGATATTACCTTACGACCTATTTTCGTAGAGACTAGAAACCGGCCACTTGCCACTTTCCACCTACCGTGGGTGGTCCCATTACCCAAAAGTCAAACGATTCCTCGGTCCATATTTACTTTTCTTACTTCTCATCTCCTTCCGATTCTCATTTCGCTGCCTGAAGTGTCGCTCGAACGTCCCCAACGCCGTTTCTCGCTATCGAACCTTCCGTCAGTTTCGATAATCGACTATTCGATAATTGCGGGTAAGCGAAGATAAACACATCCGTGCAACCATTTCCCAGCATCCATTACCAGAGTGATCGAGTTAGTTTGTCCCAATTGTTAGTACTACCGTCTTACCAGCTTTTCCACGTACCAGAGCTAGTACTAGCAAAAGTACCAAAAATCACCATTGCACTACACATTGATAAGTTAACGGATACCCGTTAGAATCCGTAATGCCAAAATCGCTCGTTTGTATTATTTTTACAATGCGATTTTCACCTCACGGATTTTGACTCTCGCTCCTGACAGCAAATCACTATGCATACTCGAACCGTTCAAATAATTTCAGAAAAATCCACTGTAAGGAGCACAATGAGCCATAAATGATGAAACAGTTGGTGAATTGAGATAGGAGAGAGAGAGAGAGAGAGAGAGAGAGAGAGAGAGAGAGAGAGAGAGAGAGAGAGAAAAAGAAGTAGAGGTAGGAAATAATTTGTTACACCGTGTACAGTCCAAATTCTTTTTTTTTTCTGCAGAGGAAGCACATTATTTATTTGCACAATAAATAAGTGATAAATAATATCGCAGTAACATGTCTCAGGGGTGATACATCTTTATTAATAGATAACTACAAATAAATAGTAGGTGTCTCGTCATGTGTACTCTTGCGTGCACGCGCGCGCGCGCGCTTTGTTAAACAAAAACAAAAATGAACAATGAGAGGAAAATTACAAAAAGCTCCAAAAGGCAAAGTGGCGCAAGAATTTTGTGATTCCTTGAGATGATCTCGTGGAGGTTAAAGATCACAAAGAAAAAAAGAAAAAGAAGAAGCTCCGGAAGAAAGGGGTTGGACCTCCTCCTGCGCTTATCGCAATTCGTTATCGCGTAAAACCTAACCTTTCCCTGTTTACCTCGAAACTATTGTTAATTATCGCAAGTGACTAGGTCGTTCGCATACAATTCGAGAGAGACGACGTGGAGGGTGATCTTGTTTTTTTTTTGTTTACTTCAATTACACTTTTTTTTTAAATTTTTTCTATTTGGCTTTTATCGCGTGACGAATTCGCATAACTTTATCAACTGTCAATCCCTCCTCGACGTCTTCGAGACAAGCAAGCTGCTACTACTAATAATTAATACAAAAGAAAAACCTTTCACGAACTTCTACGTTTATGGTAATAACGGTAATGGCAAGTAAATCATTGTCATGGCAATAAAGCTCGTTTTCGACGTAACGTGTCTCGTTTGACGAGAAATCAAAATTGATGAAAATTTCGAAAAACATTTCAAGCGAGAGACACGGAATTATGGAGGCAATAAAAAAAGGAACGGATCGATATAGAAAGATCAAAAAACAAAAGCCTCAACAGAACAAAAAGTATCAAACCGCTAGAAGCAAATTTTCGCTGATGGTCCATTGAAAATGACGAATGGGTCACGAGAGCCTCTTGACGCTTTGGCAGCAAAAACTGATCGAAATTCGAAAAAAAAAATCTGGATCCACGTGCAACTGATGATCAGCAAAGGGCACAGAAGTCAGAATAATCTTTCTCAATTTTGTTTTAATATTAGTCAATCAATCGCATTTCGATTGTCACGAGTATCTCAAAGGTACTAAAAGCTAAACTATAGTTATTTTTTTTCTTCAGAATTTCATATCGAGAAATCGCTTTTCGAGATTTTTTTTGTAAATTCCAAAAAATGAACTGTTTTCATATTTATCTTAGCAACCAACATTTCTCGATACAAAATACAGAATTAATCCATCACCATTCGTGCTAGCGTTACGGGTTTTCTTGTCGCAGTACATTTTTTAAAAAATATTTCCTTTATGCCCTTTTGAGTTTTTAATGTGTTCGCCTCTGACCACGTTAGAAGCGGGCGGTGCTGCCAGTTTTACTTGATAGTGTATACTGATCGTCTGTTACCTGGAACTTGTAAGGTAGCCGATGTTCCTGTTGAACCCAGACTGTTCGTAGCTGTACAACTGTAAGTACCACCGTCCTCTATAAAAAGTAAAATTCCAGCTCTTTATTTTGTTCCATGTCAGCCAGTGGCAGAGAGTTGAGTAATTTTAATGGAAAAACGCACCAGGATAAGCTCTCGGTATAGTCAAACGACAAACTCCGTTTCTATATTGAACTTCGTAATTCGACGAAGTCTCGATGATCCTGCCATCCTTGGACCAGAGTATGTTGGGCTGAGGTTCCGCCTGGACGATGCATTCGAATCTGGCAGTCTGACCACTCACCACCGCGATATCTCGAAGTGGCTGAAAGAGAAATAAAAAAAAATAAGAAGGATGAACCGATGAGAAACGTGCAATTATTTTGTTTGCAATTACTTACAGTTATGAATACAGGTGCTTTCTTTGGCAGAATGTCTTGATACGGTTGAATAACTTCTTTGCTCGTTGGCATTCCATTGCTGGGCCATGGCGAACCTGAAATATTGTCTGTAATGAATTTCCAAAAATATCGAAGTCCCACCGGTACAGAGGACTTCCAGAATCAAAATGGCGTACGTATAAAAAAGAAAACAAAGATACGAAAAACTCGAAGCTAAAAGGCGTTTCGAGAAAAAGTTCTCTAAATCCCAAAAGCTGACTAATCTATTGGAAGCACACTGAAGAAAGCTTCGAAAAAACAAAACAACATGAAAAATCGATGCAAGATCGCAATACCAAAAATCTTCGATAAACAGGATCTGAATCTCCGTTCTTCCTTGGAATCTGAAAGTGTCCAAAATGAAAGAAACGAACGTGCAACATCGATCGAAATTCAAAAAGACTGGAGCGCAGTAGCTGACGATACCGAAGAGGCCGATGAATCCTGAAAATCGTCTTAGCGTAAAACGTGCAAGATTGAATTCCGGTATAAGTGACAGGCAGAATAGCGGGTAGGTGGGTACAGGCCGTGATAAAAGCACAAAGCCTAAGAGGCGCAGATGCGACGTGGGTCCACGAGAACAAGATCAAGCAGCGTTCGGATTGGGTCGTAGTAGCTGATTTAGCAGTTGTGTCTGACTGTCTACCTGCGGAATCAACATTGCTCGGTGGTCCAGCGCTACTGTGATGAGGAGAGAGACTCGGCAAGCTCGGACTCAAGGAAACTGGACTAGGCGTGGTCTGATCCCATCGTGAAGTCGGAATAACGACGTTCGGTGCGCTCAGATTGCTCTGAGGTAGACTGTGCCTCTTGCGAGTGCGTGAATCTTCAGCCTCTGAAAATTCGCTCTCGGAGGTGGGTTCCCACTTGACGGTCTTGGAAGCTGAAAACTTGGACGGTTTGAACTGACTCGCAGCAGCCGGTCTGGTAAAACCGTTTTCCTTCTTGGTAGTGAACTCGTGGATGATCGGCACGTCTATGTCGCTGGCACGTCTTTGACCTTGGATGGTCTTACTGGTACTCGTTACGGTCTTCTTTCCTTCGCCAGGCAGCACGATTCCAAATTCGTAGCCAAAGTCGTATTTGAAGTATATAAGTCCGGTGTCCGGATCGATGTGTTTCGTGCCTGTTTGTCATATCATGCTTTGGCAAGTTTGTGTAATCGTTTGAAAAGAAAAAAAAAAAACACCCAGAGTGACACCAGGTTCAAGATGCAGTAACAAAATGAATTTAAAAAAAAAAGACAACATCGATATACATTTTTTTTTATGACTAAAAATTATCGGGAATGGACGTAGGTTTTTGAAAGTGGAGGATTTACCGTATTGCGCGGATCTGGTTTCCTCCCTGTAAGCTTGAGGCTCATCCCCGTCGGTCGCGTGTCCATCCGTCTTGTGCTTCAGGATCGGTTTCTTCTTCAGATCCGACTGGATGTCGTTGACGAACTTTTCCGTTTTGGACTTGAAGCTGCTCGTCATGTCGCTCATGTGCTTCGAGGCTACATCTAAGGAGTCGACGCGTTTAGATCGTCATCGTCAAACACCACTCTTAAGTAGCTACTCTTATAAAGTGGCTATAAGTGGCTGGCACGATGATCCTTAATGATTCTTAATGATCAAAAAGCGAACGGTACCATCCCTGGTAAACTTTTTAAAAGCCAAGGAAAACTAATAGAATCCTAAGCGTCCTTACAATTCGCCGCGTTCTTCACGTCCTGCTTCGAGACGAATCCGAACTCCGGTGGTGAACCAGGCTTCAGGATCTTCTCCCGGTCCTGCTGCTGCTGCTGCTGTTGCTGCTTCACGATCTGAGTCTGGGAGTCGAACCGCTTCCTCATCTCCTCGAGTCTCTGAAGCCTCTTGTTCTCCGCGTTGATGTCCAGCAGATGTTGAGTCATCGATGTTTCCTGAGGCATCACCGGAGGCTGAGTATCGAATTCCATAGGAGTCATCACGCGTTCGCGTTCCCGCTGAACCGGAACGCTGGATGATCTGGCTGATCTCGGTGGCTGAACCTTCCTATAATGAAGATCCTCGGTGTCGCTGTCAGCGGGGGTCCATTTGGGCTTTATTCTGATGTCAGCGTCACTCTCGTAATCAGATTCTCGAAATTGACCCTGAACGAACTTTGTCGGCGTGGGTACTTGGAATCTACTGTGTTGCCGATTGCCACCGTAGCTCGTGAAGTTATTTTGGCTGCTCTCATTCTCGCCGAACTTTATAACTCGACTGGTCTGCTCGACCGTGACCACTCTCCTGGTATTTTCAGTGGACTCGTCCATTCGCACCGTCTTCTTCGTCTCCGTTCCAATAGCATTGTGGAACGGAAGTCCGGAACGCGCCTCGTAGAAGGTCTGGCGTTGCTGTTGCTGCTTCGGCGGCACATAGCCCATTTCCGGCGGTGAACCAGGAAGCAGAACAGACTTCGGTTTTGTCGGGGTGGCTACGGCCACTTCGAGCTTTGGCTGTGGCGTCGGCTTTGGTTTTGGAGTCGCTGGCTTCGGTTTCTCCAAAGTCCTCTGGGTCCGCTGTTGCTCCTGCTCTCTGGATTCTCTCATTTCTTTAAATTGTTTGACTTCTCTCGTTTCTTTCGTCGACTTGAGGCTGCTCAGGCTGCTCTTCTCGATTGGCTTAAATTCGGGACGAGGTGGACCTGAATACTGTGGGGGAGTGTCGAAGACTGTGGGTGGAGTTGGTAAGGGTTCTGTCGACCTTGGACGTGCTTTCCCTAGATAGAAAACTTTCTCAGTCTTTCACACGACATCTAGCGAGACTCTAAGAGAGCACGCAACGACTAAAAAAAGCCACTTGCCGTGAGAAATGATAAACTCGCAAAGGCAGAGCCAAAGTAAACGAAGCGGATACGTATGCAATCTACTGATCGCTGGACAATAAAATTGAAACAAGGAGCGATCCTGCTGCGGGTGTAGGATTAGAAAAGTAAAGTTATGTTGCTGTGTGCTGAAGTAGGGCATGTCAAAGAAATTTTGCTAAATGATCAGACGATCGGGTAATGAAGATGAAGGTAACTAAATAAGCGAGATCATTGAGATGAACTGTGCCAACGGAGCAATGATGTGCACCGACAGTCATAGAATATTCTAAGTACCTGAACCGATCAGATTTGGCTTGACTGGTTTGAAGGAGTAATCATCCGTGTCGGATCCGTGCGGTTTCCAAACCGGTGGAATTCGGCCTTCGTAGTCGCTCTCGTAGTCGCTCTCGCGGAATTCACCCTTGATGAATTTCGAAGGACTAGGAGGTGGCGGCATCTTCCTGGGTGTAGACGTAGCTGGTTCGGCCTTGAATGGGAACGGTTCCAGTTTCTGCGACTTTTCCGAAGACTGACTCACGCTGTAGAACGTTTCCTGAAAACAATTTTACAATTTTTAATTCCATTCGAAATCTCCGACCGACCCAGTCTACACTACACAGACTGTGCTCGGTGTTAGAAACTTAAAGCTCGATTTTCACTGAATCTCCACACTACAAAAGCAACGAACTCATGAAAACTACCAACGACTCTTCTCAGACTATGTGGTCACTCTTCAGCAAGTTAATCATCCCTGTTTAGTTAGAACTAAAAAAAAAGGTCAGCTGGTTAGACAACGCTCTATTACTCGGAGTACAATAGGCACAGGCCAAAATGCACGCAGGCACACACAGAACACGTTGGACGGCACCAAAGAAGTTCGAACCTTTGTGGGGTTAAACTGTGTTGAGTCAGTCCCGCAACTTGTTGAAGTCTTCTCGACAAGCGTGCTGTGTTGAACCTGAGGCTTGGGAGTTGGTTGGGAGAAGGAACCGGATGAAAAGTCTTTCTGCTGTGAACTCGTGAAGGTTTGGCTCTTTATGAATTGCGAGTGACTCTCCGAGTACGAGGTGTGAGATTCCGAGTGAGAAGATGAGGATCCTTCGTGCTTGCTGAAATTTTTGTGGACCGTCGAAGAACGTTGCTGTATAGGTTCATCGGTGTCTGCCATGTAGCCGCTTTCTTGCTGGAAAGTCTTGACCTTGAACTTCGGGGACTCCGGGCCGACCTTAGTCGGTGACTTTGGCGCTAGGACCGGAGGAGTCTTTGGGCTTTTTGGTTGAACGTAGATCGGGGGTGAACCTGGTTGCAGCACTGGAGTCGGAACGGTTTGAACGGTGTGTTGCTGATGCTTCATGTCCCTCTCGTGTCTCGTCATGGTCTTCTTGTATGACTTCTCTTGGTAGTCTCTAGCCACGTTTGGTCTGGGTGGTCCTGTGAATTCTGGAGGTGGTATTTCGAAACTGGAAGGTGGCAGTGGTTCGGGTTCGGTAGACTTGGGTCTGGTCGGCTGTTTTGGAATTGGAGCTTTCACCCTTCTGTAGCGTGGCTCTTCGTTGTCACTTTCGTAAGGTCGCCACTTAGGCTTAAATGGACCTTCGAAGTCAGACTCGTAGTCGCTCTCGCCAAAGGAACCCTTGACGAACTTTGTGGGTGTCGGAGGTGGTGGCAGTCGAGCTGATTTCGGTGCCGCAGTTCCACCCTGGTACGGGAAAGGTTCGAGGTCTGGAAACTTCTCCAGTGGCTTCGTCGGGCTGATCCTCTTGGGTTCGCTAAACTTAGCTGGCAATGGCGGTGGCGCGACGTGGACGTCCTTTGGAGGTATTGGAGGAGGTTCGTCCCTTTTCGGGGGTGGCGGTATAGTCCTGACGGCACCAGGTGGAATTTTCGCAGGTGGCTGTTCCAGGGACATCTCTAATGTCTTCTCGATCTTCTCCACCTTCTTTTCCCTGATGATTGGACCGGAAGCATAAGCAATTTCTGGAGGAGGTCCTGGCTCCAGGATGGGCTCAGGCTCTACTGTGTGATAGAGATGGATGACGGGCTTGGGGATAACGTTCTTCACCAATTGTGGTGCTTTCAGCTCTTCCGACTGACCCAGTCCTGGAGGCCAAGATTTCTTTAGCTCGGATGGTTTTAATCCACGCTCTTCCAAGATTGTTTTTTCCGTCGTTTCAGTCTTGTGAACATCGCACTCAGAAATGTACTTCTCGTACAGGGATCTTTGCTCAACGGGATTGATCGTATGATCGACTTTTATTGTCTCAGCATTATAAATAATGGGTTTTGGTTCAGGCTTCGGCGGAGCTGGCTGTTCCACGACCTTCCTTACGATCTGCTCTTCCCTAGTGCTCCAGGATTTCTTCTCCAAGGTACTCGACGACTCGATATTTGTTTTCAGCAGTCCTGACGATGTCTCTTGAACTTCCTGTCGGACCTCGTGACTGGCTGCCTTGAAATCCTGACCAGGAATGAACTGCTTCTGCGTGGCTGTACTGGAACTCTGCGATTCTTGGGGAGGCCATGACTTCTTGCTGGAGTCCGTGCACTTGTGTGCCCAGGATTTTTCCATTGCCAAAGCATCGGCCGACGGTTTCGGCGATGACGCTCTTTCCATGTGACTCGATGAAGCTACGGAGTGACACCTGTAGTCCGACAGATCCGTAGACACGTGCGACCTGGTTTCAAAGTCAGAAGCGTAAGAGGACTCGCCATGGAACGGCGGAACGGGAGAAGCTTCCGTCGGTGTGACAGGTCGGGCAGCTGGAGCTGGTTCCGTTCTAATTTCATTTTGGAACTTCTTCTCGTGGACGTCCTTCTTGATGCATAGGTCCTCCATGACTTCCTGCTTGTGCAGCTCGAACGGAGGAGGTATCACTGTCGAGGATGGCCTGGAGGATGGTTTGGGGGTCTCGATTTTGGGCTCTGCCTTTGGAGCTGGCGAGGGGAAGATCTTCACACCACCAATCGGGGCTTCAACGGGGGATAAATTCTTATGGGACTCCTGAAGCTGTTTCACTTTGACCGAAATATCAGGGCGTTTTTTTTTCGCCACTTCGACCTTCGGCATGTAGCCGATCTCCGGCGGTGGTTCCGGTACCAGGTTGAATCCTGACATCATTGCTTCAGCGCTCTCGGATTGGGCTTGAAGTTTCGAAATCGTTAGGGTACCATGAATGGGAGATCCTGAAGCAGTGGTGTCTTCCAGGATTGTACGTTTAATTTCCAAGGGTGGCAACTTGTATCCTTCATAAGGAAACTCGATGAGCTTGTTATCGATGCCTCTCGGGGATGGTCCTTGTTCTATTTTCGTGAAGATATCCTGAACAGCCTTCTTGGTCGTCTGATAATCTGAAGCAGCTGGCTCGTTCCTCTTCACTTCCTCAAACTTCGTCGACCGCTCGTAATTCTTCGTCAACTTTCCAACCTTGACTTCGTATCCAGGACCTACGTCCTCAGCCAGCTTGATCATCTCCTTTGGACCCTTTGCCACTGACTCGGTACTCTCCTTGGACTTTGATTCGAAGAAACTCAGAGCGTCCTTTCTGGCGATTGTAGATGTCTCAACGTTCTCATTTTCGACAACCTCAATAGACTTATCCTCAACCTTGGTACAAGTGGTCTGAGTGGTATTATCCTGACCAGATTCCCTTGAAGTGTTGGTACCCGAGGAGGTGCTGCTCACAGTCACTTTCTCTTGTGGCTGTCCCGAAGCTGACTTGGTGGTGGTGCTCTCGTATTGGATTATCGTCGGTGTCTTGTGTTCCAACTTCATGTGGAACTTCTGTTCGGATTTCGTTTCGCTGTGATGCGACTCGATTGTCGATGAAATCGTTTCTGAACGCGTCGTGTGACTTTCAGTGACAGGATGCGTCTCCTCGATAGTTTTGACAGTGCGGATCGAGGATGAGGATGCGGGAGCTGAGGATGGGGTTAACGTTTTCAGCCCGGAACTCGGTTGAATCTTCGTCGTAGAGATGTGCTCGGCTGTCAGATTTCCTGAGGGTACGTCGACCTTCTTTCCATCGGGCTACGTAATATTACAATAAATTTCATTTTTTTTTTTTAAATAATCTTCATTACGAATAACAACGAACGCACGAAAGAAAAGATCGCCCATTCCTAGTTCGAAATGCCAAAAATGAAATTGGGAATTTCCTGTATTCCAGGTTACTAAAAGAAAATGCCTAAACCAACCTGAACGATTCCCTTGTCCTGAACATTCTCGTAGACGACCGTCTTGTGAACTTCCACCATGGTGTCCGGAGTCGGTTCGAACACAGCAAAGTCAGCAATGCTCTGAGCTTCGCCGCCAGCGTTGGTCGCGCGTACCATGTATTTCCCAGCATGTTCCTTATCAGCTGAAATTCAAAAATACTTTAAAATCCGATTCCCCAAAAAATACTTTAAATCACACAGGCCAAAAAAAATACCTTTATTAATAATAAGAAGGTAACAATTGCCCTGTTGCTGGATTCTGACTTCTGGTGGCTGCTCTTTCAGCGGAACATCATTCTTGTACCAGGTGACCGTTGGTTCCGGTGTTCCGGTTATTTCCACTTCCATGATGACGCGTTCGCCACGCTTCACCACCTGTGCCTGAAGACGTCTGCCGAAGACCGGAGGGAAGATGGTTTCTGTTTTTTGTGATAAAGCAAGGAAGAAAAAAAAAGAAAAAAATAAGAAAACAAAATCAATAAGTCGTTTTATGCATTTGCACAAGTCCACGGCAAACATTAAAAATGTATTGTTAAGTATTGCTGTTAGGCGAGTTAAGTGAAGCGGCAGGCCTACTTTTGACGACGAGGTCCGCGGTGCTGCTGGCGGTGCCTACGTCGTTGACGGCGCTGCATGTGTAGCGTCCAGCGTCCTTAACGTTCACGTTTTTTATTTCGACGCGCACGTGGTTGTGCGCGTAGCTTATCTTAACACCTTCCTTCTCTTTCAATTCCTGCCCGTTTTTCGACCAAGCGATCGTCGGTTGTGGAAAACCTACGGGTAGGTTTCAGCTTTTGTTATCACCTTCGCCTCTTACGCAATTTTCTTTATTTTCTTCTATTTATTTATTTCAATCTCTTTCGTTATCGTACAATATTATCCAGTTTACTGTTCTAACTAAATAATGCAAAGAGCTGGTGAGAACTCTGGGACAGACGAAGCACCATGATTTATGACAGCATCCAAAAGACATGGGACTGTGAAGTTTGTGAAAAGAAATTGATCAAAGTAAAAATGGCAGATGGTGTGATATCGAGGAATATTTGTACAGTATTAATAAAAAGGACTATTTGCAGAGAATTAATAAAGGACTACTTTACTAGGAACAACCATTGACAAGGACTCTACTGAGGGCTCTACGTGATGCGATGCGAATGCAGAGGGCGTTGGACGTGTCACAGGGGCTACCAGGAATTTATTTACAGAAGCTCCTTCATTCAGAGGTAGAATGAGTTATTATAATTAGTACATAAAGGATTAATAATGAAGCATCCATTGAACAGTCAGCCACACGACAAAGAAACACGCCAAGGCTAGCAGACCTGTAAAAAAAGAAGTTTAGCACGTGACAGGCCTTTTGTTTCTGTACGAAGGTTCAATGTAGAAAAGGAAGAAGATATTGAGAACAGAGAGCGTGAATAAAAGTAACATGTAGAAGGGACGAAACGATCGGACACGGAATACGTGAAGCCTCTTGGCAAGCGGACAACTGTTGCAGGCAGAATTACACTCAAAGACTAAATTATAGCTTGGAGGCTGTGTCGGGAGGAATGGCCACAAGACCTGCCAAGATTCGATCTTATGTTAGTTTTCCACTTGAAACCCATTGGAAATAAGATTGCGACAGTCTGTCCTAAAATCACCATCATCGGATCTCTAGTTATCGTGGTAAGGTTAGGTTACATTCCACAGGAACGTGGAAGGACAAATGAGTTGTTGGAATTTATCTTTAAAAAATCTTTCACCGTCCACTTACCATCCACTATGCCCTCGAGCACTATGTCCGTACCCTGATCAACGATCATCCCTGTGACCGGTGAGACAAATCTTGGCGCCACCGACTTGCGCACAGGTTTCTGGACCTGGGTCATTTTGCTCTCCAGCTTGGTGCCTTCCTCGCCCTTCGAGACGATCACGGTTTTCTCCTGCCGTATTTCACCAGGCTTGTCCTGGATTATTCGTTCGTATTCCTCGACCTTGTGCGACTGTCAACAACAGGGCCAGGATTGGTTTAATTAGTTTCGAAATTTTATGACGAGGAGCAACCTGGGCTTATCGTCACTTTTGACATCTCGGATGATCTACCTGGACCACTGGAGGTGCTCCGTTTTCTGAGCTCGACTGCTCGGAACTCTTGGTGGTCGACTTGACGCAAACACTCGTCGGCTGATTACTTGGACCCAAGGTGGTCGACGTTGTCGAGGACGTGTACTCCTTCTTCGTGGAAGTGTGCGACGAGGATGACTGCGTGACCGTCGAGGATATCTTGGTCAGGACGCTCTGGGAACCACCCTCGGAGGACGTCTTCTCCGTCGAGAAGTGCTTCTCGCTACTGTTTGAGGCCTGCATTTCTTCGGTTGGCACTTGGATCAGCTCGAGCTCTGCGTTCGTCCCTCCACCTGATGACGATGATTAATTGAGTTATCAATAGATCACTAATCAACTTTTGCCAGACCATCAATTTCATTCATATCTTCTCTAATTCGATACAGCTACATCGATCAGCTTATATCATGGAACAGGAATGGTTGATACGTTTTGATAATCCTTGAAAAAAATCGTTTTCATATACCCACTTGAATATTCGACCCAGCAATATTTTTCTCATGGATCATTTTAACTGGGAAATTGATCCAAATAAAAATTTCTCCAAAACAAACAGTAACAATATCGTAATAAATTTGAAACTTCAAGAAGGTTAACGATCTTCCCACTAGGAAACGTTAAATGTAATTCGATCGTAACGGCCTTGTCTATTGGCTATTGACGATCGACAGATTCGTTCCTAGGATCTATAGATCAATTTCCTTGAATCGTAAGAGTATTAATAGCTGTCCTGATTTACAGCGACGACAAACCAAACGCCTTCTAGACATAGTTAACGGAATTTGACATTGATCCCACAATGGACATTGCATTTATGTTCAACTCCATTTGATAGTCAAAAAAAGACATGGAAAGTCTAAAAAAAAAGTAATTTCATTACAATCACCACCACGCCCAAAAATTCTGGTAAGAACGATCGACTAGAAATTATAAATAATAAAAATATTCTTGGGTACAAGGCAGGACTTTGCAAAAGCTTCACAGAAGAGACATTGAGGAGAGTTTGGCAAGTTTCCAAAATATTGTGCAAATAAATTCGGATAAATTGAGAATCGGGAATGCAATGAAATCTGGAACGCGATATCCTATACACCAATTCGGATTTACCTGACTTGTAAAAAAAAAAAAAACGTGCTTTCTAAAGTCCTACCGATTCCATTGGAACGTCTCATCGCAACCCGACGCTTCCCGTAACACTAGCCGAACCAGCGGCTGAATTGACAACCAGAAGAAACGAACTACCTGGGTACTCAGAGCTACGTAGCCATTTACAATTAGATACCTAGAGAGCCACCTTTAGAAACCTACCCAACCTCGGTATGCACGCTATTTTCGTTATGCCGTTAAAAGTTCAAATGCACAGAGGCCGAGAATGAGATTGAGATAAAATTAGCATTAGAGCTCTTCATCGGCTGAACTTTCTGTGAGCTCAGGACAACAAGAGAGTCACGTTTGATCGCACTGAGAACTTGGACACTTAATTCGAAAAACCTGCCGATTTAAAAAAAAAACCCAATCTAAACTCATAAGATACAGCCTACACGGTTCCATCCTCCTTGTGCCTTTTACGTCGTACATTTTTTTTTTTTTTTTTTTTGAGGAAAATTTGACACGACGACTTCATCCCTCACGGACACGCACTCACACTGTTACGTTGATTTTTTGAGGATTCCTAATCAACCTCCAGGATCACAAAATTTGTCCGCACGACGATGACGGCGCGGATAAGAGCTCCAAGAAGATTGTTTAGGAACCGGAAGAAGGTCGAAAATTTTGATAAAAGTCTGGATTGGCGACTTTCGTGAAAATCGAATCGAACTTGGGACGAACTCGCGCGACTCGCGAGGTCCGGCTGGCGTGTGACTCCGGGACGACGGGTATTTGTGCCGACAAAAATAACGCATTTCTCAGTGTGTCGGTTTCAGCACATCACAAACTTACACGCTAGAAACTCTGGACCAACCACGAATGACCAATCCACCTATTCCCCACGAACGCCAGAGAAATTATTGGATGAGAAATTTGTAAATAAATATTTTCAGCGATATCCTGATAAATTTTGTTTAGCCCACGCTGAGTATCCGGATTTTGATAAAATTTATAAAGCCAATGAACCATCAAATATACACGTTACTCCTTAAGAGCGTATTATTAGAAGTGACTCAATAAAAATTTCGCCAAGACGAAGAAAATCAAAGTAGAAAGCGATCTTTACAACGAAACCCGCAAGACGTTCGTTAGGGTTAAAAATACATACTGGTTTTATAGTAAAAAAACGGTTACCAGTTTCCGTGTAACTGGCTTGGGCTATGCTGTACGAGCATCTGAAGGTAACGAAAGAAAGGAGGAAACGAATATTAGTGAGTGATCGACTTTTGATTTTCTGACCGAACGAAAAGTTTTCAGGAGAAATATTAATAAACACGTGACACCGTTTAGACTGTTGCAGGGTTCGTCGTTATTTTCGCTCGTCAAACGAAGCGCAGTCGGTTATCTTTCCGTCGTCCCAATTTCCCCGGTCGAAAATCTATCCGACTGTTCAGCAGACTTTGGAAATCCCTCTGCCGCGTCAATTTTCATTTCTCTTTTTTAACCTTACGCCTACATGAGAGGATCTCGACGGACCAGCTACCCACGTGTCGAGTCTTGGCGAATTCCCGGAATCGGGTTATATCCGCTGGAAATATCAAAAGTTCTAGAAATATCGTACAGCAGTATTCGCGTCCTGATATCGCTTACCGATTTCGAGATGGGCCTGGCAAATGGCTTTGCCAGCGGCGTTCTCAGCCACGCAGGATATCGTACCGTTGTGGGCAGTTCCGGTTTCCGGAATCGTCAAGACTTGCCGCTCGCCGCTGACCGAAGTCAAGAAGTCTTTGCCGCAGACTGGTTGATCGTTGAAAAGCCACTGGATCTGGAACCAGTAAAGGTCTTGTGACTACGTGAAGGATTGATTTACGATAAGAATACTTTTCAAAGAAATAAAACATGGAATCCCAAGTGGAGCACGTAATTTTGACGTTTCCTTCCGAATAAACGTAAACAGCCTAAACAATCTTCCAGCGGATACGTGGAGTCGCCATAATACTTCGGATTATTTACTAATATTTTATACTTCGAAGAGAAAGAATTTACGGTTTCGGCAAGCCACTTCCCCAACGACCTAATAATTTCCTTTAATAAATCAATCGGTCGAGGAAGGAGGTTAATGAGTCTGACTCATTAAGGTTTCTGTTTCATTGCTCAGTTCTATATTCGCGTTCGCAGTCATTGAATGAGTATTAGAAGATTAATAGAATAGAAAACATTAATTCGGTGAGTCATGTATTAGGAATTAGAAAAAAATAATAATTGAAATAGAGTATAATTGTAGCTGTCACATTTTTATGTGCAATGGTAACGAAATTGTGAAAAAGATTTTTTTTTTGAAAATTTAAAGACTAACAAGGATGACAGTCAATGCATTTTTCAATTTGATGAAATCACGTGACGCTTTGTATCCAATGGACGTTTACGGGGCGACCTTCGGGCGTTCGTTTGGAATAGTTTGGGTGTATTAATTCCAGTAATGATCTGCAGGTGAACTTTCATTTAAATAGCAGGATCTTTACGCAGATGCACCTGGCGATGTTTCTATTGAAAATATTTTTTAACTCCTCCACTGGCTTGATCTTCCTTCTTCGATTTGGTCCGTTCAAGGTCGATGCTTTATTTCGACTCAAGATGCTTGGCAAGATAGTTAAGCACCGAATTAGATTGCGATTTGATAGTCTCCTCTTCATGGTCACAGTCCCTTGCCTTTCTCTGGGCTCGCTTTGATTGACTAGCAATTTGATTTTTGTATGTTAATATAGAGTGATACTTGTTATTTGTTGAGACTCACAAAAATAAGAAAAATGACAAGCACCAGCAGATGCATGGCGAACGCGTTCACGAGTCTTAACCAACTGATCCCAAATGCACCCCGATGTTATGCAAATGCATCTGAATTCAATCTTGAATTTGCCTAATGTCTCCCAGAGTAATATGGGATAAGAGATTAGTGGATCTCTTGGCATCCGATGAATCTAGACTAATTATCAAAACCAGATGCCAGCAGTACAAATCTTGACCAATGACACCTCGTGTACGTGTACTGTATCTTTGGTGCACACGTGAGAAGAGTAAAGAATTGGGTCTTTTACCTTGGGATTTGGTTTCCCAGTGACGATACACTCGAACTTGATAGCTGTTCCTTCAGGAACTGTTCTGTCGAGAAAACGCTCTTTGAATGTTGGCGGGATCAGCTTTTCCTCCATTTTCACAATTTCCTCCTTTATTTGGAAGTCGCTGAGAGACTTTACGATCAGATGAGCAAAGGCTTTGGCCTCTCCTAGATGGTTAGTGGCTTTGGCTATGTAATTGCCCTTGTCCTCGGGGATGGTTCTTGAGATCCTCAGAGTTCCAGTTCCGTCGTCCTGGTAGTTCATGCGAATTCGTTCGTTTTCGATGATCTCAGAATTGTTCAGGAACCACTTGAGGTCTGGTTTAGGGTCACCAGTGACGATGCACTCAAAGACGGTCTCCTCGCCTTCCGCAACGAGGACGTCGGTCAGGAGCTTAATGAACTTGGGCGGAGAACCGGGAACTTCCTCCACCTGAGATTTTGGATGGTCCTCCGCATCGGCGATCGCTGCCACAGAAAACAACGCGATGAAAGTAAAATTTGAATTGAGACAAAAACAAGTTCGACTTAGATCGTGAATTTTGAAATTTCATCAACAGCAGAGTCTTTATTTACAAAGTCTTTCACTTTTGGCAGTGCTTAATATCAACTTCTTATTCCGGTCCCAACAGTTTTGCACAAACAGTTGCAGTCTCTTGGCATCCACGTTGTGTTTGCTGACAATTTGTATTTTACGTAGGATTTATTGCGTGACTGTTACGTGAATTATTGGAAAATGATTTCTTACCCACGACAGACAAAATGCATTGGCTTGACGCTTCGCCGCCTGAATTTATCGCCACCACCTTATAGTCGCCAGCGTCATCCAAAAAGGCCTCGTGGATGATTAATGAGCACCTGTCACCCTGGAATAAAAGCTGAAAGTCTGCAGACTCCTTGACAGGTTGTCCATCGTGATACCAGATCACCTGAAACGCAAAGTAGTGCCTCTGAAGGTCCATTCACTATGATAAAGATGATCTTGAGAAGGATATTATGAAACTGGATGTATCCAGACTCATTTTTCAATACCTCAGGTTCCGGTTGACCAACTATGACACAATCCAATCGCACAGTTTGTCCCTCAACGACTTGAAGATCCTTCAAAGGCAGCTGGATGCTTGGCTTAACTGGTTCCATGTCACTGGGCAATTCGGAGTCGCTGGTTTCGTTGGGTAGTCGTCCTTTGACGGAAACGTTGCAGGAGCTGGTGGCTTCCCCAGCCAGGTTCCTCGCACTCACTGAATAACTTCCGGCGTCCTTAGGGAAGGCTTCAGAAATGACGAGGGTCGATTTGGCTCCCTCAGTCTGGATCTGCGAGACCGAACAGACCGATTTCTCCTCCCGTTACTGTTTCGTCTTTTTACTCTCATTCAGATGCATCACATACTGCCGGTAATGCTGCTAAATATACTTGAGCATTCCGCGACAGCGCTTACATGGAAACAGCTTCGAAGAGCTCGAGATATTCTTTGGGTATTTCTCACCAATTCCTACGATTCAAAATTCATCCTAACTTACCTTCAAATCTCTTGATTCCTTCACAGACTTCCCATTATGACTCCAGTTCAAGTTTGGCGTTGGTATACCTTTGGCTTCACACTCCAACTTCACCTTCTGACCGGCCCTGGCCATGATGTTCGACAAGGGAGTCACGAAGTATGGTTTTTCAGTTGGTTCAAGAGCTAAGATCAATTGGTTCTTGTTATACGGACAGTTGGTAGGCTCTTTATCCAATTGAATCTTTACTTACGTTCAACCGAGAGCGAAGCGGATGTGGAAGCCTGACCGACTTGATTGACCGCTTTACAAGTGTAAGTGGCCTGATCATCAAGAAAAACTTCCTCAAACTTCAAAATTGCTTCACCATTGTTGTAGGTGATGATATAATCAGGAGAGTTGTCGATGTTCGATTCGTTCTTGAACCACTGAACAGTAGGTAGTGGATTACCTTCGACTGTACATTCTAAAAGATGTGGAGTACCCTCGATAGCAAATGAAGGTTGAAGCCCTTTGATGAACACCGGTGGACTAAGTTGTTCTTCCGGTGCTGTTTCTGAAAATTTATTCAAAATTGCCAAAAATTTTCATGAGCTTCATGATTTATACATCGAAAGGACATTACCTTTGACTGTAAGAGTAGCCATTGTTTCAGCCGAACCTGCAGTGTTAAAAGCCCTACACGTGAACTGTGCAGAATCTTCGGCAAAGGTTTCTTCAATCGTCAATGTACAGACACCGTTTTCGTAACTGGTCAAGTAGTCAGGATTGTTCAGAATGGAAATACCATCTTTATACCAGACAACTTCCGGTTCCGGGTAACCAGTAACTCGACACTCGAATGTCAACCGTTCACCTTCTTGAATGGTAGCGTTGTTCAAGGGGACCGTGAAGACAGGCGGAACTGGTTCGCGTTTCACTTCGTCAGTTTTCGAAACTTTGGGTGGACTAGCTTCCCTCTGTGGTGTCAAAGGTTGCACAGAAATTGGTATGGCTTCTTCTATTTCGGTCTGAACAAAAAACAAAATTTAACGTATCCGACTCTCTTCAAGACTAATTTAAAGATTTCAGTAGTTCCAATTTGTCAGTGGCACCAACCTTTTGCAAGATATGAATCTCCTTGGTAGTCACTGCAGATGTTAGGGTTTCCTGCACAGTCTGTGTATCGTTGATCTCCGTCTCAGTTTGCGCTGAAACAGAAGTGAGAGCTTTTTGCTTCTCTATTTGAGCTCTTCTAGCTTTTTCTCCTTCAATTTCCGCAAGTTTTCGTGCTTCCTCCGTCGCTCGTTCCACTGTTTGCGCGGCTAAAAGTTCTGCGGCTCTTCTAGCATTTTCAGCTTCAGCCGCTGCTACTTGAGCCGCCATTGCTTCCGCTCTGGCAGCGCTCAACTTTGCATCCGCTTCCTCCTGCTCTCTTTTCAGCATCTCCTTACGATTCTCTGCGTTTTTCAAATCTTGAACCAAAATTTGCAATTCCGAAGATAGCATGGTGAACGCATCCAGCATTTCGCGATTCTCAACCACGACTTCGTTGAACTGTGGAAGTCTTTCGGTACCTGTCAATATAAATTGACAATTTTCAAATAAATAACTATCATTTCATTAAAGGTACATTTTGCCATTGAATATTTAATTACCGAAAACGTGAGTTGACAATTCGCGAATTTTCCTGATCCTTTCTTCTTGCTTATCTTCGCCAGGCTTCAGGTACGTATCCACGTCGTGAAGCAAATTCGTCGCGTCTTCAGGCACCTTGACCATCGTCGCCTTCCTGGCGATGGTAATCAAGAGCTTGCTACCTTCCCTGAACCACTCTTCAGCCTCTTCGAGTAGTTTGAAATAATCTATACTGAGATTCACTCTTCTCCTACTCTCCTCAGCTTCTTTTTTCAGCTCCTCCAACTTCTCTTCGAGTTTGCTCAGTTCTTCTCTGACGTACGGAGCCAATTCGTACGTCGTTATGATCTTCTCCTTGGTTGTTGTAATGAAAGTTTCGATTTTTGTTTCCAAAACCTGAACATCGAATATCCTTATCATAAAATATCACTGATTCGAACTTAGTATTTTTAACGAGTGTACTTGCCGTCATTGTCGTTTCAAAGTGTTTAAATGATTCCGAAGTTGATTTTGCGGCCGGAAGATTTTCGCCATACTGTCCTTTAAAAGATGACAGCTGGTTACTCAATTGGTTCAGATTTGACTTTATCTCTCCGAGATCATTTTGGAAAACACAGCGTTCGATGGTCTCTTCGATTGTCACTTTCCTTTCGTGCCACAAAGAGTCAACAGATAATTTTTTCAGTTCGATCACGCGTCTCAATTTTTCGATGTCTTTTTCAGCCGCATCCGGTGGTTCCTGTGATAACAATCGATAATACGCAACTGTACCAATTGTTCCATTCTTCAATATTTATTATACAATAGTATAACTCTACCTGACGCTTAATTCTTTCGACGGTCTTCTCCGTTTCTGTCGTGACAGTTTTCAATATTTCCTCTACAGATTCTCTTGTTTCCTCGTGCTTCTTTAAAAGCGACCGAAGACCATCAGCATCTTTTGGTAGAAACTGATAATCAGTTTGTCTGTCGATTTCCTGCGTCCGACGCTCAACCTAAACCATAACAGATGTGACAAAAAAAGGAAAAAAATATTACATTTGTTACCGATACAGAAAATTTTCAAAAACACACCTCCACTACATTTTTGAAAATCGATATCAGCGATTCAAGAAGAATTTGATATTCGCTCGTAGTATTTTGTAGATGTTGGTGAACGTCTAACAATTTATTCTTTATTTGTTCATTGACACCATCATCGTCTGCAAGAAAACAGCGTTCAGTGAAAATGTTACATGACTATAAATATTAATGAAATAAAAATTTAATTTACCATTCTGCATCAGAGCGCTGACTGTCTTAATTCTAACGTCCAGCTCGGAAACAGCTTTCTTCAATTCCGGCAAAATGTTAGACCGCGTGATTTCCAAGTTCTCAAGAATATTCGAAGGGACCATCGATTCAGTCGTTATCACAGGATACAATTGTTCATCGAATTTCGAAACCCATTGTATCGTCTAAAATAAATTCCTCTTATTAATTTCGAATGCTTCTATATACCGACGCCAATAATACTCACCCTAGTACTCTCCTCCATAGTTCTCTCCTGTTCGATTTGTCTCTCCTTGAGGATGGTGATGTTGTTCTGCCAGGTTTCCCAGGACTCCGTGAGCGTTAGCTGCCGATTAGCAAAGTGTTCCAAGAGCGTCTCGACGCAGAGGCGCGCTCTCAAAATGTCGAGGTAGGGGTCGCTGATCTGAATAGATCCAAACAGAAATACCAGTCAGTGACAGATACAAAGGAGAAGTCTGGTTGATACTAGAGGACTGAACGCTAGTGAAGTTGATGAAGTTACGAAAATCGGCTCGAACATTGGACTACTGTTGCGTCGACAAAACGAGAGACAAGATCGAGTCTTGGCCTTCTTCCAGATATTGAAAGATGAAGACGCAATCGGTTTTATTATCTATAAACACGGATATATCGCTTCTAGGTATACGTAAAGATTTCAGAAGACACAATGATTGGTCCATAAAGAATTATTTTCAGATAACACTCAGTGACTTGTGATCATCAATACATCTGTCAGGATTTTCCACATCTACGTAAACCGATCCAGTTCACAGTTGGCAACTGGATCAGTCCATCGACGACGTCTCACCTCTCGTGCCTCGTCGAGGAATTGCTTCCCAGTTGACGTCAGCTTCAGATAGAGTGGCTGAAGCGCCATCCACTTCTTCTCCAACTCTTCGATCTTTCCCTCCTTCAAGTTCTCCCCGTTCTTCTTAAACTCGGTTTCTATTGCGTCAATCTCATTGGCCAACTCGGCAGCAGCCTCGTGGAACTTGACATAGAGGCTGCTAAGCTGCAACCGAGCGTCCACAAGATTCTTCAGCTTCAACCAATCACCATGAAGTACGTCAACCTTCTCATCAACGTCACGACGCTGCTGGTCCTCCAGAAACTCAACAATCGGTGGCAAAGATTTGAGAACTTCATTGATCTCATCTCCCTTCTTTTGCAAATCGCTAAGGAGTTTGTAGTGAAGCTGGTGAAAGTCCTGCGCCATTGGTAGGACACTGCCCATCTCCTGATGACCCTGAAGAAAAGCTTCGGCGATGCCAACCAGCCAGGAGTAAAGTTGATTGTGCTTCTCCAGGAATGCAGTGAGTTCCTGAGCTATTCGAAGATTCTCTTCGTTGTCTGCAGTGCAATGGTTGACCATCTGAATCTTCCGGTTCTCCAATTCCTCGACCATGCGTCTGACGCCCTATAAGAACAGTGAAATCGTTACTGATCGACGTGGCTGCTAACCGATCATCCAATCTAAAATCAGAGGAAAAATAAAATAGAAAAATTTATCCATTCAGTCTAGATACCTCTGCGCCGGGCGCTCCTCTTCCCGTTACGTCCAACAGGGCGTAACCCTCTGCCAGTGGTTCGGCCGTAACATCCTCGAGAGTGGCCACAGCCTGAGCGTGCAGTTGGGCCAGCTGTGCCGAATGTGGCGGATGATCGGTGGTGATTAACTGTATCTCCAACTGATCGAGTTTCGTCAAACCCTAAAATATAAGAATTTAATAAATCCTGTTCCCTGAAGAGCATCATAAATCCTTGATATTCTTATATATATCTTACAAATAACCAACCAATTGGATCTGAATATTTATCACTTGGTGAAACATCGGACTCACCGATTGCGCCAATCTAAAGAAGGCAATGGCTCTGTTCAAGAGAGATTCGTATTGGTCGAGATCATTGATGTAATCGGCAGCCGAGCTCAGAATAGCATAGGCCTGCTCGGTGGCCTGTTCCCCAGCAAAATGCCCGGAAGAGACCAGCTGTTCTGTTAACTTCGTTATTTTAATCGATCTGTCCTGGAACTCCTTAGCTTCCGGTTGTAGCTTCTTCAGCTCGAACAGAAGCAATTCCGCACTCGACGATGAATCACCCAGCTGGTCGCTGCTGCTGGCCAATGCCGAGACCCTGTCGTTTAGAATTTCTTCCAAGTCTCGAAGATCCGTAGCCAGCAATGCCAGAGCTAAGCACTGCTCCAGTTGGGTTTTTCGACTTTGAAATGAAATCTCAATGAGTCTTCGTTTATCGTGAAGTTCCTCGAGCCATCGTTCCACTTGGAGTATCGCTAAAGAGCCAGAAGAAATTTATAATCTCCAAAATAATCAGCGAAGATCAGGTTTATCCAACACTGATGATTACCGTGATCTGCTTCAGCTTTTATATGATCTGGTCTGGAGTCGAGTGATCCCTCGTTAGAAACTTCCCGAAGTTTATCCAAAAGTGTTTTTCCTTCCTGCAAAGCACCCATTAGAGATTCGAGCATCGTTTTTCGTAAATCGTGAATTTTCGTTAGGAAATTCTTCACAGCGTCTATTTCGATCGGCAGGAGAGTGTCGTTACAGGCCATTTCCAAGGCCTTCATGTTCTCTCTGTATTCCTCGGCGCGACTGCGAATCAATTGATACCTCCGATTAGCACTGCACGTTGCTTTCGCTATTTTTCAAAAGCAGCCACAAGGCTTCGAAGACATAGTCACCATTGAAAAAGGACGTTGCTATCCAAAATCTGTTTCCGGTGTTCGAGATGAGTATTAACGTCCCTCCAAGCCTGTCCTAGAGTTTCCGCCATTGCTGCATAAACCTCAGCCCTTGGTCGCTGAGTCGAGATCAGCTGATCGGCCTGCCGAAGCAGCTCCTCGACAGGACTCTGTTTGCTCTGCAAGAACTTCCGTAATGTAGACTTGAAACTTCAATTAAACTTCAATTAATTACCTGCAACTGAAGCAGAACTTCATCGTGCGCGTTCAGTAGTTCGGTTGCCTCTTCGGCAGATGCACCCAGGCTGGTCAATCCTGGCCGGACTTCAAGGACTTTCAATCTGAACCATTCGCCACTCTGTAAGTACAAAAAGAGACAAAAGTTTTATTGAGTCATTCGGCAACTTACGGATTTTTCAAAATATTTAAAAGTCAATATTGAGTCCGTAGTAAAATCGAATCGTCCAATGTGGCGGATCGAACACGAGTCTTCTCGCCTACTCGAAGCTTCTTCTTCCTGATCTATTTTAATTGATGTACGCAAATCGCACACGCGGTATAGTCGGCGCGAAAGATAATATTTATTTGTTCAGCCGAAATACCGCGACCCACTTTTTTTTTCCAACCCAGACAGAACCGGATGTTTGACTTCGTCTTGTGAATCCAGTTGCGGTTCCAGTTTCCTCGGCTCGTTTTAATCTGCCACCAACAATTTTCGCAATTATCTTTTCCTCGTGCTGCAAAACATTACCAACTGGTTCATACGTGACAGCTGTCGAACCTAACTGGCATTCCTGAATTCCAACTGAATAATCCGACGTTAGATAAGACACCCCCCAGCCATGTGTTCCAGGCGGACGGATTCAAAAATGGTCACCAGCTAACGTACTTAATATATATAATTTTTTTCTATCCGTCCCTCCTACGAATTCAAATAAATCAGAAAAATCTGAAAAGTGGTATTACGTGGTATAAAAAAAAAAAGGGTAAAAAACAGTCGACCTTAAACGATATATTTATGAGTATAACAATATTCAATGTCATCTATGAATAAAAAAAAAACCGGTTTTTTCGAAATCACAATGAACCTCTAATTTAGATAAAGATTCCCATAAAAGAAATCTCGTCTGCAGTTCGAATCCTCTACGAGCCTTTCGAATAGCAACGAGCTTCAAGATGCTACAGGGTGTAACAAAAATAATCAAGCGGATCTACTCTTCGGCGTTTCACCCTGTTGTATCGTACTGTACTGGGTGGAGAAAAAAAAATATTTATACGAATTCTTCGCTGGGTAATCAAATATTCTATGCCACCATATATACTATATATACACTCCCTCTACAAGATCTCATTACAAATCTCAAATCCTAATTCTATGCTGACTTTTAAAGCCGGGCTTTAAAGCCCCACAAGAAATAATCGAATTCTATTGACTCATCCGTTATATATAAATCAGGTAGAATATTCCAAACGCGTCCCAAGAGGCGTTGGCATAGTACGCACATACTCGATATATACGTGTATCTACCACGTGGTATAACAGACGCATACAAATCCACCATTTGGAAGATGACATGATCAGAATGAGAGCGAGAGAGAGAGAGAGAGAAAGGGACAGCGAAGATAAAAGAAGACTCCTACTCGTTGAGGGATGACGTCACGACCCGCCTATATTCTTAGGGGTTTATTGCAACAAATCACGCCGCTAGTCTCGAGTCTACCTTTGCGTTTGACCCGGCGAGTACCCTAAGGCGGCATTCACACCGAAAACTTCCACCTACCATATAATCCAAAAATATTAAAAGAAACAGCAAGAACAGTGGATGTCAATAATTGGGTGTGAACGAAGCTTTATAGATATCCAGGGTGAGTGTTGAATTTACGAAGAAATCCTCCGGGGTAAAAATATTTGCACTGTACGGCAATATAAAAGATTAACGCCTCTCGACCTTCCTAATAAATTTTCCTCGAAACCCTATAATTACATTGGCCAAACATTTACATAAAAATATTATTTATCCCGCGTTAAACATAGCCGATAAGCGTCACTCTGCCATTTATTATGTAAATTAACAAATTAGCAGTACCATAAAAAAAAAGGTATGTTCCTAATTGATCGTTTAAATTTTAATAATAGATTTTTCCAACACGACGTATTTTATTACTTCGACGATCCCAGAAGACACAAGAAACGAATCGTTGTGGCACTTCCGGTTTCAAAGTCGAACCAGGAACAACGTCCTCTTCCGGTATCGGGAGAGCAGACGCGCGAGAAGTGGAGGATTGGGTTTGGTATAGCTATAGGTGCGCAGGATATATTGGCAGGATCAGTCGACTCAAAAGGACGAAGGCGTCTTGGCTATTTCCTCTTTACAGGAATCAGGAGCTTATGACGGAGCAAGGATATTGGTCCTTTGGTATATACATGTATAGTAGCTTCTTTCTGTGTACGAGACCATGGCAATCCTCAAGGACTCTTCTTGCAGGACTATCTCAGCCGTCCTTTATAAGGATCTTATGCGACTGAGGAATTGGCCCTGGATTTCGAATCCGCGATACATTCTAATTCCTGGGTAGCCACTTCCCAAAGCATTATTCACTTGCGTTAACATAAGTTTTACCGTGCGTGTCCAATTAAGGTGATTAACGTCTTTTACCCGCTAACTTGGACGATCACGTGTTAGAATACCAGAGCACGTGAATGCATTAGAATTACATGTATTTACGCTTCGTTCTCGAGCGATGCGACTGACTTTATTGTTTATCTTTAGAATTGCATTTATTTTTATTACCAACGAATGAGAATTCTGCTACCGGTCGGAGTGCGTGGTAGTACGATCGGTTGATCGATACGTAGAAGGTATCGATAACGTCACGGTATCATTGGATATCGTGAAAATAATAATGTCAAGGTAATGAATATGGGGTTTGACAATACTGGAGTTTGTCCAAATCGACTGCTGGGATCCGTCGTGGGATCCGCTTGGCGCTTGGCTTATGACGTAAATTCAATTCGGAGGTTAAGTTAATTATCAGAGGAATGACATAGGCCAAACTAAAGAAAATCTGAATAAAAGCGATTTTGCTAAAACTTTTAGCACAGAATCGTAGGATAATTTTGTAAAAAAAATTTGTCTTCGTTTCTGCCACGAGGACAGCGCGAGCCGGTGCAGTCCTCGTGCGTGCCTCGGTAGAATAGAATTAATGACGGCAAGGAACGTTGAGTGTGCGGAGCGTGGGCCGAGTGATGGCTGCGCGCCCGTCGCCTCTTTACGAGTTTTTCGAGTCCCGTAGGTCGTCCGAAAGACGAGACGAGCAGAAGAGCGAAGTTTAATTTAGACGGGTTTGGTAAATCTGAGAGAAGAAAGTACCGGCGACCGTAAAGCGATGGGACTCCGTAGCGTGCAAGTGACGCAATGTAATTCGTAGATCGGAACAAAAAGAGGGAGGCCACGACGATAGCCGAAGCCGGCCGAAGGCAGTCCCGATGATCGATGTAAGCGAAGGATCACGGGAGCCGTTGGGAATTTCCTGGAATTGCACATCCGAAATAAACTACCGAAGTCGCGCTTGTTTTTTTCCCCTCCTTTCCTCCGTCGGGCGAAGAGTCAAGATGGCCGTCGTAGACGGCGACGTCCGTAGCGAAATGCGGCGACGTGCAAAATCGAGAAGAGCGTCGGGAGTCAAAAGGAGAAATTGAAGAAGGAAGCCGTTGACCTCGCGAGAGCCTACAATGAGAGATATGCTTCCATTTAGAAATTTTGGACAGCAGCCAGTTAGCCGGTTCCCTTTTAACGAAATTCATCCACACCTTTCGTACACCTCTTCGGCTCCCCTGGCGGACACTTGGTAAATTACACATTTTCTTCGTTCCTTCTTTTTTATAATTAAATGCCTACCCATAGTCACTTCACGCTCTGTTTACAAGTAATTAATTTAACGTGTAACAACGCCTAGCGTCACTACAGCAATTATTGCCTGTTCCCCAGTTCAAAGGAATACCACTAACGAAACTTTGCTTGCGTACTACAAACCTTAAAAAAAAATTACAAAAAAATTCCTAGTCCGCTTAACGCTTCTTTTCCAGCTCTTCTAATACCAGTCACGTTGTATCTCCGTCCGTGACTCTAAAGACGCGCGAGTCCCATGTTAAGTTTTTAAAAAAGATTTTCTCCCAGGTACACTGACACGAGAGAATCGAGAGCTCCGAAGAATTCAACGGCCCATATCAAACCAGATTGCCTATCGATCTCATAAAATTCATATGCCGCCTAGAGGTACATAGGATAATTGTAAGAATCGTCCAAGGAGCAGGTGCTGGGCACGATCGGTATAATAAAATAAGAGAAGACGATGGCCGTTAAGAAAAATGGCGATACTCCCTCCGGCAGAAGCAACGTGTCGTTACCCGCTGTTAAGGCGACCCCCATGAGAAAAACGGTGCCTCCGCAACGCAGTCGTACTATTGGCTCCTCGACTTATCCAAGTATTCGGGTAACCGTTGCTTCTGTTCTCTATGATTCTCAGTGCCCATTTTCGATTTGCTATGAGATTCTGTACTTGCAAGAGACGTAGGATCGTCCGCCAGGCGGAATAGACTTCGATGTAGTCAAAGCGTATTGTGAAGTGAAAGTGACTCGGCTGCGATCACGGGGCACTGCGTGTACCTACTACGTACGTGTCTGGTGCGTGATCGTACGTGACTCGTGCGTGAGTACCGACCTCACAATCGTTAAATGATGAAATAGCGGACCGGTACCCAGAGAGCATTTCCATATTCGGACATTAAAATTGGGCCAGCGTTCCCGTTCGACGAGCAAGATGGCAGGCGCAACTTCGACGCGTGATTCTTCACGTTCGGAAGGAGCGAAGAGGTCGGTGAAGATTCGTTGTGAAAATTTTCGTTATTGCCAACTTAAAAGACTAACCAATCTTTCTTTTTATTTATAACGTCCAAACGAAGATTCATCAAGGGCTCCCTCGTTATATGGTGTTATTTCGGGGCATTGCATGAGCCCATAGCTATTTCCGAGTTCTCTCTTGCTCTCGCTTCTCTTCCTTCGATCCAGCATCGCCAGCAGTTCTAACCAGCGACGACTATCGTTCTACGAAACTCCACGAAGGATAAATTTAACCTGGGCTGCCTCCGCGGCTCTCTTGAACGTCCTTATGGCTTCGGACGGACCGACCGACTGAAGACCCAACGGAAGAATCAAGGAGTCGACTACGGAGGCCTCTATTGAATTCAACGAAAAATTTCTTTTACCTGTCTAATCAAGGCGCGGGGATCGGGGTGACTGGTCCAGGATGGAAATAACTTTTATCGTACGCCAAGATAATTAAATCAGCAGGGGCAAGGCACTTGGCTCCCAAGTGTAGGTGCTCGTTACGCGTATGGGGCCAGGTTGCGTGCAACCATGAGGGATCGGAAGACCCGTGTATTAGTTCTTTCGATCTTTTTCACCGATCCAGTCTACCTGTATACCTTGGTATATATCGAGTATATTCGCGCTGGAACACGAGGCGGCCTGTAGGAGGCCCATAGGACCCCGATGGAGATCCCGATGGGGTCCGATGGGATCCCAACCCGATGTATCTAGCAAACCGGTATTATACGAGTACGGGGTCCGTCCGAACGGGCCTCATCGTTACTCTTCACACTCTTTACGCGCAGACTATACATATCGCTACTCCTGGCCCTCACAAGACCTACACCTACTCCTGGACCAAACCGACACGACCTGACACTACCCACGTCTCCTCCGGGAAGGCTGGTCCCGTGCCACGATGTCAGAGTGCGTAAAGCCACCTACGTACCGGCCCGTTAAGACCCGTCGGGGCCCTATGACCTCTTCTCTCAATAGTCACAGATTTCATATTTCGTCGAGTCGATCGTTCGCTGCCTTATCGCTTTAACTCTTTCGCGCCAAAGATTTGTCTTGCTTCGATTGCCCGTTGCGAAGAAAAACAATAATTAACTGCCCAAACGGCAAAGAACGATCTTGTTGGTCTCTTTAGTCGGCGTGATATTGTTCGGTAGAATCGGCGGTACGAGATAATTGATGGCAAGATGGGTTTTCACTGTCCGGTGTGAGAGGTGCTTAATCAAGCATGGGAAGTCGTGCACTCCCTTCGCGGCATAGGTTAAACCATTGTAATATACTGTGAAATTGACTATCAACCTTTTTGCCACCATGGATACTCCCACCATTTGGAGAAAGTCATGGCGCCTACCGTGTCAAGGGCTGGGATGTTTTTTTTTTTTTCACGATCAGGTACACGTTCACAATGCGTTTTCAGGTCGTGAACAAAACTACCTATTGTCGTTCTACAAATGATCAACCACGATACAAATGATCCAGCCACGGTATTGTAAGTGCTTGTATAACGTATGTGACTCGTACGTGGAGATGAAATGAGAATAAAATATAAAAACAAGGTACGACTGAAAAATTTTCACAGACAAACCATACAACTGTAAGTTCATATGAGAATGCGTATGCGGATTTTTCTATATGCACGTGCACAGGGGACATACCGGTTTACCCACACTTTTGTATTTGCTGGTAGAATGCAACGATGCGATCTGACACATTGCTGTGACGTCATTGGCCAACTTTTTTCAAATGTACAAAGTCAACTTAAACTGACGTAGTTGATAATTTTTATTAATCTTTTTTTCAATACTGAAATTATCAAAATTTCTTGTGCTACTTAAATCATAAAATTGAAAATTGTTTATGAAAATTATAAGAATCTGTGCAGTCATGGAACTTGAGCGGCAGATTAAAATTGCCTTAATTGGTTTTAAAAAAACGTTTATGGTGTTACGTAGTACGAAGAACTTTTTTTGTATTATAAATGCAAATGCACGAGGTATGATGCATCGAGACGTACTTGGTTCATATGAGAGTCGAGGATCGACTTTCCACACGAACCTGCAGCCTGACCGGCAATGGAATTGATCTACAAATAGAGATGACACGCGTCTACTAACGTGTCATTTATTTCTCTATGTCAACAGATGTTTTCCTGTCATTTATAAATTGCTTAGAAGCCACCAAAAGAGTAATCTTGAACGAAAACAGTCACGAGTCACGAACCCGTTCCGCATTTTTGGTCAATTCCGTACAATATTTTTTAAGTATTTTAGTCATTCGTAAAAAAAGACCGTAGCGACGCCTATTGTCTGCTAAAAATATCTGGTAAGACATTAGAATTCCATAGGCTATTTCGCACGTAAATTTTCTAATTTTTCAAAGCTGATCTAATAGTGAAAAATTGTATAGAAATCAAATAGACAGTTTAACTTTTTTTAATGATTCTGACGAGAAATTGCGATCGATAGATCGAATAAGGAGTGAAAATCTCTTACTTGAAGGAGAGCAATAACAAGTCGAGTCTCTCCACTTTGCACGGCTATGGTGCTTATGGTGGTCGTAGTTGGTGTCTGAGAAGAATCCTGCCCAGTTGATGATCGTCCTGGCTCGTCGTGATTCCTCGTCACTGAATTACCACCTTCATTTTCATCACCCATGGACTCGTATCCGTCCACCATTTTGCACTTTTGAATTCTTTCGCACTCACGCACCGTATTTCCAAAAAAGCACAGCTACGGGGATTCAATGATTCTTATATTACTTGTACTACGCTTCGCCAGCTTCTATTCAAATTCCCATGAAACTCTGCGGCGTCTCGTGAACTTCCAAGATTTTCAAGGTTGGCGCGCTTGTTAAAACATGAAAACATATTTCTGTTCGCAGACGACACTCGAGGCGAATTACAATGAAATCGAACGCCAGACTGAACTGTGTAGAAATTCTATAGGCCTCTCCCAGGTAATATCGACTAATCCGTAAAAGGAAACCCGGCAACTTTTCTTTGTTTCCTTTTATTTCTCTGTTTATTTACATGGGATACACCATTACGCAATACTAATATATCAGGGGTCGCAACGACGATGATTCACGGTTGAGAATGTACTGCGCCATATTTTTTTAAGGTCCTCAGCGATCTATTGTTCGTATAAAATTTAGATCGTAAATTTGACTTATTGACTGGCAACGATACACTGTCTCGGATATATTAAGGCGAACTCATGGGTAAGTCGTTAGGTGTGTAATTTTTTAATATGACGGGAATGATGTCTTAATAAAAAGTTTCTCAAAGAACTAACGAGATCGAATTGGTCTTGTGGTTTCTCGAGGATCCACGTCTTTGGTGAAATGATTATTTTTGAACCGATGCCAAATTGCGTCTGCCGCCATGGCTAATTATAACTTATAGCACCCACGGAACATTCACTTTTCACGTTTTCATGTCGAAATTACAAATAAACGGGAAATTTTGATTATCTTAACGAGGGGTGAATCTTTAGTTGGTCGATGATACAATCGACAATTTGGATCGTTACGTTGGATACCTACCGTCTGCGACTAGTTACTAAATATAGAAATCTTTAAGAAAACGATTCGAGCGTAAATCAGAATGATCGATAAGTTATTTATTCGTATTACGTTCGCCGGGAAAAATATATGTGTATCCGTCTTATCCAGCAACAACACTGTTTCTCTGACCGATGACTTCATCGACATACAAATCCAGGAATACGTCCACAGGTATATAGAGTGAAATTAAAATTAACACATTTTTAACTGAACGGAAGAACGAAAGTGGATGATATTCGTTAAAAATAAATTCATACACTGTCTCTAGTATTACAAATGCCCACGTGTTTTCAAGACCACGTTCAGCGAGTCAACAATCGACAAGTTAAAATTTTACAATTAGACCCAATCGCGTGAAATTAGCAACAAACTAATATCGACAATCAACTACTAAGAAGGATTTTAATTGGCAGGTCTAATAGCCGGTTTCTTTGCCTCTGAATAATTTCTATCCAACGGATATGTATTCTCAGGACCGGGAGATACAAATTAATCCAGCGAAATAAATGTAGTCTTCTTTAAAAGATTTCAACTGCACCGATGAAAATACGATTGTGCCTGGGTATCGAGAGAAGAAAAGTCAAGAGAAAGAGAAAAAGAGGAAGAACGTCAATGCGTCGAATCGTCGAACTGTCGAGAGTCAACAGGTAAATTGAACAACGTCAACAGGTATTGCCGGGATGAACAAGTTGAACAAAGGCCCAATTCGATCTGCGTATATCCAAGTGAACGGAAGATAAATTGACGAGAGACGAAAGAATATTCTTGGAAGATCATCGAGCCACAGAGTCGGGTCACTTGTCACTGGTCTCGTAATCGTAATAAATAAATCGACTAGGGAGTCTCACATAACACTCGCGCGTCAAAGAAGAACACTGCTCGTGCTCGCGTGACACATGTCAGCGCTCCGCCGCTCCTATATCCAATACAGAAGCCAGTCCACCCAATACTGAAGGCTGAAGCCAGCAGCCTGAAGGCAACTCCGCTACGGCGATCTGGCGGCGATCTGTGTCAGCCAGACTGAAGCGCGAGACCGGCCCGAACGTTTCCGATCCTCTCCGAGCTCGCCTAAACTAAAATCTTCCCTCTCGTTCTCTCTCTCTCTCTCTCTCTGTCTCCTATACCACTATAGCCCACTCTCTTTCTCTTTTCTCTCTTTTTTTCGATACTTCTTCGTACACGGCTACTCGAATACTTCGCCATTCTGAGGCTCTGTCGGTACACGTGAAATCCGTTCTACGGGACTGTGTTCTTTTCGACGGCAGTTGACTCGAAAAATACGGAAATTCTTAAGAAATTTGAAAAGAAGAAACGGAATGAATAATTCTTAATCGATCCTGGTTGCTCTTACTCGTAAAATGTGTACAAAGAGGTTATACTTACCTGTGACAATTATTTTTTATATTCAAATAGGCGTATCGACAAGTTCGAAATAAACGACTTTATTAACAAAACAATATTGAGCCATGGTGTAAAAGCAAACGTCCAACGTAACATAACTGACATAACAAATATGATAACGTAAAATGTGTTAAGTGAAAACGAAAACAAATGAAACACAAACTCGTCACTCCATTGTGAACGACGTCTGGGTATTATTGGGTTAATAAAACATGAAAACAATGGTAGATATTTCAAAATGCATAATTGACATTTTTTTTCTTTTCTTCTTATCTTTCTCCTAACAGATTTCACTCAAAATAAAGTCATAACATGCCGATCGCACTCCACGCTCTGCCAAACAATGTCCGTGCACACGATTGCCATTCGCACTCTGCTCAGGATTTCCTGAAGGATCGGCAAGACTCACCCTTTTCATTTTATCAAGCAAATCGTCTTCTTCTTTCGTGTCCTTTTTTGGACTCAATTCAATCCCACTGTCGTTCGTGTGTCTCGACGAGAATGACATCTCCTGCCGTTTGACTTCCTCCAAGGATAACGACTCCTTGACATCCTTCGACGTATAAGACGACTGGGTCGATGATTGTGACGGAGCCAGGATCGAGCCTGACTGATCCTGATTAACGTCGTGACCTTTTGTGAATTTCAAAAGCCGACTGTGATCCTTGGGACCGTCCAAGGACTCGTCAGTGTCCTGCGAAGACTCCTCTGTAATACAAAAATTTTTTTTACTTCTATTCATAAAATATTCATTAATTGGAATAGTCATTTCGAAAACCAACTTTTCAAAGCAATCGCAGGCCGATCCGTTTCTGCCGTCAAAATGACACGATGTTCCATTTCCGTGGGTGCTTTAGCAGGACTTCCGGTCGGGTAAGAGTCCTTGATGGCGGACGCGTCGCTTTCGGCGAATCTTTTGAAATCCTGAATTTCCTTGATGTCTGTATGCTCCTTATTGTCGCGCAATGTATTCGAGGTCAATTTATATGAGGTCACTCCCAAGTGGGTACTGTGGGAAACTCGAAGAGTCGTAGTCTCCGTGACTTCCTTGACGACTGTTCCCAACTTCTCCTACAAATTATCAAATAAATGATCAACCTTTTTTCTGGTTAATAATCAAAATATTAATCCAATTTGAAATACATACCTCGACAGTCTTTTTAATAATCGTACTGGCACTGGACCTGTCGACTTTCGGTTCGTCGCTCTTACTGATTTCCTTTTTGGGAAAAGCGTCATCTGCACTTTCAACCTTGACGATACGTTCAACAGGAATCTTACGAGATTTCTCCTCATCCTTTAACGATGAAATCTCAACATTCTCCACGTCGGACACAGGATTATCGACGTTCCACCTGCAAGCACGTGTGAGTAAAAAAATTTCTTGTTTGATTTTCAAAATAAAAATCTCAATAAAAATATTCATTACCAAACGGCATCATCGCATTCGGATGACGTCACAAAGGATTCGCTCCTGGACTGGGGTATGGGCGTCGGAGGACATTCAGGCGCCGTGACGTATCCATCAGTGGCAGACTCTTCAGCCACGCTATCCTTCGACAGAATCAGTTCAGCATCCTGCATATGGAAGTATGAAAAAAAAAAAAATAATAATTTCTTTAATCACCAAAAAATTCCATCTCACAGCCAACAGTTGCACGAAGATCAAAACCTACCTCAGCCATCTTGTCCTTGGTTCCCTTATTGGACTCTTCAGCAGCATCATCAGAACCTTCCAAAATCTTTTTAATACCAGCAACAACTTCACTGCTGTCCTTCCCGTTGGTCGTAGCGGAAGGAAGGGAATCAGCGGCGGAGGAAGTGGGAGCCTGAGTCCTGGCTCCTGCCTCGCACAATCGGCCATCCAGCCTCTCGGCCAGACGCGTCACTTCCGCCAGTCGTGTCGAGATCGCCTCCACCGCTGTCAGGTTTCCACCACCGAGCAGAGCATCATCGTCGGACATTCTGCAAAGCGAAAGGTCATTTATCAAAAAGTTTATAGAGATTCGCCAATTTGAACATGGTATCTTCGCGAATTGACCCGAGCGACGGAATCAGAATAACGAAGATCAGCCATTGGAGGCTGAAGAGTTTAAACGCGTAAGCGTATTACGGACTTATGTAATAATGACAGCAGCCGGCCGGTAGGTCGCACGTAGTTGGCTACAGTTCTAATTTTATTTGTGAACACAGTCAGCCGTCCTCCAGAAAGAACGAAATATCGTGAGTCGTTCAGAAATACGTAATATACAGAGAACGTAGAATTTATCTGTCAATCCCTTGAATGGACGTTAGGCGTCCAAAATTTTTCTTCGGTTCGGTCTATATTCGAAGTTCTCAGTAGTTTTTTCTTTTGGGTGCTTAAGACCCAGAGGAAGAGCTTGACTCACTTGAAGATGGCGTATAGAAATTGGCCCAGGGCCTTGAACATCAAATGGGGAAGATTTACGTCACGGAGAAGATCTTCGAGCAACATTTTGACCGCAGTGCACTTTCACTGTAGGGCGAATACTCACGGACTGGGCTCTGGTAGAGATGCGCGTCGATGTTCTCTCTTCTTTTTTGGAAGTTTCGAAATAAAGAAAGCTCTACTCGGCTAGAGAATGAAATTAAAAGAGAGTAAAGAGAAGAACGAGCGTGGAAGGAAGCCTGGGGGACGAGAATAGAATTGCTTTGTAAATGATCGAAGACTGGAGGTTCGAAGAGTAAAACGTCCTGGTGGACTTTGTGCGTTAAATTGCCAAGTGCTACAACGCACAACGATAAATAATCCAGATGCGATGCATCGGAGCGACTGCGATTTGCTTCAACGTTTGACGCGCGACCCAATTTCGAAAATATCACCATGGGAAAATATTGCTGGATCCGTTCCCCCACTTGGTCGTTTTTCGAATATCTTGATTTTTGATATTTTTTTTTTATACACAACGATGTTTTACGTAGGCTAAATAATTCGCACTAATGAAACGAAGCTGCAAAAACTTAGCTTGAAAGTTTGCTAGTGGAATTCGAAAATTCACAGGTCCAATATGGATTCGAGCAGCAAATCGTTTCCAGACTTTATATATTTTGCGTGTGTGCCAATTCGATCGGACTTTGTAAATTCGCGAATCCGACTCGCCTTCTGGCGGGAGAAAATGGGGCGTCTGTCTCTATGAATAAATATCGTTGCCGGCTTCAGAGTCGGGAACGCATGACAACAACTCTTAAACGCTCTACTTAATCTTTATACCGGGTGCCTTGAAATATTCCATAATAGTCTGAGGAATTATTCAAAATTTTGGAATTGCGTCCGATCATCCGATATTTAAAAATAACGTTAAAGCAAGAAAAAAAAAGTATCGTACCGATTTTGTGTAAGGGATAAATATTTTTCTAAAATTATTCTCTTCCGTTCGAATCGACAAGAATATTTATAATCCTACCTTTTTTTTTTTGCTTTTTTAGTGGAAACTCGAAAAATTGCCTAATTTCGCGCAAGTCGTCAAAGTCTATTTGACACTTGAATATGTCACTTACATGCACTGACAGAGGTTTAGGTATCTCGTCGACGACCAAGCGTGGACTGCCTGCGTCGTCGGCGTCGGCGTCGGGACGCTTGGAAAACCCACGCTCCTTGCTTTCAGAGTCCCTGCTGCTGCTCCCTCTCATACAGGAGTTTATATCCGGCATACTTGACTTTTCGATTTACCGAACAGTGCCTGACCCGCTTTTACGCTGGCAGGCAGATCTTTGATATTTATTTTAAAAAATCCTATCTATGAATAATTTACCTATTTTCATTTTTTTTTTTCAAAATATTAACATATTTCACGATCTAAGAATGAATCCAAAATTTCGGTCGCACAATTGAATAGCACCGATCGACGCCTACGACGCCACGTGGTCTCTGCCAAATTCTCAAAATAATTTCGCCATTCATTAGAAAATACAATGCAGCTCCAACGTTCCACAAAGTGCACAGTGCATTTTTGACAGATGCACGTGGCTCCTTGTCAAAAACTGTCTGGATCATTTCGCCAAAAAATTACTATATTATTTATTTCTTACCGTTGATGACACAATGGCTCCTTAAGCCTGGTTCTCAAGAGTCGACCCAGCCTGACCATTCTGCCAACTTCGAGTAAAAGTTTTTCTCGATTCCCTAATATATCTCTGATCTGTACTTTCGCAGCTTCCATCGACTCGGAATCCATCGATCCACGTTGCAGTGATCCAACGGTATCGATCAGTTCGACGAGTCTCGTGCAATGCTTAGATGAAATAAAAAAAGTTAAAATTCAAAAATATTGCAATAATCCATTTTTTCTTCCAAGAAGGGCTTCGGCGATGTAAAGAAAACAAATTCAAACTTTGAAACACGTGCTGCAGCTTCCTATACTTAATCTATTTTTAACCACGAGCGACATAAACATAAACATTTGAACCTTCACTCTAATACAGGGCGTTATGCTTTGAAAACCATTACAATTTCTGTTCCTGAGGGTTTTTCGTCGAAAATTATATTTTCAAAAAAAAAACTCACGTCTTCTACGCTTCTGTGAAAAACCGCACAGACTCTCAGCCTAGTCAGTTGTTCCTGACCAACTGACCGCAACTGTCGCCAGGCTTGCCACAATTTTTTTGACAGGTTGGTATTGTCATCCAATGCCAACCTGCAGGATATTCTCAAAACGCGAGCACCGTTCACCAGTTGGCAGCCGTAGTCGTAGGTTCCCTTAAAAAAGTTTGATCAGTATTTTAATCAATTTTGTAATTTTTTTTTTTTTTTGAAAAAATTTGGTTATCACTTTGGCCGTTTCTTGAAAAGATTGTTGGTCTTCCTTTTGGGATTGGATTTCATTGACGTTACAACCAATCTGAACGTGATTGTCGATGAGAACCTTGAAGAGATCGTTCAGCCATTGAACTGCCTGAGAATATTTTACAATTTTTTAAAAATTAATCTTACGTTTACTTGTAATCATAATTTTTGCCTAATTTACCTGTTCCGCGTCATTCTCGTATGTATATATGAGCGCAACCTGCTTCAGTGTCAATTTCTGTAATTCGACGCTGTCATTGAAAATATTTTTTCTGGCGTTAGTGGCGTCGAGAATATCTCGGACATTAACTATATCTTCGCCATAGTCAACGTGAATGTCTCGACCTAGTGCATCCTTAACAGGCATCGAAAGGATGTCTGAAAGTTTTTCACCTTCCTTTACCAATTCGCGTTCTATGGCCTCTGAGTGGACGAAGGAGAGCGATATTTGTAAAAAAATAATTTTTCCAAAAAATTTTCCAAGATAAAAATAATAATTTTCATTACGAACCCAGTATCTCCTGATTTTTTTCCAAATTCAAAAGTTTCGATCCCGCTTGTGAAAAATTGTACACTTTGTTACCCATGACTAGTTTGTCAAAAACTTCACTCGTTCTGTCAAAGTACTGAAATTCGAAAAATTATTCGTTTAAATATAACTCCAGTCGTATATATATATATATTTTTAGTAAAAATGAAAATAATTTAATTGACCTCCGACACTAATCGAAAAAATCTTTGGGATGTGATTAGAACGTTTCTTCGTCTCTCGAGCCTCGACGCGAAACTCCGACACACAAAATCCATAAAGTCCCTTTGTGACTTGAGGTCCTCCGGTAAGTAGCCAACAGGCAGACTGTCAATTTTGTGAAGAAGTTCGGCATAGCGTCCATAAGTCTCCTGCGAATCCAGTTGTCACGATCAGTTGGATGGGTCGAATAATTGGAAGCTTTTTGAAAAAGGGCAGATAAACTTTTACACGGCATTCCAATTCCAATTTTTCGTGTTCTCTTCTGAGCTCCTCGGACGAGCTCACGTCGAATCCAACTTGATAACGAGAATTTAACATGGAGTCAGCTGGTCCCAAAATCCAGTTGGTCACACGTGCTACACCGTCTTCAAGATTATCAATTTCCTTAGCAGTGCCAAGGCTTCGTTCCATATCGATCCAAGTTCTTTCAATTGCATGCTACAAAAATTTTGAAAAATCCAAACTTTCAATTATTTTCAAAAAAACATTTTTATCATCACCAAAATCAATTACAACGTACCTGCTTCAATTCAACGGAATCCAAAATCCGGTGAATCCTCTGAACAGTATCAAGTATATCCTGTGAGGTTTCTCTACTGAGACTGCTGACCACGTTCCTGCCTAAAGAGAAAATAAAAAAAACATTGTGGCAAGATGAAAAAAAAAGGATTTTTCATTTCGTGGTCATCAGCCGATTGGTTGAGAATTTTTGTTAAACCTGTCTGGTCAAGCCGGTTCTCCGATTTTTCCCGGTACCTGTGTTATATGCATCTGATTCAAAACCATAACTCTGTATCAGATAAAGCTTTGAGCTAATCGCTCCTACCATTGTCAGATCAATAATAAAATTGAACACTAATAAACTAAATATATTTCATATAACGCAGAGAAACGTTCTCGTACCCACCAACCTGAATGAAGAACATAACGCGCAGCTGTCCTCAGCTCCAAACTCATTTCCGAATATTTCGCAAGTTCCACTTCCGGTTCCCTCACCCGGACCTCCATAAAATTCCTTAATCTTTGGTGAAGATCCGTCATCTTCCTCACGACCTCCACTGCATCCTTAGTGTATTCCTCGACTCTCTAAAAAAAAAAATACAAAAAAAAAATCCCTTGTACCAACAAAAATTTTGAGTTTACTCACCACCCGAGTCTGAATCCACTCCAAATGATTATAAACTTTGGTACCGCCCAAATCCTGTGGCAACTGAACCGTATCTATGTAGCCAGTGAGTCTCGTTATAGGAATGTAGACTGGCTATAAAAAAAATTTTCATATTTACACTCCTCATAATTTTCCCAAGATCTTGAACCCCGTTAATTTCCTATATCTTGCATACCTCCCCTTCCCTATAAGACTTTGTACAGTTATCCACGTGCTTGTCCCAGAAACCATCAGGTCGAAGAACGATCACGGAATTCGCGTTCGAACCCATAAAAGTAAGAGACTGTCGAATGCAGGATCTGGCAACGCGCCACGAGCCACGCTGAGCATCGATAAGTAAAGTAAAGCCATTTTCCTTGGTTTCCTCGCTGAAATATTATTATTCGTAGTATTAAAATAGATCGAGGAAAAAGTTCATCTAGTATCGTACAAGTGTTAGGTAATTTGATTTTATAAAATAATTCACCTGAATATAGAGATCAAGTACTTGATAAGTAATTCTAATCGTGATTTCGTAGTTGGCAAAGGTTCACCAGGTACGTTCACGATTACCAATGACCTCCCTTCCCGATCACGTCCTCCAGGAAGGTACACCAGCTTCGATTCCAGCGCCTCCAAGATATCCACTGCCTCCAGCCTTGACTTTATCGAGGACATGGCTCAAAGGATTGCGGAAGTCTTAAACTTTGGACTTTGGATATTGGTGTCACGATTTGCGTGAGGTCAATGACCTTCCTCACTCATGGACCACCTACGCTTTTATTCATCCATCCAACAGCTCGGCGCTGGTGACAATAGGACTGTTAACGTGACAGAATGTATTAGCTGCCACCGTAAACTGGTCAAACGGAACGATTATTTACGATCTGACATTTCAATTGTTCAATATAACGAGTTATCCAAAATTACAATATTACTTCTGACTTTATCCAAAAATTAAATATTTATATACAATAAAATTATTTATTCACTGATAAATTGCATATCCAAAGAAATAATCAATGTCGTCCGTACTAAATTTACTTATCTATTATATCAAGCTAGACGCGTTATCTAAGCACGTTTTTTAAACTCTACTCGATCAAGGATGCAGAATAGTTGGGCGCGCCCTGGCATTTGCATAATATCCTGTTACGTTAGTTCGAATAGCTACAGGGTGTAGACAAAAAGAACCACATACCTGAATTTAAAAAAAAATAGATAAAGGTAAAATTAAAAAAAAAATTCAATATTAACACTCGTTAATAAATTAAAAAAAAAAACGTATACAAACTTAACGAATCTCAACTCACCCCAGATCGCAGGTGATCAATGATAAATGATCCAGCATAAAGATAGCACACAGGTAATCAAAGATACGAAACGATCTTGAATAACCACAAATAAGTGGTATCGATCCCAGATCAACGAAACGTAACGTCACGCACGATCTATCGATCCTCGGGTAATGATCCAGTTGTAACGTTATTACGTGACATGTATTACGCGAGTGCATATCGCAACATTTCATCAGCGCGAAAAAAAAGGCCTGACTACCTCAGAATGTAGTCCTGATCAAGATCGGATACTCAAGACTCCATACCGAACGTCAAAGAGCGAATACTGGATGGTTGGATACTGGATACTATGGACACCGGACACCGAGCACAGGACACTCGACCCTCAGGGTCGCCACTACGCGAACAACAACACGTTGCCAGATCCCGCTTGAACGGTTGTAGAAAGACAAGTCGAGAGATCCGCGAAGTGAATCACATACGAGTCCACTTGGACACATACTACACGCATGATCTCTCGAACTTGGATGAGCTGCTATGAGACCGGGACAGGAGTCAGAGAGTCAGCTCCTGGTCCATTCAGGTCCAACGGTATCCCGGCACCGATACGTGTCCCCACCTCCGTACGTCTACCTTGACTCCCACCTTCATCAGCTTTCCTTACCTTCTCCTTCCTTGGTTCCTCCCGTTTTCCCATTTCTTCCCACGGGATCATCCTACCTGAGGAAATTCGGTGCCGGGTGCTAAAATTGATTTTGCACCATGACACCCGATGATCTATCTCTGTACAGAGACTGTGGATTAATTTTTAGAGGAATCGCTAGGAAACAAATTCTTCGGAGGCTGTGAGGATCGGTGTATGTAGGTAGGTGCCAACGAGCAATGTGAAAGTTGCCCAAGGCAATTTTCATGCAGTCGACTTATTGTCGAGATGCTGTGCTGCATCTGCACTCGACGTCTTTTAACTTTCACGTGGATTCACCTACTGCTGTCTATGCTGTCCTAGTGCATCGGTTGCATATCACTGAATCGACTGGTTGTAATAGATCTTTGTATCTTGATGAATTAGGTTATTTATGTATACATGGAAATTTAGTTGAAAAATGTATTGCGGTCAGTGAACTTTGATACGTTTTAATTAAAAAAAAATTGAACAGGCCTTGAGTGGATATTATCTGAAGACATCCGGTACCATATGAAGTTGAGTTAAGAGGAGAAGACAAGTTGCGATCAGGTTCGATTCCATTATAGAAGAGCGGTCCCTTTAATCAGGAAATCGTGTGTAGAGCCGAACAGGTGAAACCAAGCGAGATCTTCTCTACCGGTGTGGCTCAAGGTCACTGACCGAGGATGACCAAAGAGGCTGAGGGAGGAAGGGTAGCAGGGAGTCTCACTCACAATCAAGAAAACTCCCGAGCGAGAGAAGGCGGCGTCCCACAGCCGATAAGCGGGCACCCATACATTCGGACCTGGGTTAACCCCTGATGACAGGCTGCTCGGGCAGCAGAGCTGTCGAGCGGGTCGTCATTCTCAAGGGGAGGTCCGGACCAGAGGATCTTGGCAAGAGTAGTCCGAGAGAGGGAGGTCTCTGAGGTTGCCAGGAGACGCAAGAGACGTTCTTGTATTTGTTAAAGATAACGCAAAGCCATTGTGTATCTATACGCTGCGTTGCTACCAGATGAGATGAGATGAAGATCAGATGGATTAGTTATAAAGAGGAACGCGAGCGATTTTAAAGTGGAGCAAGTTCACTCCGGGCTTCTTCTCAACTGATCTCATCTCATCTTCCGTGATGCCTTCTGGCGTCCATCCTACTCTCGACGTCGCAGTCTGGTACTCCTGCAGGCCAACAGCATCAGCATGTATGAGTATCGAGAGTCCGGCGTTCTAGCGACGTCGAACGATCAGAATAGCCAGCTCCGTCGGCGCTCCGGTTCGCCGCATCGTCGACGGAGGCGTCGGGACGGCATTGGAGGAGCGTCAAGAGAGCGTCGCCACGATCGGCCGCAAGAAAAACTTTTCGTTTCCCGAGAGGCAGTGCTGCATCGAGCCTCGCGCTATATCGAGAGAGCGCCGGTCGTGAGTCCCGAGCTACGACTCTTCAGGGCTCGCAACGCGACAAACGAGACTCCGTCGTCTTTTCATTTTATTTTTCTTTTTTTCTTTCACTTTCGTCGCCATCTTTTCTCTTTACCTGTTTGACCCTCTCCTCCTTCCTCTTTCACCTACCCACTGTCTCCGTCCCTCTCTCTCTCTCTCTCTCTCTCTCTCTCTCTCTCTCTCTCTCTCTCTCTCTC